TGAAGCAGCTAGACCGAGGAGTAAGAACCCCAATTCCAAAATGACAAGACCACTCGAAAAACCAAACGAGGTTGACCTCCTTATAATTTCCTTCAACTTCTTCCAAGCGGCGGCTATCCACTGAAGCCCGGTGTTATTTCATTTATCCGTTGATCAGACTATGACCATCAGTATATAGCTATCCCTCATCCACCTCCAGCAAAGATTGAAACAGGGATCTGATATTCCTTCATCTCACCCCACTTCAACGTACACAGTCAATTCACAATCCTGGTTTTCCTTCATCTCCTCTTGAACTTCCACTTGAGACTTGTTCTACTTAATCGGACTCGTATCTGTGATCTATGATCTAGTGCGCCTTTTCACCCCTCACATCCTTTCTTTGAGAACTCGAGATGATGTAAAAAATATTACCAGTTGAAGTCCATATATGACAACCTCTAGCATTTGTGCATAGAACCAATTGAGGTAAAATACATTCCTGACAAATCTGACAAACAATTTCAATCCAACTCATTCAAACTGTACTTACTCGAGTCCTCTGAATAATTTTTTTTTGGTCAATCAAACAAAAATAAGATATAATCAACTATGTAACAAAAACTATCTTTTTATTTTGTGTACTTTCTCTTTTTCCCAATATGAAGAATGACTATAAACCAACAAAGTCATTTTTATCAAAGACAAACAACAAGAATCCTGAAAAACCCAATAACTTTTTTTTTCTTTCTTTCTTTCTTTTGTTCTTTCTTCTGTAACAACAATACACAAAAACAACCAACACAAAAAAAGAAAAACAAACAAACAAAGAAGCACAACAACAACAAAACAACAAAACAAAACAAACAACAACAAAACAGACAAAAAAAAATTGAATTAATAGAAAATTGGAAAACAAAAAAACAAAAAAATTGGTAAATCAAATCATAAATGATATCTTTTCTTTCCCGACCCCACAGCTTTTATACTCTACTTTTAAATTTCTATCTTGAAAGTTGATACTTTTTTTTTTTTAAAAAAAACTCTTTTTCACATACACACCACCCAGGCAAGAAAGCATGAAATCAAAGAGCCCAATGGGATAAGAAGGAGATAAAAAAAGATAGATATAGATAGATAAATGAATCGGAATAAGAATAAGAATAAGAATCAAAAAAAAATATATAGAATTGTTGATAAGAATAAAAACACTTTGATAAAATCTTAAAAATGAGTTTAATAAACTTTTTTTGGGGGGTGAATGTGAATATAAATGTATGATAAATGAAATATGTCAAAAGAAAAAGAAAAAGGAAAGAAAAAGATGAAAAAGAAAAGAAAGAGAAGCTTCTATTGATTTTTCTCTTCTCAACAAAGAGAAAGAGAAAGAGAATCATGGTACATAATAATTTTTTTTGGTGGTGGTGGTGGTGGTGGTGGTGGTAGGGAAATGGTTTTGGTAAAGGGAAAAGAAAAAGTAAAAGGATTATTGCAAATGTGCCATTTGAACGAGTGTATCTAGTACGTGCTGAGGTTCCATCATCGAAGGTGGTCGATTATTATTATTATTAGGTACATGAGGATGAGCTTGACCAATCATATTGTTAGGCATTCGTCCGTTTGATGAGTTTCCCATTAATGGCGAACCTCGATGATTATGGGTATCGAGGATTGAAGAAGTTCGCATTTGATTCATAAGTGGGGTAGCTAATTGAGATGTAGATGAATGAGTTGGTATCATCGTTCTTGCTGGTGGTGTAACAGTACTCAGCATTGAAGAAGGAGCTGAACCTGGTCTTGCAGCACGACTAGAACCAGCAGAAGCACGTGCTCCACCTTGTCGTTTGAAACCTTTTAATCCGTTTCGTTCTTTAAAACTACTAAGCCATCCTTCACTAAGCTTAAGCCAATTACTTTCTGGTACCCTAAAATGAGTCGCAAATTCTCGCCACTTTTCTCGAATTACATCTCCATTAAGATCGATATTAGCAGAAACGGCTTGTTGACACCATTTCTCTAGAGCTTCAGTGACTTGTACATGTTTGGTCTTTTGCTGTCTTCTACGATTAATTGAGGTAGCTCCATTGGTGTTATAAAACTGACTATGAAGTGTAGTCGTATTTTTTAGCCATGATGAAATAAGAGGTTGAGAGAGTTTAAGTTCAGGGTATATCTGATCAAAGTGTTTAGCGGTTTGAGTTTGATTTTCACCATTGTGTTGATACCAAGTAAGGATCTCGATTTTTTGGGCAAGTGAAGCCACTTCTCTTTTTTTAGATGAAGTCGTATTTGGAGTTGTAGAAGGTGTAGAAGTAGTAGAGGCTGAGTTAAGGTCCGAATCTTGACGTTGGTGATAATCTGTTGTGAGGTCCTGCGATGTGCCTACCATCGAAGGGTTGGCCATCATCTCAAAGTTGAGAGGAGTACGCATATCAGATAGGTTATGCATCTGTGGATTATGATTGAGACCGTTTTGTTGGTGACCATAAGGGTTATTCTGCTGCTGATTACAATAGGACGGGGGAGCATGATCGGCTTGAGATTGACCCATGGATGAGACTCGTACTTTCTTATTGGCATTATCAGACAGATCGTCTGGATGTTGAGGTCCTAAAGTTGATATCAACAATGTGATTTAATTGAGTCAGTTTAGGAACTAAGACTAAAGTCAAACCAAGATGCAGGAAGGGTCAAAGCACGGGAACCTACTCTTATTTTCATCTTTGATGTGAGGCAAACAGCTATTTGAGAAAGCTTTACCGTCATACAACAACTTGGCCAAACACTGCTTCTCACTCAAATTGAGTTCCATTTCGGTCTTTTCGATGCAAGTAGAAGCTTTGAGTTTCTCGATCAATCGAACTTCAGCTATAAGGTTAGTTGCGTAATGATCGAAAAATGCTTCATCATCCTCTGAGATCGGTTGACGAGCTTTGAGTTGTTCCTTGATAGATTTCATTCTTAAATCATTATACTGATGAAGTCCTTCAAAGCCTAAGATGGCTTGTTTTAGTGTGAATGACATATCGAATGTCCAAGAGGTTTATTTGAATGATGAAGGGAATCTAATGACGACAGGTCCTAAAAGAAAAAGTAAGGAAGCAATCGATGATATGTTTTTTTTGAGAAGCCTGTTGATTGAACAAGTAACGAAAAAAAAGTGACTTGATGAATGGTTAGTTGAAGTTAATGCTGGTACTAAGACCTGATTGAATTTGATGTAAGAAAGGATTGGACATGAACAATTCGATGGTAAAAGTGAGGATGGATGATTGGTTGTAAGATTGATCGAGAGTTTGTCTGGGGCAATCAGTGGAGCAACTACAACCTACTACACAGTCACACTACACTACACTACAACATATTACTGCATAGGCTGAGACTTTTAATCTGTAGTACAACTGTAATTCAAAAGATCATACTCAGCTTAAGCATATCTACTAAATTTTCAAATCCATCTTTATTCTCATTCAAACACCCTCGAGTCCGGCCTCAGCTGCAGCGCCCTCAGGTGATCCATTCTTCTTCAGCTGCTAAGTGATACAAGAATACCCCGGGGAGGATTTGCTTAGCGACTCAGGATGGTTCTGAGCATGCTGGCTGAGAATAATCAACTTCACAAACGGTGGTGACATGCAAGTGGACCATTTGTATGGAATGTTTTGAATTTCAGTACCAAGGTTGATACTATCCGGACTAGGAAATATGATCACTCATGAAAAACATCAATGAAAGCCAAAGAAAACATTTCCTCGAGAACTGGGGAGGATGACTGTGGACTAATGCAAAAGCTCTCAAGGTGACCTCTTGCATGGCTGACATGAGTCAAAATCACAGTCCTTAACCACCAGGATAAAATCATCCTGAAGCCCGCTCTAAGACTCCGCCATATATATTTGCCACACAGAGATTTAGACATGCGATTAAGGTATGAAAATGACCCATACTCGGCCGTGAAAGCCTCCAGTGCAGGGTGTGATGTACAGTTTGAAATGCATGGAGCAAGTGAGGTACAGAATCAGATGGACTTCAAAGATATAACAAGATGGAATAACTTTGTCCTGTTCTGGCTTGTATGTTCTTGATGTTATGTTCCATTTGCTCCTCATATGTACAATCCAGATGTGTAAAAGGTTTGAAAGATCTTTCTGACTGTAAAGGATTTCTTTGATGAAAAAGATTGGTGTATGAAACTTCTACAAAGAATAATGAGTTTTATATTGAGGTCTTTCAGATTTTATCATAGTTCTTGATAAGTATTCAAATGAGTCGGACCACATGAGACACATGATAATACACAAAGCTTTCAATTACAACCACAGTGAGAATAATCAGTGCTATGGAAAATGTGTGGCTAAAGTAAATGTAGGCAAAGGAATTGGCTCAAAGGTTCTTGTATGTAATTCCCAATAAATATGAAAAGTTGTTGGACATGAGGTTGCCACAGCCAAGAATTTCTCTAAATGTCATAAGAAAAAAGGCAGGGAAATGCAAGCCTTTTCTGTAAATTAAGCTTAACTCTAAGCTGTGCCACCCTTTTACACATATGTATGTAGAAGACATGTAACCCATATCACCAACATACATAGATGCCTTGGATTGCGGAATCATTGAAGGCATCATTGGATTTAGACCCTTGGAAAGATCTTGTCCCACAATTTGATACAAGGTATTTTTTGGCGCAAAAAATACCTTGAATCAAAAACTTTGAAAGATTCTGTCTGAAGATTTGCCAATCCATTTGTACATAATCTTCTGTTGAAACTCATCATGAATCAGAAGGTACAAGGAACAATGATACTCTTGGACATGGGTTGCCACTCCGCCCAGCATATATTTTGTGTTTATTTGCATAGTTGATTTCATCAGATAGAGGAGAAGGACCTGGCATATGGTTATTTTATACAGTACTTGGTTTATTTGAAGTCTACACTCCCTTTGAGCAACTTCAAATCAACAATCAAGATTTCTGATTCAAGATCCAAGAGAGTGTCTTGATTTATAAACTTAAGAAAGTCCCATTCAGTCAGCTTTTGCTTCTTTCAGGCTCAAAAGTCAAGTTGGAAGCAGTTCAAACACTAGCTCACTTCATTGACTTGCACTGTTGACATATTTAGGGTACTCAAAGTAAGTATGCACACGTACATACTTTTGTGTGCATACTTTTTTTTTGGCGGGGAAAAAGAAAAAAATATACTTTTGGCATCGGTCTCCCCGCCAAAAAAAAGTATGCAGCAAAAAGTATGTACGTCTGCATACTTACTTTGAGTACCCTAATTGAAATTTTATATCTTCAAATATGTATGCTGAAAAGTTTCAATGTACAATCTCTTGGATAGCTGAGAGATTGACAGATTGTCCCTGCCTTTTTGCCTGTCTTAAGAGACTCAATAAAATTTCTGGTTCTTTAAAACACAGGGATGTCTCAAAATGTACAGCTTGCTGTATTCAGTTTGAATAATGAGTTTCCTTCAACATGCACATGAGACAGATCTTTTCAAGGTCTTGCCAAAAAGGCCTGATCCAAACTGAAGGGAATTATAGTGCAACACTTGTGAAATGTTCTGTTGCCAGTACCTAAGTAGAGTTTTGTGAAACTTCTGTGTGTGTTCAATGTTGACAGCGCACAGATGAGACAACTTGAGTTTCCAATCTTGGATCTTTTTGGATTGTGCTGACTTCAAATTGAAATTAACTCATTTTCACCCCAATGATGCAAGGAATGATTGGTACATGTTCTTGGAAGGTCCTCTCCTTCTTAGATGCCCATCACTTGTCAGTCTTGAGGAAAGGCATTGATTTTTTTGAGTGACTTTGTATATATGGTCCAGGCTTCAAGTGGTGCAAGGAAATTGGAAGAACTTGACACTCTATCAGAGTCTAAATCCACCTCAAAGCAGGTTTTTACAACTGAGCAGTGCCTGCCCCCCAACAGGCAATTGGACTCAAAGCATTAACCTGTGCTGTCAATATTTGTGATTGGCTCCATTTTCCCATCATGACACTCCTTCCCTTACTGCATGTCAAATGATTTGTTCAATTGTTTCAAACCTTTCTCAATCCTGATGTAGACTGATCAGGCACCAAAGTATGAGAGTGGGTAACTTGTTGCTCTCAAAACTAATGATGAATTGACCAAGTTTTGGTAAAAAGATGGATTCAATTCTGTGATCAGATCATCATTCAAATAAATCTTCAAAGACACACTCAAAATCTTTGATCACAATACTAGCTTTAGCCTTTAGCACAGCTACAAACAAAACCTACAGACAGTTCTGCACAATATATCCTGCTCCTGTTACATCTTCTCAGCTTGATGATCTATTCCCAGAGTTCTATGTGAGCCACTGAAAACAAAACCACACACATGCATCACATCACGCGCCAGTGATGAACACACATCTTGAACCAATCGCTCATCCATATCCAGGTTTATATGACGGTTATCCTGTGATATTGTCTATGTGAGTCTAGTAGTGTCATATCATTCAAAGTACACTACCAATGTTATAATATTGTTATCAGGGTTGTGGATCCAGTGATTTGCAATTCCTCCAACCACTGTGCAACCTTGGCCTACTTCTGGACCACTGGCCCTGAGAACCCATGAAACAGCCCCTCCAGCCGGTCCAAGCTCACAGGCCATGGAACATCAGCCCAGCAATCAGCCTGTTGATTCCAGATTTTTCCAAAGTTGCAAATCACAACAAGTGTTGTGACCGTGCTGAACATTGATTTCAATGTAGGCATGGCACTATCAACTTAATTTTCAATGACTTTCTTAGACTCAGAAGCTCTCAGCAGCCAAGCTGGATAGAAAGCCTCACAGGGCTTCTAGAATTCTGGGTAAAGAGCAAGCCATATCTCGACGTCTCCAAAAGGAGGCAAAGAGGGATATGGTCCGCCAATGGCAATGGGGTCAATGTGATGTTGTAAGAATCTTGTTGGTAAATAATCAAGCTGTCCAGAATAAATTCATCTCAGGCAAAAGATGTCATCCTGGGATGCTGATTATGGCTATGCCCTGATGATGATTCATATGCTAGTCAATCATCAGCGAGCACAATCTTGACTGATAACTGATACCGAGTTGCATTGAGTGTGCTTAGCGTAGCTGGGTATGATGCATGCAGTTTTATGATTGAAGAGGAGAAAAGTACTACATAACCTGAGGGCATTGACGCTTTTCTCAGTAGCGCGCTCTGACAAGCTTTGAGTCTGGCCTGACACACATTCGCCGTGGGCACGCCACTTTTCTAAACTCAACACTTGATGGTGCTGATTCATGACATTGGGACAGACTTTCAATCATGCTAGCTTTGATGAAACTTGTCAACGCGATGAGCGTTTGGCAGACTGAGTGATTGACTTGCTTCATTATATGTAAGCTGGGTGATAGCAAATCCCTGATGTGTGATCTTGCTTTTTCCAAATTCGGCCTATTCATAATTCCGCGGTCACGTTAGAGGAGAATGATTTAGAACACTGAAAAAGCTTTGAAAAGCTGCATTACTGGCCCGAATGACACGGTCTCATTCTATGCTCCACAGACTCATGAACTTTACCACTTCGCCTCACACTAATGCGAAACCTGTTAACTTGGATGGTGATGTTAAGAAATTGCCGTCAACAAATGCATACATTTAAGTTTTGAAATGGCTCCAAAAACCTCCAAAAATGGCAAATCGCAATGGCGAGCCGCTCGCATTCACCGCTTGATTCATTTGTAATTGCTTTTCCTTTCTTTCAACTCATCACATTAATTTGGCGAGACCATTTACTTTGTCTTTTTAAAAATGGAATGCCGTTCTGTCTGAAAGCGCTACATTTTGACAGACCAAATAGGCCAACATCAGGACTTATACGAACTGATGCTGATCGATGAAAGATCTATAAAGATGACTCGTTCAACATTGGCTTTCTTATAAGTAGTCCACTTCATCAAATCAACCAGCACTCATACGCACATCTCTTCAATCTTGAAACCAATTCAAAACAAAACAAATTGTCCAAAAAACCAGCAGCCCACTGACACAATGAATCCTCACAACAACTTCCAACAGAACTTCGAAAATGTTAATGAGCAAGCAGGCTCTCAATTCCGAGCCGATCTTTCTTCATTGGATCCTCTGCTATTTGGTACACAAGCGTCGACCTTTGGAATTACTCCCAATCAGCCTGCCATGAGTGGGTCTGGTCCATTCCCTGATACATTCGTTCAACCATCAATCCATACTTTGTTGAGGGAGGCTGTCAAGAAATACCTCGCGGACAAGCGTGCAGTGGAAGTCAAAAGCTCTCACGCGTTGTTCAATGTCATAAAAACACATGCTGCCGCCGCCGATCCCGATTCTGTAAATCAAATTCTCAATGATCTTCGAAAGCTTCTACAAGATAATCCTAGTCAATTGCAGTCTACCCAGCCAGCCTACAACGCTCCAGCTGAGAATACTGTCAAAGTAAGCAAAAAGAGAAAATTAAACACCATAGGAGAACAATCAACAACCGGAAGTCAAACGTCAGAGACTGCTACGGCCAAGGAGCCAAAAAGCAAGAGAAGTGGGTTTAAGAGGAAGCCAGCTCCTGACGGGAACATCAAGAGAGGTAGACCAAGGCGTACTGAATTAGCGAGAGAGGCGGCCGAGAAGGCGGCTGCTGCTGCTTCTCAAAGTCATGATCCTCAAGCTGGGCCTTCTAATCAACCTGCTGACTGATTTTCTTACTTTCTTTTCATGTATTTATCTCATTCTGTTAGATTCAAATCTTATATGGAAGCGTAGTTTTTAAAGAAGACACTTGCCAGAAAAAACTCTTTCGAACAATCCCTCTAACGTGCCCTTCAAAGATTTGTGATTTGTGATCTCTGATCACCAGATGCTCAAAATAGTATGAAGAATGTTTCAGGGTGAGATAAGATCTCATTTCTTGGCTTTTTTTGAGAATCATTGAGGTGTGGCAAATATCCAACTTAACAGAGATTTGAATGTTTGTAGCACTCATGTTTCAATTGACATGCCAATCCATCAAGTATGGGTAGAATAATCTTAATGTCTGCAGACTTCCAAGTGATAGAATTTAGCGCAAGCCATAATTGATGCCCCAAGTGAGTCATGGGTATCTTGAATGAGGACCCAGGAATGCGTCTATTGAGGTTGGTGACGAAATTTCTGACCTTGGGGACTGCGACGCCGGTCGAAAAAAAAAATCCTGATTCTGACCTTTTTCGTCACCAACCTCACCAGCAGGAGTTTTCGCTGGCCCGGCTCCGAACCCGAGAATCAGGGCCATTTCCGCGCAAACAGGGGGCCGGGTTCATGTTGGCTGGGTCTCAAAAGCAAATTGAATCAGATGGAGATGGTTTTTGATGGCACAAAAACTTGTTTCATGAAAAATATGCAATATAAAAATTGTATGTCATAATGAATGTGAGTTACTAACAAGCGTGATTTGATAAAGAATGTAATTTGATACTTAAAGATTGAATCCATAAATGTAACTTGATAATGAGCGTGATTTGATAATGAATGTAAATTGATCTTTGATCAAAGAATAATAAATAAGAAACAAGAAAAACAGATCCCTATTCATCTACTTCTGGAGCGCTTGACTTCAATTTTTGTCGCTCATGATTGTACCTTTGAATAAGTTGAGGAATATCTATATCTCGTAGCATCTCCCGGATGACCGCAGGGATTGAATAACAACCCTCTGTAACTAAAGAAAAGTTTGAGCCATCAGAAGGCCTGAAGATGTAGAGGATATCCGAGGCGTCCAGGAGAGCATAAGTCCAACTGTCTCTAACCCCTTCTTTAGTAGCCATTGCCACCGGGTAAGCTGGATTATAATGCAATACCTGTACACCAACATGTGATAACTCTCGTCTTGACGTTGCACTTGTCACAAAGGCGTGTTTTCCCGCCACGTGCTCGTATACCACTATCGTACGCGCAAGATGGAGTGTCTGAACCCAAAATAATTACATGAAAGATCAGCAATCGGTCACAATTCGTAACAAAATGTTAAACATACATTGTTCTTGATGAATATGATGAATTTACCTGGCTTGATTGGGTTTTCAACCCCAATGAAGCCTCCATCAAGTAATTGTTGCATGTCCAAAGTGTGATCCATGCTTGTGTTTGTGGTAATCCCTGCAAGATTAATCTTCACGTGCATATTTCATTGATGTCGACGAGCGGCTCCAGCTGGAGTTCCAGAGAACGTCTTCATGAAGACAGCTATGGCCTTTGAGCAAGCGCTAGGCTTCATGCTACCGTCGTTGGTAGTTGAATTCAAGTCCTGCTTTAAGTGATCAACGTTGGTTAGCATTCGTTCGTTGCCTTTATTCTTGGCAACTTGACTATTGTGCCATTTTCGTATTCCCAGTATGTTCTTGACGTGGAGTTTGTTGCCGTCAACGAGGCTCAGTAGAGCTTTGTTGCTAAATGTTGAAGTAGGACCATTTGAGCTGTGAGGCTTGTCTATTGGGAGAGATATGAGTTAGTCTATTGATTAGAAGATATGTTAGAATAAGTAGTACATACCACTAGAGTTGAGAAGGTTTGATATTGACATTGCAGCATTTTGAATCACTTTGGGGTCAAGAGTCTCCGTCACTTGATCAAGCATGAAATTGAGACGGTTCTTCTCCTTTGTCAACCTGGCTGCTGCTTCAAAAGCCACGTCCTCGGGAAATTCACCATGTTCAAATTCATAGTTAATTCCATAGTCCTTCGCAGCGCTAGTTGAAATATCTAAAATTTAAGGACAGTAATCAGCTCAACAATCAAGATGAAGATACATTTCTACAGATCACATACCTGGAAACGGTTCTTGACATTGGTTGACAGTTGAGCTGACAATCTCTTCTATATCATCATCTAAATTACTGAGCTCTGTTCCAACCATCCCACAAAACTCAGCCAAACTGAGAGCGCGTTTATTAGCAATTTTGAGATCTTCAGTTATATCTTGATTTGAGGGGAAATCGCGAAGGTGATTGAGGTTATCTGGGTTTTCTTCATGTAAATCTACTTGATACCCCGCGTGCAGGTGTTCTGATGGTGGCATTTTCATTCTACCACTCATGATGCTCTTGACGACCGCAATAATCTTGGGCATCATGAGACGAGCATCAAGAACACTAAATTTAGGAGAAATTATTCTCATCCATCCAAAGATATGCTCGCAAGGTTCGGTTCCATGTTTCCATGGACAAAAAGGGAAATCAGCATAATATTGTCGATGTGAAATGATCAACACCAACAGGGATTCAGCAAGGGTTGAGAATATCTTGAAGCTTGCGTGAGAAATGCAATTGAGATGGAAGCTCATCAATCCATTTGTCTTGTTATGACGTTTGAGAAGATGTTCCTTCCACATCCATAGGAAGAAGCCCGCGGTCCATACAGCCCAAATTTGTTCTCGATGACCAATGGATTTGTTCAACCAGGCATCACATAGTTTGCCAATGATAAACAAGTATACTGTTAGACCAACACATTCTGGTTTAGATAGTGTAGTCGCGACTGTCTGAGAGCAGAGGGTTCGTAAGGCTCGTCCATCATCTTGCTTATCACAATCAAAAATATCCTTGGTAAGAAGTGGGCTGTTTGGTGTTTGTAAAACCTGAGAGAGATCTTGAAGAGAGAAAACATATTTTCCGAGAGTTATCAGACAAGATCCTGATAGCAATTGATTTGATCCAGTCTTCCTAGCATGCTTAGGATCCTGTATGGTCACGACTGGGCGGGGTGGATTACCAAAAAGTGGTACTTTGATATTAACGTCAAGATCAGTAGTCAAATAAGATAAAAATTGAGTTGAGATTTGATTTAATTGGGCCTGTGCAGCCAGTTCAGTTGCGGCTCCATTGGCACCAATTGACAAGACATCGATGCCCGCAGCCGAACTCATTTGAATGACGGTATGGTGGAGTTCTGTGATTTGTTCTGCTCCTTTGTTGGATGGACTGGCTAACAGAGCAACCACTAAAGTTGGGATATTCGGAAGCAGAACTTGAATGGTGTAAGCTCAAATCTAATGGTCAAGACGATATCTTCTCTTAGTGTACTGACAAAGTAGAGTATGTGGTCAGAAACAAGTACTTACTTTTGAACATAGCAACTTCTCCTTTTTGATTTTTTCAAGCAATTCTTGAAGTTCTTCCGGGTTATTAAATGGTATATCACCACCTTGGGCTCCTACAATAAAACCGCAATGATGGCAAAGAGTTTGGACACAAACTGTCTGATCTGAGCCAACTGCGACAGGTCCTGAATATCCAAGCTCGGAGAGTATAGCACCTGCTCGATTGAAATTGGACTGAGTCATCCCATCTTCAATTGTGGTCTTACTTTGGGCCCAATCCAGCCATTGACATTGTAGTGTCTTTCCAACAAAGTTCTTCGTGACCAGCTTCAGTGCACTCTTGCTCATGGCACCCAGAGTTGTGAGGCAGTCATCAAGATGAGCATTGAACTGCATACCTCGTAGCGTCTTTCCGGGCTCCTCGCGCTCAGCGCGAATAGAACATCCCATGATCAAACCTCTAACCACTTCACGGTTCTTGAATAGTCCTCTCCTAGCGTCAATTGCCAAGCGGTCAAGAAAATTGCCAAAATAGCCATTGGTAGAAGATTCGAGAGATTTGTTGAGCAATTTGAGATCCTTGTGCTTTTTCACAAGAGCTTGGTACTTATCAAGAGTTACTAGATAGTTGGGCGTGTATTCAATGCCATCTCCTGCGGCATACTTGTGGTTGAGAGCTTTAATCAAACTGCGGCAGTGTTTTAACTCGAGGCATGGCTGGCAAGGCCGTATAGGTTCTCTTCGGTGGCGCTGAAAAACCTCCAGACATTGTTTCGAGTGAATGGCATTGCGGTCACCATTTCGCTTGACCACCCAAGTGCATCAAGTTTCCAATGTGGCAATCAGTTGAGATTTTTGTGCTGGATTGAGGTCCGACTCAGTAAAATTGCCAAAGAGTTCCATGCAGACCTTGTGGCAAAGAATCCCTCAATAGATAGAGTAGGTGTTGTCCAGAAAATTCAAGATTGTGCCAGTAGCTTGTTTTCTAACCCAGGTTGCATCTGTAAGACCTGGGCAAACAGTATCGACTAGATTCTTGTTGTCAGGTTGAAGAGCCGGGTATTTTTTGAAGTATGAGGTCAACATCTGGTTGCCTCTTAGTCCAGATGTGGCATCCTTACACGCCCCTGCAATAACATAAAGCACATCAGTGAAAGTTCAATAGAAAATTGATGGTAAGAAATGTAAGAGAATAGCTTACCACTGCTCCAGTGGGCTCGTGCACCTTCAACTTGTCCGCGGCAAAGTGTAACTGGAGCTGCACCGCAGTGACAGCTGAAAAGCTTCCCCTTCAAGATCTGTACAACTTTACAACGTATGCAAGGCTTGTTTGGGGTTGATAGAGGGCATAGCAAAATGACATCGCGTTGTTTGGCAATTTTTGGTTTTGTTGAATTGAGACTAGATTTTTGACTAGTATTACTGCTAACAAACACGACCTCATCATCAGAAGAGATGAGGTCTACAATCACATTAGACAATGTACTAGCACTAGCTGCTGGACGGGGTCGCTTTGGGGCAGGTTTGACAGTAACTACAGCAATGGGATTGGTGGTAGGGTTTGAAACATTTCGGCGCTTGACTCCAATTAAGGGGTTAGTTGCAGCTGGAGCGGGTTGAGAATCCTTTTGAGCTGGTTGTCCGAGTGCTAATAGATAAAACATAGATAAATTTGAGGTCAGTCAACTCAGACAGATTCTTAAAGGGGGAGCACCGAAGAATCGGGGGAAAAATTCTGAGAATGTGAGAATGAGAATTTTCTGAGAATCTGATAATACACCCTCTTGGTTTAAGCATACTTACATGTTGCTTATGTATGCTTACACCGGGAAAGTTTATGTCCAAAACCTTATTGATACACCTTGGACCCTCGGGGCCTGAGACCTTTCACAGGCTCAGCATTATGCTGGCAAGTGCCTCGTTTTGCGGCATTTTTTCCTGACCTTTTGCACATACTCAACTGCCAATGACAACATGCCCTTGCTTTCCTTATCCTCCAGCTTAAGTCATTTACCGCATCAATTTTTGATTTTCGACGAACTCGTATCTCGTCAGCATACATACATCATTGATTGAATGAGGATGCACTATCACATGAGCTATCCAAAATGGCTGCACAACTCAAGTGCAATGCTCATCACTTTGGCAAGTTATTGGGAAACGATAGAGACCTGATAGAAAACAATGCAACTTTGGTTGAACAAAACCATGGCCAAACGAGACGAGAAGGGGGAAGGTTGGGTGAGGTGACTGTGAACGAGAGACATATGGCGTGGTTTACGATCTTCGCCGTTGCCGGGGTGATGATAGCGTCGTTTATGATGTTCATAATCATCCAATTTTCCTGAGAGAGGCGAGACAATTATGTATGCAATAGAATGTAAATAATATGATGGAACATGTATACGACTTACTGCAAACCAGTTGATTTGCATCATATGTGATGTGTACGTTTTTCAAATTTCTATTGCTTGCAGATTGCCAGAAACTGAAAGGATCAATACTACAAAATAATCAACAAGAGCAGCCAAATTTTATCCAATAAGCAACCGTACTAATTTCCTTCAACACATAAAACAACCCAAATGCAGTCGTAACAACAGTTTGACAAAGAACTCGGCATACAAAATGTTTAAAAAGTGGATGTGAGTGACACAATCAACTTGAATGAAAGGGATTGATGATGCGAGCAATGAGAAATTAAAGAAGACATCACCAAAAATGATGTTATGGAAATGGTCAAAAGTTGTGACAGGCAGTACAAAAACCTATTTGCACAAGATAGGACAAGAAGAACCAGATTTAATGACCAAAACGTTTTGTGTCTTAAAGGCTTGTCAGAATTTGGTTGGGAATTTACATACACAATTTGCAGTATAAACCCATACATCATGGGTAGGTGGGGGTTTCTCAGCATTCTCAGAGCGTTCTCAGGGGATCCCCCGCTTCTTTGGTTTACCGCTTAAAGGTGATATTGAAAGTAGTGCTTACCCTTGACTTTATCACATATCCTGTCAAACTTGAGCTTCACCAACAAGTCCGATGGCGAGTCGTACTTCCCTTTTTTATCGATTCTTTTTTTCTTGTCTTCTGGCGAATCCCAAGAGGGATGTTCGCGTGCCTTGTTGACCCATTCAATAGCCAAAGCCACACCTTCAGGACCTTTTAAGATATTTCTACAACCCGTATCGGAACCAAATAGGCTATCGAGCTTTCTATTGATACTCAGCCAAATGCCTTCTTCCGCATCGGCTGCAGGTAAAGATGGTGGATGAGAACAACTTATATATATCTTGTCGGTGTGTGTAGCTGTGGTGATGAGTGGGAATTCTTCCACAAGGCGCAAGGCCTCCTTCATTACATCAATGAGTAACGGCATGATTGGAGTTGATTTGATTGAACGGTGAAACAGCGATAGAGTGATGTTGCAATGTGTTGTGGTAACTTTAACTTTAACTTTAATCAGCAGTGGGTACGGTGGTAGTCCTGGTGTGATTAACGTTGATTTCTTTGGATTTCAGTTCACGGCCGTTGACTGTGTTCACGCTGATTTGATCAAAAACTGACCAAATTTCGAGGTTTTGGGCAAAATTTTGCCTTCACAACGACCAAATTTAGTCAAAATCTGACCCAGATTTTGACCTTTTACGTCACCAACCCTATGCCCAAAACCTCCAATTCTGACCATTTTGGTCACCAACATAGGTTAAATCTGGGGCCAAATTCTGACCTTTTTGGTCACCAACCCCAATAGGCGCATTCATGGGTCCTCTTCACCACCAACATATTTACCTCGGATTACAAAATCTGAGGTGTCTCCGGATGCAAAACCTCGGACAGAAGCTTCCCAAGGTTTTGATCCGAGGTAATTCTCAGGGCAAAAAAATACCTCGGGCAAAAACCTCGGACAAGGTCTGTCCGAGGATTTGCCTCTGATGATGCGTCAGATTTCTCAACCCAAGGCATCTATGCTGGCAGTGCTTGAATGTGGTATCATTTTCAAGCCATGAAGTAATGGTGATAGGGGATAGGCTGACAGAGCAAGGGTGTAAGGAGATTTGAGGGTATAATTAGACATTCTCAAGTCACTTGTACATGTCTCCTTATCCCAAGGTCATCTACGTTGAAAGAATTGGAAGCGATTTTTTTTGCCCAAGAAGCCATGATGTATTTCACCCAAAGCGTTGCGGGTTCCAAAATGGAGCTATGTATCTGATTCTTTAAAGTTACAGCTTATCAGCTGTATAGCCCACCCCTCTGTGCCTCAATGGTGTATCTTAGATTCTCGTAACTTGCCTTTCCCAGCCGTCTATGATGGGAATCTTCAAAGTTGAGAGATTGGCGCCACTGTCATTGTCAAACCAGTGGATCAGGGGTACCTTGGATTGAGAGCACATTACCACATCAAACATGTTCAGTATACAGCTGTTCCAACAAAGATTGATTTTTTTGGAAATCTCGCCAATGTGCAAAACCCGGGTTTTGTCCCTCACTTGATTTTGTCTCTCCGCTAATTGGAAGAATACAGGAAATAATAAACCTGTAATCAAGTTTTGTCTTTGGTTTTAGCCGCTGCGGAGACAACTTTCTCCAAAAAAAAGTTGTCAACCTTTCTTGGAACGGCTGTAGTGACACCACGGGAATTATTAAGTTCAAACCCCAATTGAGCAGAATTGTGGTGTCTGAGTCCGCAACTTGTCTCAATTGTGGATCTAGTTCCCATTACATTCACATTATGTTCACAAGTTTCCCTCAGGGTTCTTTGATAACACTTTGTCACAAGACATATACATACAAAGGCCCCTTTCAGACTGTTGAATCTCTTTCATATCACATTCCCTGTCCTCTCTCTTTACGCTTGCCATAGACATTCTGCCAAGAATGTTTGGCAAATCCAGATTTGATGACTGTGGCATCTTTATATCCAATGGAGTCAGGATTGAGAAGGGTGAAGCCTGACCCGTCCTTGACCTGTCAGCCCACAAAATTACAGCTTGAGGGAAACTTGTGAACCTAATGTTGACAAATTGTGAACAAGATCCACAATTGAGACAAGTTACAGACTTGGACACCACAATTCCGCTCAATTAGGTTTTGAACTCAATAATTCCCGTGGTGTGAGACTGATCAGTCTGTCTTCTTAAGCATGTATATGTTACATGTCTGATTATGGACAAGCATATCAGAACAATAAACAGCTCTTTACATACTGGCCATGTCAGGAACATATTGATTTGAGCTGCATCCCTTTTAAATTTTCATCTTCATTGCTCTCTACATATATCTCAGGCCTATTCTCCTGTTTATCATTGACTCATGATCTCATCTTCGTCTTATTTGCTCTTTACCTGGTGTCTATCTTATCTTATCATCTTTAAAAGTACATGCTTGACCTCTATTACACCAGAGAGGCGCCACGGCGGCCTACAGACGGTCGATCAATGCCGCCTGGAGGCCGTAAACTCTTCCGTGCAGGCAGGCGGCCTCCAGGCGGCGCTCAGGTACGCCGCCTGCGAGCCGCGTGAGAAGCCGGCCTGGCGGATGGCATCTTGACGACGGGTGGCAAGCTGCATTCCGCCTCAAGACGGCCGAACAAGGCTTCCGCCTGCAAGCGGCGTGGCAAGCTGCCCTGGTTGGGGGCAGCAAACGGGTCGGTGAGCCGCTCGATCCGACTGGCTTGCTACCTTGGACCTCTGCGACGGATAGGGACCCGACTTCATTGGGGCAATTTGGGCTCACGGGAGAAACCAGCTCAGGTCGGGCACATGCAGCAATACAGCAAAACACAGTCATTAAATTTCAGCAAAAGGACAAAGGAGAAGAATTTAGCGACAACATTCCGGGTAGTTGAACAATTGTATATAGATGTAAAGTTTTGTAATATACATCATAGATACACAATTATTCAATTGTACATAATTCAATATATTATTGAATGTTTGTTGTTACTTGGTTTCCGGTGTTGCTGGATCCAGGATTGCCGGCACGCCGCGCAGCCTCTTGCGCCATACGTTCCAGGATGGCCTCTTCGGAAGGGAAGTCAAGGGCCTTGTCCTGAGCACGCTGTTCGGCTTTGATAGTTTTGAACCAGACGGTCCCGGGAAAATACTTTTTATCCTCCTTGAAAACTAGCTCATAAAAGCTACCGTGGGACGAATCGCTGTCATTACAAGGTTCTGATAGAATAGATACATGCTGAGCTGTAGACTTACGCGGCAGCATAGTTTTCATCACGTCGCGCGCGCAGGAGCGCAAGCTGCGTATCAATATTGGCCCACACGGATTCACTTCCTTTGGGGCCTTTAACAATGATCCGTGCGGCTTCCCGACGCTGAGCAAAATCATTTGTGTAAGCGAGGTGTACCAATTGACGAGAAATCATCAATACCCACCATGTACGCTATTCGTGCCCGTGTGGCTTGATCAGTGGCTGCCCACACAGCTTCCAAGTCGGCCTCTTCCCCAACGGTTCCACATCTAACAGCGACCTATATCATGACAAATCCGATTCGGTTCATTGTGAGAATAATTCATGAATATTGAAATTGAACTGACTTTTTTAACCAATTTTTTGATGCAGGGGACTGGGGTGCCGACAACCTCCTTGGATTTAGCATCATGTATACCAGATAAAAGCTGGAGTTTGACAACGTGAGCGTGAGCGAGTTAACCTACAAGTCCCTGAACGATGTGACTCACAACATTGTGTAGCTTTTCTCGACCATGCTTCCCAGCGTCTCTGAGGGCTGTAGCATAAGATTGGGTATCGGTGGCGTGCTCGACACCTTGGCGGTTGGCAGGCAGGTACTGGGCCTTAAAAGCGATGGTTTCCTTGGCAACAGTTTTCTACTGGGGTTACTCGATTCAGAGTTGCTGCAGAATGATAAATCAATAAATTACTGACCTTGATCATATTAAACAACGAGTTTGGGAGATATCCTTCGGCTTTGTTGCTAACCGCTGTGTATGCCTCCAGGAGCGGTGACCATAGGAATTTAAGCGCCATGGGGTTGATCAAACCCTATTGGCCATAACAAACCGAGTCAGATCACCTGTTGTAAGTGTAAGCAGAAAGGAGTCTTACCACAAGCTTTGGGCTTGACTTCCAATTCCCGTAGGCCATCTCGGTAGGGTTAGAAGCAGGAAGTGCAACCTGTTGCTCCTCTCCTGCGCCTTGTTCCTGTGCTGCAATGGGCCCGGGTGCAGATGCGCCGCTGGTCCCCGTAGCGAGTCGGTTGGCCAGCGTGTCAATCTTGTTATGAAGGCGGGAAATTTCCATTAGGAGCATTGATTGAAAGGTTGCTCCTGCGAAATGTTGGCTGTTTTCGCCAAAGACCTTTCGCGAAAAAATTCAGCCAAAGCTTGAGTTTAAATAATATGAAACAAAGAGAATCTGAGAGTGTGACGTACCTCAGCATGGGCCAACGCAAAGGTCCGGTGTTTGTCATCTAAACCATAATGATCGGCCATGGCGTTGAATACAATCAAGCTCTCACCGACTAGAGGCTCAGCAAAAACCAATGGCAAATCGTCAGTCCGATCGTCTGGGCGCTGCGACTGATGGCGTCCGCCGCCGTGTCCTGTTGCGATATGGCCGAGGGATTGGCAAGAACTATCCTCCCTGCAAAAGCTGCCTCGTCGACTCGGAGAAACAGACCGGTGGTCTCGGCCTCGGTGGCCGTTAGTAAGATCTCCGCAGTTGCTTTCGCGCGTGGTCCTTTCGGCTGGATGGTACAAACGGCGTAGAAATTGATTGGGGGTTTATGTTGATGAGTTAGGTAAGGTATTTTCAGACTCACTGTTTGGGTTCCTCACACCTCCCTGGCTGTTGAATCTTTGAAGGCTTGATAATCCACCGCCACCCCCTTGAGAGTCAAATGGTCCAGCTCGGAAAGAGGAAGCAAGAAATTAGCCTAAAAGGGAGTTTATGGAGTGATTAGATACGCAAGATATCAACTCACCGTTTGAGTGACTCGCACCACCGAGGCTGTTGAATCTTGTAAGGGTTGAAGGTGATTGGAATCCATCGCCACCACCTTGAGAGTCAAATGGTCCAGCTGAAAAATATTCAGCAAGAGAAATAAAAATAAAACATAAAGAGAAAGACTTACACATACTAAAAGATGAATCCGACATCATTGCAGCAGATCAATAGGACAACAAGCCAAGAGTGAGTTATAAGACACCAGGCTCTTGATTCCGCTCAAAGGTGGGTGGATTTTGTTTGAAAAACTGCAAAGGTCGATTTTTCAATCTTAAAAGCAGCTGCAGTCGGGCCACGCAAAGTCTTTTGCATCTCTTCGCCCCACGAGGTCTTATGAGAATGATTTTGAAATTCGCCAGTTTGTTCGTTCAAGACCTTTCGACTGTCAAAGGACTCATTTCATCATATCTTGAAAACTTGATTTTGACAATGACCAACCAAAAACAAAGCCGATACGCCACAAGAAGCAGCACTCGGGGACATTTATCTGGTGTTCGCAAGGTTCAAAAGACCTCGTAAGTCTCCTTGCGTCGTGTTTATTTCCCTTATGCTTATTGCTTTGTTGTGATTTAGGGAGTCGGGTTCAAAGAGGAACACCTCTGACAAGATCGATGCCGAGGTGGAACAAACAAAAGTCAAAAGTGAATCAATTGGAGATCAATTCCATGGCGATACTGAAGTTTGGGATACACCCACACCAAGCTATCGTGCAATTAGCACCGGTTCTAACAGGCCTACGCCGGAGGTCACCCTTCCGGAACGCCCGGTCTTAGGTATGTTCACTTTCTACTTCAGCGTTATGTAGGACCAGTATGTTGACAAAGTACTCTGTCCATTAGAGTTCCCTGTCGACGGTAGTTTTGTGATCTTTCCGGCTCTTTGTATGATCATGGATGCGACCACCCTTGAAGATTATCTTTGATTTGCCCGTGTGGAACCCGATGAAATCGCCAGAGTGATTCCCATCCTGAAGGAGAAGGGTGTCAATCAATTTGACTTATTTTTATTCCAGGAATATGTGAACAAGGATGTTATGAAAACTTGGGGTATATCGCCTGGGACTGCGGCTCGAATGATGGTATATGCTCATATGTTCTACCAAAGCCACGTAGATTTGGACAGGCAGTATTTGGGGCCTTCAGGATTGTAATGAAACTATGCGGATATGGTATCTGGCATATTGACCTCATGATGACTGTTTGCATGATTGTCCCAATATGCTTCCTTTTGATATGAAGCGATATCTGAGTTCAAAGGATATTGATTAGGATATCCTAACCACACTACACAAAATATAATATTTTCTGGGCAGAAAATTAAATTATTGATACACAAAAATATTGAGAGGCCAGGAGAAGGGCAAAAAATAAATATAAATATGCATCTTGTTCCCTGCGGTGAGAGCTTCACTCTCCATATTTTTCCATATTTTTACAGTCCGTATTGATAAGTGTACTAACAATAAACCTTCATAATCATCCAATTACAACCTGTAACAAGCACTGAAATTTGGCTCATTAGTGTTTAGAGAAACTTGTGATTTCTGAAAACGCCTATAACTTTGTCAAATCTGCCTCAAAACACTCGATTTTAAGTGCATTAGAAAGCTGAACTCTTCCTCTCGAACTTTCATAAGATCAAGAACTATGTAGCTAGTATGGTAATCATTCTATAGATCTGTATGTACAAATGCATAAATCAGACTTCATCTTTTCTAGCAGACCAGCATGCTGTGTGGTCCCATTATGAACTATTTGGAGGACAATTCCAGCTTACCAATGCACCCAAAATCGAGCGTTTTGGACCGGAATTGAAAAAGTTATGAGTATTTTCAGAAATCAAAAGTTTCTCTAAACACTAATGAGCCAAATTTCAGTGCTTGTTACAGGTTGTAATTGGATGATTGTGAAGGTTTATTGTTAGTACACTTATCAATATGGACTGTAAAAATACGGAAAAATATGCAGAGTGAAGCTCTCAACGCAGGGAACAAGATGCATATTTTTATTCATCTTTTGCTCTCCTCCTGGCCTCTCAATATTTTTGTGTATCAATAATTTAATTTTCTGCCCAGAAAATATTATCTTTCTTGTAGTGCCATGAGCCTCATGCACATCGACATGACCTCCGGGATCTCATTGAGAGGAGGGAGATTGTCTCAATGTTAATAAAGACCATTGGGAAAGTCCTTGACATTCAGCCCATCTCCCATTCTGTTCAATCATATTTGCGATCAAACATCATGGGCTATCCCATTAACCCAGTTAAAATCAAACAACCTTTCATCTCTCGTAAACTCATTCAAGCTATAGAAGAGGCACGCGATCTCGGTCAAGATCTTCGCCGCGAGGATCAATTGCTCCGTTTATTAGAAATGGGTGAAATGAGGATGTATGCGACCATGACTACTCGATTGAAAAAGGATGGCTCGAATTATGATGATTGGGTAGACACTTTGAACGAGAATGTTTGGTTCGAGGCGAGGTGCACTCGCAATTACTTGGATGAACCTCGCTCGGAAGTCCACACCCTTTTCGATTGGATTTTGGACAAAGTCCTCTTGGCCATGATTCGTGCCACCGTTCATCGAGACGCTGTCGAGGCCCTTTGCATAGCCTCAGACCCACATGACGCCCTCATGTGGATCGAATGGTACTACAATATGGAATGTAAGTGCCTTCTTCGACTGAAATATGTTTTGACAAACTCTCATCAATCATCAATTTGTTCATGTTTTAGAATGTACTCACCCGCATAACGCGGGTATGTTGAACATTTGGAACAACGGAAGGACATGTTTGTAAGCCAATTATGAGTTTCGGCATGAGCACGATACTGATGTTGTTGTGAAATATCTTCAGATGAAGTCACCCAGGATTGATCAATGTACTCTGGAGTCCGCAATCACTTTACTTCTTGTACTTTTATTTCTTGATATTGTCACATCTTCCTCCTCATCACCACCTATCTAAATTCATAATTGAAATGCATGGGTTAGATGGAGAAGGTTCATTTGTGAAGAAAAGTTATACAAACTTGCACACTGCTCAAAAGTCAATTCGCCTCCTGTGTATTACCCTGCCCTTTCCTAACTGCTCATGGTTCTGCGTTCCAAACTCTGAGTCCTTCTTTAACAGCGTCGTTCCATTGAGCCGGTGTGACAGTTGGCTGTTGACAAGCAGAAAGCCAACGATGAAGGTGGCCCTTATAATGAGACGCCGCATTCAGAATGAATTTGGGCGAGTCAACATGATCAACGCCCCAAAGCCGAATTGAGGAAACCCTCCGCTTGATTTTTTTGACCTGGTTTTTCGCCAGTTTGCACTGGGCATCATGACAGTTATGCTGAATGTTAATCACACACATAACTTCCTGGTAGGCACATTTGAAAAAACTGATTAATAACAAGCACACCATCCCATTCAATGTATGCAGGTACATACTTTGACATGAGTAAGTCCAATTTGTTCGGTCAAATGTACCTCCCGCATTCCATAGAACTTGTTGATTGGCCCCCTTTGACATATTTTGAGAACAAGATGTGTCTTGTTTGCAGATACCCCGTCCAACTTCCAGATAGACTGTACTTGACCTATTGCTCGTGGAGAGTTAACCTGCAATTTGATAAGTGTATCAAATATACGTCTACTGACCCAAAATGATAAGAATGATGAGGACTCACAAGGACAAAGTCATTCAATTCAACCTTGATATCTCCAGGCATCATGATATTTTCATACTCCTTCAAGTGGGCGCGGACCACCGTGCTTGGAATGCATGACGGCGGCGGAGATTGAGTTGGACATTTTGCTGAGGTGGACATGTCAGATGTATAAAAGATTAAGAGTCCGCAAAACCATCACTTACGTCCGATGGTATAAATTGTAGAAGGCCCTGGAGAGTTAGCCAGACCCATGGCCTGGAACAATTTGGGTACCAAAGATAACAATTCTTTCAAACGAGGGCCACTGCTTACCCGAGTGTCAAGCTTATAGTTGAAGAAAGATGAACCTGAGACAAAAATTCTCAACATTTGACGAGTATTTGATGTGTTAGCTATGTCTTGACCCGGACTTTGATGGTTTGAATGAATGGAAGCATGTCGAGTGACCCCATTGAAAGATTCAAGTTTTTCAGTTGCAAAAAGACAAGCTGGACCAAACCTTCGAATTGAGTCTTGTAGGTGAAGGAGCATGTGAATCTTTGGCTTATTGACCCAGCGAGCATTGAGAGCAATCAGATTTTTGAGGAACCTAGAAATGTGAATGTCGAGTTCGGCTAAGTACATTTTCATGTCAGGGATCTCGGTCTGAAAAATATATGAGCTCAAAAGGCAGAGAGAAGTCCACATTTCGCGTTTTGCCTCCGTAAGATGTTTGAACAACACAAAAGGAACTGTCTGTAAGACCGTCCGGAATTCTTTACCCACTAGACTCTGATAATAGGTGATCATAGTGTTTGGTTGAATAGGTGGCATTTTTAAACCTCTGGCATTAAAAGCTCGCCATCGGCCGGAGAGATCATTGTACATATTTGAACCAAGCTTGATATTACCCAGTTCATTCATGTCATCTTTGAACAGATACTTTTTGCACCCAAGTAAACAGACATGGAGAATCTCCACTGGAGTATCCTTGTGTCCGTCAAAACCTACACACAAAGGGTGATAGATCAGCTGAATCCAAATCCAAAGATATAGAATTAACACAATACCTTGGAGCCGCAACATGGGATTGAAGATGTGTTCCCCATGTTGAGCATTGACTTGTTGACATAGTTTCTCCACTTCAGAAGGAGGAAGAGACTTGTGTGCCACATGAACATTATTCTGGAAAAACTCATTCATAGGATCTTGAACACCGAAGTTGCGGCCCATTGCTTCAACACGGGTTTTGGAGTGGCGTTTTTGAGCGGTGGCCCACATTTCCTTGGTCCAGCGTCTAGTTTGGTCCCAGTCGCGGCCGGGTAATAGGCACTATGAATCTCAGCAAGTCAGTCTTAAATTCCCCAGCATGAAAGTGTAAATGTGAAGTCATACCTTTTCTCCATTGTCATCTAGTCCAAGAAAATCTCTGACAAAGTCCTGCGATTGTTTGTTGGCCTGCTTTGCCACATGTAAGTCACACATATGACAAGGAGTAAGAGTGTTTGCTGGGTTGAGAGTATTTGATATCTCGGCGTGCATCGGGGAATCACCAAGGTGAAAAAGAGACACCGTCATTACCATCACTTCCTCGCCAAGGTTCTGATCATATGCAAAGAAGCCATTGGTTCTATAATCACTACAGAGAGAAAGTTCTAGTTAATACCAAATATAGCAATCAGATATACAACAAGATCACTTCACTTGAGATCATCAACGACCTGATCAAATAACTCTAGGGCTGTAGCGCAATTCAAAGTTGCCAGGAAGTGGATATTGAATTCTTGATTGGTTAGAATGGGCGGTAAGCCAGCCAGCGTGAAGTAGATACTCATGTGTTTGTTCCACTTTTTGGACACGTTTCCAGAAGTGTCGTTGGAATATAAAGCTAGAGGAATATGTCGGATCACTTTCCCTTGAGCCTTTGCTCGCCAAGGGTTCGAAATTGGATGGCAAGGGTCAGTGGCATCGACCGAATCTGTGGTATCTGTGTCAGTACGGCAAACACACCAGAAGGATGCAAAATAAGACTTACTGTACATATATTCGCCACACCGGTTCTTCAGAAGGACTTCATGCTCCAACTCAACATGATCAAAAGTTCGCCAGAAGTCTTTGCAAGGAATGTTAAAAAGGACATCTGAATTGAAATCTTGATTTTCCGGTATTATGACTCTGAAATTTGACCGGTGATGAGGGTCTGGTTTCACCACTGCAGGCAGACACCTTGCCATAAGACAACTTTCTTGTTGGAAGAAGAACACCGGTACTACAAGCTGCTCCGAGTTCAGTTGGACAGGCTCGTAGATGTAGTAGTGGGAATTGTTAGAAGATATCATTTGGACTCGTAAATGTGGCGGATAATCTTCACGCCACTTTGCGCATTGTGACAGACGGTTGATTGGACCATCAATGGTGAGCTCGGGCACGTAAACCAAATGGGGGCTGACTAAGGGGTTCGCCAACTCCTAAAAACAAATTTAATTAGGTTAATACCTGAGAAGGTCACCCCTTGTGAAAAAAGAGGGCTAACATTGATTATGATAGTCTTGATATCTAATCCAAATAGTGGATTACCACATGGACTAATCCGCTCACGTATCTTGAGTCCCAACTGAATTTTCAACCTTTGTACCAGTCTCCTCAAAGTACCCCATTCAGGAAGAGTGACACCAAGAAGCCGAAGGAGGGACCGAATTCGCTGGTATAGAGCCTGTGAGAGGAGTTTTCGGTTCGATCCAATCATAAGCAAAGCCACAACATGCTATCACCAAATGAAAAATGCTATTAGTTTAGAGTTAAACAATACATAAATGCAGCTTACCTCTTTCTTTTTGAATGGGTACCAATCAGCAGAGTCTTCAATGCCTCCAACATTGGAATCCAGCTCTTCGTCAAACACATCTTCATCTTTGTCTTCGGGATCTTCATCCCCGGATTCGAGTGCAATAAAGGCTTCACGAAGCTGGTCAAAATCAAGTAGACTGGCCGAGTCATCATCTGAATCATTATGATTAGTGCCTAATTGGGTGAATGACCGGAGCAAAGTGAGGGGTGAGGGTGGAATAGAAGGTGGGTCTGAAGACTGTTCATCGCGATGGAAGAAGTCGATCAGATTCAGGTCCAGGATATCAGCAGGTGGACTTGGAGTTATGTCCGGCTGAACATCTTGATGGGCTGCTGGGGCTGAAGGTTGAGTTGTCAAGAATTTCTCCACCGCAACTCTGTGGGCTGATGATTTTACATGAGGTCCATAGTTTTGCATACTTCGGCTGTGTGGGCAGACATGACATTGGTATTTGATGGGGTCCTGAGTGATTTGGGTAATGTCTGGTTATTGAATAATTGGGAATCAGTGGTGGATCAAAACACAGCAATCAATAACTAGCGTGAGACTTACGCGGCGGCAGTGAATTTGCATCATTCATCATTTCGAAATGGATGCAAAGATGAGTGGTGCGTGGTGGGCTTGAATTGCGGGTGGTGAGGTTGTGACAAAGGTGTCTGGGGCAATGATGGTGGTGGTTGCCTCGAGATCAGCTGCTTTCCAGTCGCACGCGATCTGCCGATCGGATTTCGCTGGTTACCCAGAACAAGGGCTGCTGCCCGCCTGTTGATGGCCCACGGGCGGTGCCTCCGATCGGTGTTGGCAGTATGGCGTGGAGGCAGCCTGCTGCCCGCCTGTTGATAGCACGCCAGGCGGTATGCAAGCCACCTCTTGCGCCGCTGGAAGTGCGAACTTTGTCTCAGCGGCGGTTGTCCTGCAGGTCGACCGCTGCCGGTCTGCTGGCATCTTGCAGACGGCATTTGGATCGATATGGCAGATGGGCTAACTGGCCGCCTGCCGCGCGCGTGCGTATGGCCAACAGGTGGGACTGCGGGCCGCCTTTTGCTCTGACCATTCTCAGACCTGGCAAGACCATTTTCTGATTCGAAGTGCTTCTCAAACTTAACAAAGTCCCTTGCCAAAGGCCCGAGCCCCAGCGAGGGACTTACCCCATAAACTGGAATCCTGGCGTGAGAAGTAGCCTGTATTGGCTCAAAAAACACTACTTTGAATTCTTTGATTTGTTCCTAAATAAACAGGTCTCGGAGGTAAATAAAAGGATGATGGCAAATATTCATTACATATGAGCCAATTGCAAGCTTCCCCAAATCTGGTCTGGAACTTGGGCTACTAGGGAATCAAAAATGGGTCTGTTTTCAATTTTCAGCAGCGGCGAGCCGGCTCAAAGCCTGTATTTCTCAGAAAGCGGTCAAAATAATTGATCTTCAACTACTCAAAAAGATAACTTCCCAGAAAGATAGAAAGGAGTTTGCAATTGGTACATATGTAATGGTCCCTTGCCATTTTCTTCTTTCTTTGTTGCAAGACATGTTTGTTGAGAGAGAAAAAAAACAAACAGATGTAGAGAATTTGGAGCAAATACAGCTCACTTCTCACGCCAGGATTCCAGTTTATGGGGTAAGTCCCTCGCTGGGGCTCGGGCCTTTGGCGAGGGACTTTGTTAAGTTTGAGTGCTTCTGTGGTGTAGAAGCTTGTCAGATTCCCAAATGTTACACTTCTTTCATACATACAATCAATTCCACCTACATTTTTCGGTAAAAAACTGTCAGCTCTGGACTGTGGGACTTTTAAAATTTAAACTGAACTTTGTGTGCGATGAGATCTTGGCCCCGGGGTCAGCCTCGAGACTGAATATCCGCCCACTTCTTTGTTTAAATCTTGCTCGCTCCTCTTTTCATTTTTCACCCCCTAATATTCGCTCAATCGCAGAAAGATAAACCCACCTATCAAATCGGATTGACTTATTCAGTAACAAATTTCAATCCACGACATGAACCACAATCGAGGGGTGCATCTGTTCTTGGCTTGACCATGTGTTGAGACCTAAAAGGAACCGATAGATTCCCAAAGGGAGATATACGATAAGGCCTTAGAGTCAAAGGGGTGGTAGCTTGATTGTGACACGCCTTTGGTCAAATTGGTATTGTGTCTTGCTTCACAAGAGCTCATGTCATACTATCGAGCGTTATACTACGGTGCAAAAACCTTCCAAGATGCTCATGAAATGCCGATCGAGTGTTTCAGCAAAGGATGATCATGGCTAAACCGGTACACACTGCGTCACATGCTCTCTTGAGCTCGGATCTCTACTCAAGCTGATCTTGTGGATCTATGAAAGCACAGCAGGCTGTCCCTGCTTCATAGTCTCTGGGAACATGTTAAAACGTCTGAACATTTCCAAAAGAGGGACAAGCGAATCTGGCTGACCAGTCCTAACATCGTAATTTTAACATGACTCAAGTTTAGGTTCATAAACAAAAAAGTGGGCTGAGCGACAAGGAGTTAGACGATCTCATCTAGAAGATTCTGGGCAAAAAAACTCAACCCGAATTCCATAGGACTATTCACAGAGCTTATGTGCCCTGATGATGATCGATAGGCCGGTCCATCATCAAGTGAACACAGCCCCTATAACATCCGATTCCGAACTTCATCCACCAAGTGACACGCTTCAGTATGATATGCGTAGTTTTCCAGACGGTTGGGGAGAAAAGTAAAAACTCCAACTGATTGGAAGCTTTTCTCGTGACGATTTATGTACAGTCGGCTTCAATCAGTAGCGCACTGTTGTTTAACACACATCAGCCGTTTCTCTAAAGTGAACACTTGATGGACATGATTCATGAGATTAGGATAGACTTTCGATGATACTCTCATTAGGTCTGTAAATGAGATTTCGATAGACTGAATGATTGGCTCGATAATTACCACGGTGTAATCAAATGCCTAAAAATGTCATGGTACTTTTCCAAGTTCATGCATATTCACAATTTCTCGACGACATTAGAAGAAGATGACTTGAAACTCTCGAAAAAGCTTCGAAAAGCTGAACCACCAACGAACGCAAATGCCGCGAGTCCGACCTCACTCTAGACTCAACAGGCTGATGAGCTTTACCAAAACACCTAATTAGTCTAATGCACACACCATTAGCTTTAGAATAGGGGACTTGAATGCTAATGCCCAAAAAAATTCACAGCTGACAAATGCATGCCTTGAATTATTGAAACGGTTCCAAAAATATTCAACAGAGGGCAATTGCAAGCCGTTCACATTTCTCAATCGATACGTTTCTGGATGCTTTTCCTTTCCTTCATCTTACCGCATTCACTTATTGATACCATTTACTTTTTATTTGTGAGTGTGAGTTCGGAATGCGGTTTGGTCTGAAAGCTCTACATTTTGATACGACAAATGAGCCAAGATCAGGATCTATACGAGCTGATTTTGACTTACGATAGATCTATAAAACTGACTCATACCAGATTATCTTTCTCATCAGAAAATATCAATTTCATCAAATCAACCGGCGATCATACACACATATCTAAACTCTTAAAACCACTCCAAAGCAACACATACCGTCCAAAACCTACCAACTCATACCCTCACAATGGATCATCACAACAACCCTCAGAGTCACATAGACGACGCTCTATTAGACGTTCTCGCCTCTGCGTTCATCGATTTTGATCAGGACGGGCTACCCATCAATTCCTTAAGTACTCAACAACAATCTAATATGTTGAATACCACTGACCACGCAAATTCCTCAAATCCCTTGACCAACCCACCACAGTTTCCGAATCAAGGATTCCAATCTTCAAGTAATCTTGCTACATCTATTCCAGATATCACCTATACTCACCAGGAACTCGAAAATCTCGATTTTGGCTTCCCGGATTTCGGAGAAGCTCATCCAAATCTTAGTAACTCATACACATCTCAGCCAAGCTCTTGGTCCCAAGGTAGAACATATTCTCAAGCAGATATCCAAGTCCTCGGTTCACAAGCCTCAAGCTCTGGAGGGATTTCAAATCAACCTTCAATGAGTGGACCTGCTCAGCAAAGCTCTCGAATGCCTCCAGTCCCTGAGATGGCTCGATCTTTTTCGTCCAACCAAGGAACCGGGTTCCCCACAGATACTCAATTCGTCAACAATCCGCTCCAATTCAACTCCCAAACATACGGTTCACAAGCCTCAACATCCAGGATTCCCTCCAATGAGCCTTTAGTAGGTAACTCTGGCCAAAATCTTCACGGTGTTGGATCAAATACTAACCAATCCAACCTCAACCTACCTGTCCCAAGTGAGTTACGTGGTACAACTCCTCTTCTTGGTACATCCGTTCCAACCTCAATTCATGATGCTTTAAGACAGGCTGTTGAAGGATACCTCACAGAAAAGCGTGCAGTGGAAGTCAAAATCTCTCGAACTCTTTTCGATATCATCAAAACATATGGAGCCGGTCCAGATGTCATAGAACAAATTCTCAATGATCTTCGAAAGCTTCTGACTGATGATAATCCAAATCAATTCAAATTTACCAATCCAACTGAAAAACCCTCGACTGAAGAAAATTCCAAATCAAACAAAAAGAGAAAAGTAAACTCAATAAGAGAATCGTCAATCACCGAAAGTCAAACTTCAGAAAGTGATCCTCACAGACCAACAAGAGCCAAGAGAACTGGAATCAAGAATCCCATCGTTGGCGGAAAGGCAAAGTTAGGTAGACCACACAAAGACTATACTGCTGCTCAAAGGGCTAAGATAGAGCAAGCCAAGGCGGAAAAAGAGGCAGGTGCTTCTGAAACTCATCATCCTCAAGCTGGTCCTTCAAATTCTGTTCAAACTGATAACTAATCTTCTTTTTTTCTTTTCTTTTCACTCATTTATTTCACATTCTCTTGTATGGAAGTGTAGTTTGTAAATATGAAACATGCAAGAGAATTTTTTTTGAATATACCTTCAAACGTGTTAGTTAAAGAGTAAAGGTCTTAGAATTCTCAAATTTTTGAATTGAATTTGATCGATTTGATCCATCAAGTTACCTGTTTAACTCAATTTCTCCTTCACTCTCAGATTCAAACTGAGAGATCGCTTTCATTGTGAGATTGTGAAGATTGCAAAGACAATAAAGTTAGATACAAAGACTTGAAAACCAATCCCGATTACTTTTCATCTAAGAATGTATCATACTCAAAAGACCTATTCTATCATCTTTCACAAATTCGAATGTGCTTAAAAATACTCAAAAGAGTCTTCCTTGGTTTTATCTTTGAAGAAACTATTAAACCATTTAGTAAGTTTACAACACCATGGACTCTTTGTTTCTCATCAACAAGACACTTGAATTTCACATTTCATAAAAGTGATATAAAGCTCAGATCAATTTGATTTCACCTACTTGAATTTTCTTTGATTTGAATATCTTAATTTGCCTAGATGAATTCAATAATGATGAACAACACAACTGTATACCCCTCCCCCCCAAAAAAACTCAAACTCATTTTCCAATCAATCCAACCAAGATCAAACCAATAATCCTCAAGTTCAACACAATCTTAGTAATCTTCTGACCATATGTCTACCTTGTTCTTGTGAATGAATCCTTTTATACCTTCTTTATACGTGATATATGTTCAATTGAGTTCAATTCTTCTTTACCCATTTATGTAAACTTATGTAGCTAAATAGTCAACATGAATTTTATTTAATACATTTATACTGCAACTTAAGAATTCAATACATAACATCCTTTTTAAGATTGATCAATACAATTAGTAATACATAGTATTCTATTTTGATAAATGAAATTTATAAAACACCTGATCTTGTTGGGTTTGATAAGTTCTCATAAGTAAAAGTTGGAATTCCTATTAGTATAATAGTAATAATAGGAGAATTCAAGTTGATCAAAAAGTGACTAAAATGTTTTGGTACTTTACCCTTTCAGTCCTTCAAAATTTATGTGTGTTTTTTCCAAAAAAAAACATCACTAGAATGTGCTTCTCAGGTAGAGAGAACAGGAAAGGGCGAGGATCGCGGCGTTGGCTAGCATCTGCGAATAGATTTGTGTCAAGAAAAGGTTGTGATCAAGACTAAGGAAATTCACTTACTTCCACATAGAATCTGACTAGCAACGCTCTTGGCCGCGCCGATGAAGGGCTTAGAACGGACCGCGAAATCCAAACCTGTCATATCTGTGGACCAAACATAGAGATGAGCGTGGCTGATGAAACGGACAACATGACAAGGTAACGTACTAATAAACACACAAGGTCAAAAACCTGGATTTTACAAGCTTCTCCTGACATGGGATATTGCCTGTCGTAAGATTTCATCAACATATGGCATTTCTCATAAAGCACGAAGATGACACGACTTGCATGTAGTGCAATCGAAGATTCAAGGTCAGGTCGTCGTCATCGTGAATTGTGAGACGGTTTTCAATGGGCAAGTCTTCAGGATTATCGGTGTTCACTATAGAGTCATCACTCTTTTGAAAGCCAGTGATACCATCTTCTTGGAATTCAATACTAAGAAGCGTTAAATCCATCGGATCAACGATATGAACCGGGATTGATCCCCCTTTACGTAAGAATGCCGAGTAGGTATGCTTTTGTTAAATTCTATACTTGATGTCATATGGTAACAAATTCCCCACCTCGATTGGCGCTCTCAAGAGCAACGTGAGGATGGGATATTGTCTGAAGGGCAGATTGCGGTGAGTTCGTCATTCATGAGAAGTGATAGTCTTCGACATACCTAACATGCGAATAACTAACATCTATCCATCTCGTCAAGGATGTCTTGGAATCAGGGAATCGACAACAACCACTTCAAAGGAATCAAGAATCATGAGCTTTATGCAAAAGAAGATGTCATCGGTCGCTCATAAAAGGAGAATCTTAACCTACGCTACCCTATCCATCTCGGGAGGGATGTCTTGGAATCAGGAAACCAACAACAACAACCTCGAAGGAATCAAGACTTATGAGGTGTATATGCATAAGAACAGAGATGTCATCGATCGCTCATAAAAGGAGAATTTTAACGTAAGCTACCTCCATCCTGCGACTCATTGCTCTTGTTCGGTATTGACGATCTTAATTTATAAAAAATCGCGATAGAATCACTTACAAATCAACCCCAAACTCCCGGATTTCGTTCCACACCTCAATATGAGTTAGCTCAAAGAGAGATGTTTAAGATTACACCTGTTGGGGTTAAAGAACTTTTAATTCCTCATCGTGGATTGTGTAAATATTTTTATCGCAAAGGCGGCAATCAGGTATACTTTCAACTTTGTTTTGAAGCGATAGAATAGTGTGATGTGCATGAAAACTTCATTGCCTGCCACTTCGGCCTTCCTCTAGTCAGCACTGCTTTTCCTAACGAATCCCTCATCATAAAATATGTTGTTGAAAAACATGGTTTATGGTGTACCATCATGATACTTTTCGCCTGAGACCGATTCTTGACCGCACAGACAAGCAGATTGCATTCTTCTATATGTTGAACATTAACGTTTTGATATACAGTCAATGTTTGATGGCTTGAATGCTTTTGGATACGGTGGACGCAGCTTACAATATCAATCACAACTTGGAAGACTTTTGCTTTTGTTTACATTTTGAATAATTCTCAGGTCACATTTCTGATAATGTTCGAAGGAATTCAAATCACTATTAGCATCAAATTTGGAATCAGCTTTAGTGAATGAATTTCGCAGTCTTTTCCTTTGTTCACATTTTAAGGATGCATGATCACCATTTATCTAGGCATTTATTTAGGCATTTCGATTGTGCTGATCAGCTGAAGGATCAGCACTAGTTTTGGTCTATATAATCCTTCGGTTTTCCTCTAACTAGTTGCAAACTGTAGCCTCAACTCCCATATCACTTGAACAACACTCTTCCCAACCTTACTTGATTTATCACCTCTTTCCATCTTCAACAAACTATCACATTACATTTCACGACCTCGTATCATTTAATCATGCTCCCCGATTACTCCGACTCTTCACCAAATTCACCTACTCCTATAATTACTAACAACGATACTTCAACTTTCACCTCAAGTGCTCAAATAGATACTCATTCAATCATACTCCCTGATTACTCCGACAACTCTTGTCCAAATTCTCATACTCATTTAATTACTAAAAAAGATACTCCAGCTTTCAACCCAAGTCCTCAAATTGATTCTAATTCATTCATGCTCCCTGATTACCCCGACACATCTTCACCAAACTCTCCTGCTCCTTTAATTACTAAGAAAGATCCTTCAACTTCAGGTGGTCAAATAGATCCTAATTCATTCATACTTCCTGATTACTCCGACGACTCTTCACCAAAGTCTCCTACTACTTTAATTACTAAGAATAACACTCAACCTTTCAAACAAAGTGCTCAAATTGATACTCATTCATTCACGCTCCCTGATTACTCCGACAACTCTGCACCAAATTCTCCTCTTCCTTCACTTACTGCAAACTATCCTTCAACCTTCAACCCAATTGCTGAAATCAAATCTTCACCTACGAGCTCAAGTACTTCACAAGACGAACTTGAATTTCCCCCTGAAATTGAGGCCTTGCCAAAGATTGGTCAGGGTGCTTTTGGTTCAGTTCATAAAGCTAGAATTGGTGGATCTGTATGCGCAATCAAGGTTGTTCGAAGACTTGATCGAGAAGACAAAGATATAACCGCACCAATTCACAACGAAGCTGTCATCTTGCAAGAATTAAATCATCCTCACATCATTCAAGCTGTTGATTATTTTTACAATCCTGAAAATCTTTACATTGTCCAAGAATTTGCTTCAAGAGGAAATCTTTTCAAGTTCATTGAGGGGGAGAAAATCAGTGAGGAGAAAGCAAGATCCATTATATTGAATATAGGTAGTGCTCTTGATTACATTCACTCTCGTGGTATCATTCATCGTGACGTCAAGCTTGACAATATTCTTATAACTGCAGACTACCGTTTCAAGCTAGCGGACTTTGGCCTGGCTACGAAAACTGAGGACGGATTTGCTTCTGGTGACTGTGGGACTCCATATATCAAAGCTCCCGAAATCCTTAAGGGGGTTCCGTACACCCAAGCAGTTGACTGGTGGGCGCTTGGTATCATGTTATGCCAAATGGTTGGTGGAAATCACCCTTTTGGGCAAGGTATGTTTATCATTATCCTGCAATCCTCTTCTTTCCTGTTATGATTCGTTACTGACTTTGGCTATTATTCTCAATTTTGTCCCTCAGTCGATGAACCTATGCAGTACCAAATCTTACATTCGGATCCTACTATTCCTTTATCTGTTTCTTATATGGGTAGTGACTTGATTATGAAACTTTTAAATAAAGATGTAGGCTCAAGGATAAATTCTTATAGCGATTTAATGTCACATGATTTCTTCACGTGTAAATTCATTGTTTGAAACTTTCATATATGGACATCTTGAATACTTTTTACCCCTTGTATATTTGATGATAACATCCAATGACAGAAGATTTTTGTTTTGCTTTTTGTATTAATAAATATTTGTGAGCGTATTTTTGTTCCAGCTCTGCCACAAATCCATGAGCCTCAGAAGCCTTCCTATGGAATTTTCTCCATCCACAGAATATAACTATAGACAACTCTGGCTCGCAGCGCCACACAGCACTGCCAACCACATTCTGGGCAGCGCAGCTCAAATCTAGCTTGCTCAGGTTGGGTAACTTCAAGGGTAGCAAGGTAAAAAACTTGAGAAAAACTAGCAGCTGATAGCAGAACTTTTGTCCAGCAGCGCTTCACAGCGCTGCAAGCAAAAAAAAGCGATTTTTTAATTGGTATATGGTGTATACAATACTGTAAAGAAATGTGAAAAACTGGTCTTGTAAAAGGATGCAAAAGAGTGTAAAGAAAAGGAAAAAATGTATAAGACAGTAGTAAACTATTTGGATTGGGGTTTGAAGAACTAATGAACGCTTTAGATACACTTTCATGTTCAACAATTGGAGATCCAATTGGAGATCTTTCATTTGAAGAATGGGGTAATAAGATTTCTGAAGCAAGGTCTTGTTGAAAAGTGATTTGAGATTCTTTTCTTCTTACACAACTGATTGATAGCCAATAAGGCAATAATATATAAATAATGAGAGGACGGCTACCACTAGCTTTTGATGGTGATGAACCAATTGTAGTAGGTGATCGTTGTAATAAACTTACATGATCGATAACATCAGATGTTACATTTGAGAAAGAGGCTGGTAAGGTGACATTCTAGTATCATTGATTCCTTATGGTTATGTGGATTTGAACAAATTGATCTATAATAATTTACATTACCTGGTTGAGCTCTTGGTCTTTGATCAATTCAAGTTTATTCTTTCAGTTTCAATTCTCAAATCGGGGAACTCTTCACCTGATTTCATTGATCTTGATATATTCGTGTTCTCAACTTCATCTCTAATTGTCTTTGCTTTTATCACTAGAGTTAAGTGAGAAGTGAGATGGTATGTGATCAAACATAAGATAGTCAAGAAGTATTCATTTCTTTGTCGTTGATTGTATCATTATGCGACTTAACAAAGTTAGAGTGATGAAAAGAAATCAAGCCAACCATGAAACAAGAACCATTGATGATGGTGAGAAGAAAAAACTGGCAAGCCAAGCTGATTGACTTGTTGAGTAATTAAAGGTTCTTTAAAAGAAAGATAGATATAAGGCTAAGATCAACAACTGATACGAGTCAATAAGATTGAAAGCTAGGATTCAAAGAGGAAATTACTTACCTTTATACAAAAATGTTTCATCCATCAATGTGATCTAAAAGTCATGACTAGTTGGTTGAAAGGCTGGATTTGAGTGGGGATGTACAGACTGCGCCAGAAGCTGCAGGTAAGCATAGGTCAGCGTAGAATCAAGGGAGGCTGAGATGGCAGCGGAAAGCGCAGCACCCCAATGTTTTGAGCCCCAGATGTCAGCGGGAGGCGCAACACCCTGGGTCTGAGCTTCCCAGGCAGCAAAACAGCTATGCCTGGCGCTGCGCTCCGCGCTTCTGGCTACGCTGCGAGCCAGATTTGGTATAGATAAAGAATAAAACTTTGATTTTACCTCTGATATCATATTTGCCATTAAGCTTCACTTGAACCCATATAATCTGATCAAACTTATACTCAAATCATCTCCAGCCCCTCACTTCCCTTACAATCCGCTCAATATGAACCTGGTTGCGGTTCCTCTCTCTCTATGGCCTATTTCTTAGGCATCTTCTGTAATGAGCCAAGTACAAGCATATGCTCATAGTGTAACATCTACGCTTCTATAATACCTTGAACTTTGAAGCCTATGAGAGCTTCTAATCTTCACATTGCAATCTATCAACTAGGCAACTAATAACTCTATGTAAGCAAGTCACTGTAAGAGTTTCATGTGTATAGAATCACAGTCAACTTCCTTTCATTGTGATATCTCTTGCAATCTACCTTACAATAAATGTCTAAAATTCTCTTATTGGAAACTACTGGCACTGGAATACTGGCCTCTGCTGGTATAGAAGATTTTTCCCTTTTTTCTACTTTTGAAGGGCAAAAGGCGCGCCCCAGTGGCGCCTGTGCCAGTCCAATCAAGATTTTTTGCGCCTGGGCGCGCCCATTAGAAAAAGGACACACCCACAACATGAATGACAGGTAAGAATGAGGGGCAGCAGAAGAAGACTTAGGTAAGACAGGGGACAGCCTATTGGTATCAGTAGAGTAACATGGCTTCAGGTCACTCATGTAGACTTTGAGCAGTTCTTTTGGTCTTCCTGACACTAGCCAATGGAAAAACAAGGGTTGTGTTTCAAAGTGATTGATCCTCCCTAACCTTCACTTGTTGTTGAAAATGCCTTTTCTTTGTGAGTTTTTGAAGTGAACTCGAGATTCAGCGTACAACCTTCTAAAATCCATTTGTCTGCCGGCGACAAGTGAGAACTAGCCTCAGTGCAGTTGTGTCTTGTGAAAAATATTTTTTTCTTCCAGAGATCCTTGCAAGCTGGACAATTGATACTGCAGTCATCAATCTTGGAATACGCCAAACATTTACATCTCTGACCTTGACATGGATTATATAGAGCACTGGCACATCTCTACCCAGCAAGTTTTAAGAAACGCACACACAAAAAACCTGTTGATGCAATCAGATATAAATATTAATTGATAGACAGTTTCCAGGAATTTACTGCCTGATTATTTCAATATCACTGACTGCAAAATGTTTTTCTCAATTTTTTTTTTACACATTTTAGCTTATGTAACATTTTTTGCTATCATCTCCACAAACATAATCATCACAATCAATCAATCTCACCAAATAAATGGCCACCCTGTCCTTCCAGACTCTAACACGGCCCCACCTCAGCCTAGACCATTGGCTGGTTATGTGACAACAAACTCTGGTAGATTTTATCTTGGATGGAAAATATTTGATTTTGGTGGTTTCAAGTTGAGTTGACAATCATTTCTTTGGCATTAAAAAAGTTGAAAGAAAATGAGATATACTAATACTTATTTCTTTAAAATCAAACTAGCACACCTACTCTTCTCCAAGGTCAATAAACATGATTTTTTTCTTGTAGATCCATGTTTTGTACCATCCTCAACATATCTTGATTGTTAGCAGGTATGAAAAATGTATGAAAGCCGAGATATTCTGAAAACTGTGGCTGGGTGAGCCAAATTGATCTTGACTTGATAAGGTATGATACCTGACCAAAAGGTCAACTTCAGTTTTGCAAACCCTGTGACACGGTCACATAACCTCCATGTTGCAAACACGCAGTTTGGCATGGACATCCAGGCTTCTGACACTCACATTGTTGGTTGAAATGATACATCCAGCAGTACAATGACCAAGTCCTCTACTTACATATACATATGACTGAGACCGGAATTGGTAGATTGGATCTATAATGAAGCAAAGTGGCAACAATTTGATCAAGCATAGGTTGATGAAATTCCTCAGGATGCAAGTCCACTTGTTTTCCTCATGTTCTATCTAATACTCTTCCTTTCATGGCTCAGCTTGGCGCTAGCAGCCAAAGAAGGAATCAAAATCATATTTCCATTCATCAACCAGGTAAGTAGCCTTCGTGTATTTCATTTTGTACAATCTCAACACACTTATATGATTTATGTAGGATTTTGGGACAAGCAAGACTGACTGGTGGGGGAATTATATTGATGTGGGCATATTCCAATTCAATTCTCTCAATCAGAAAGATACTGATCAAAACCTTGCTTTTTATCTTCTTTGTACAAGATATTGCTATAACTTGACCAATTACGCCACAGCTCAACAACAATTGGATTGGTTCACAGATCTCTCTATTTGTGAAGACTTCAAGAAAATCATCACCTTTTGCGCTAAATCAACAGAATACTGTCAATGGTCGCATTTATGGACTTGATGATACATTTTTGTGTTTTGAAACTGGAAACAAGATGGATTGGACTGAGCTCATTTTCAACGACAATTCAACTACAAATGGTACATTGGTTGAGCTTTGACTTAAGTCACCATTTGGAAGCAATATTGAGGTTGATTGATCTGATGATAACACATTGTTTCTGTAACCACAGACTTAAGACCAGCCCCAGCAAATGTATGAGTTTATTGTCCTCTTGTAGTTTTTATCTGATACCAGATATTCCTGATGGGGTGATCATTTTATTGATGTTGATCTTCCACTATCCCTCAGTGGACAATTGATATCACGCAACACATCAAATTGCTTGCTCCTAACACCCTTGTTATGGATGGAAGTTAGTAAGTTAATTCAAAAAGTTGTTGTCACAAAGTGCTCCTGATGCTGAAAGATCTTTATGCCCAGCTCTCACGTCTATAATGTCACTGAAGTCTGGCTAGAAGAGACCTTGCGGTCACCTTTTGTTGACTTGTGTTCCTTTCACGGCTGTGCGTTCCCATTTCAACATGATATTTGCATCTCTCCAGTAGCAGAATCTCAATGTGGCAACTAAGAAAAAGCTTTTTGCAGATGGTGACGGGGACATAACTTTTGCAAACAGTTAAGCTAGGGTTGAACTTGAGGAGGTCCAATCCATCGAGGTGTGTTACTCATATTTGATGAGCTCTGGACGCCCACAGCTTCCAAGAGCACATTGAGGCTTTCAATAGAACATTTGTTGTAGGGGAACATGGGTTCTGTGAGTCAAATAATGCCATTCACGCACGCAGAAATGGCTCAAATGGATCTGTCATTTGTAATCCCTTTGCCTTGGATAGATTCTTTGCCTGCCAAATACAAAGAGTTTAATGCAAATTTCACTGGTGCTGGTGTTAGCCTGACTTTGACCTCATTCACATGGTGAAGGTATGTCTTTTGAAAGATGATGTTTGAAAACAATACCACCAGAACAAAGTGGCTGAAGTGTAGATTTGTTTCCTAGGCAATAACATATTTAGGTAAGAACTCATATTGTATTGGTCTACTGACCCATATAAACATATTGGCACTAAATCAGCCTTTCCTTCAAATATAGCTATCATGCCCCTGGTTGGAGGAATCAAACTGATGAGGCCTTTGACCAAATTGAATACAATGTAGTCTGTGGTACCTACAAAGCTAGGTAATTTGATTTGCCACTTGACTCCAACTTGGCAACTTTCTGAAATCTTATCTCCTTGAATCAAGTTACAAACTTCTCCAAGATGATGTGGCTCCATATCCAATTCCTTCTTATCCATACGCTTTCTTTGCAACGAATGGAAGTACTGTAGGGCTCTCTTTCAAAGGAGCCGCCTGGGATGAACACTACGAGATATGGGCAGTGGGTACACACCAACTATCCATCAAACAAATCTTCATATCCTGGATACTCAAAATTTGTGATATATTGCCACCAGGCGGGATCTGATGAGTCTAATTTTGTGAAAGTGAGTCAAACATTGTGCTTTCATATGCAATAAAAAAATTAACATAACTTAACAATTTTCCCCAGGTGGCAGATGATGTCCTAGACAATGTTGGTTTGGGCAAACTCTTTGTTCCAATTGACCCAACTCAGCCTACAGCCCCTTTGAAGTTTCATACAGAGGTTTTGATCCGACCCATAAAAGATCAGTCTGGATGGGAGGATACAAAGTGGAAGACTGGTGGGAGTGAGTTGGGGCATAAAGTCTCTGTTTAAATAGGTGAACAAGTTCATGGGACCATCAATCCTCTTAGGGAGGATTATCCTTTGACAGCTCAATCAGCCTCACAATCAATTGATTGTGCAAGTCTTCGCAGATGGTATACCGGCAGAGGACTCAGTGTAGATGGTTATCATGGACCCTTTTCATAACCAACATTTGTGTCCACCCTCAAAGTTGAGGAAGATTGAGCAATCTACTGTACTTTGACTGAATGAATATTTGAATGATGGTCTTTGACATAACCAATCATCCATTTTGTTTTCTACTTCACAACATTATGTGTGGAGTTTGTACTGTTTCAAGTCTTGCTCTCAATAGTGCACATTATAATCACAATGTGATTCAAGATGCCTCATGCTGATTCCAACTTCACAAAGTCCCTCAATGCCTTGACAGACGCCTTTCAACCAGTTGAATCCGCATATCCTAGCATGAGGGAGGGTACTTGCCCCTAAAGTTGTGTTTTAAATTTTGAGCTTGACGCCTAAGAATCATTGGGCCGGGAAGATCTTGTTTTCTGCTTCTCAGTGAGCGCACCGAGCTACACTGAGGAATATGATCCATCCATTACGCCCAGGCATGCACAAAAACTCCCTACATATCATACAAATTGAACTATCAAATTTGGCCACTGTCTTGCTGAGCTATGTGAATTTGAATTTGTGAAATTCACTTGTAGGTCAGCCAGGTCAAGCAACTTAAAGTCTTGATCCAATGGTGGTGTGGCGGTTACTGCAGTGCAGTTTCAGCTTGTGAGACAATAAAAGTTGAATTCATCTCAATTCACCTCTAATAACGGGCCTGTCTTAAATTCTCCTCTACATCAAATTAATTCAATTGAACACAATTCCACTTGATCCTTCTTGATTCTGAGCGCTTGGTGAATTTGAAGCAATGCTAAAGCAGACCATATTGCTTTCCTCTTTGTCTTTACAGTCATTATCATGTAATGAAGCTCTAAAACCTCCAAGCGGAATTTATGAGACGGTGCGTCAGGCACATCTATGTTCTTCTCAAAGATAGTAATGAACATTTATTCAAAAATCCAATCTTAGACAAGGGTAATAGTTGTCAATCAAAAATGCTGGTTTGTCACATATCAATTGTCTAGCAAAATCACAAAAGTATGTAAACAAACACTAAATACAGTCAAACCCGCGCAAACGCATAAGTTGGGGGGACAACTTTTGCTATGCATTAGGGGGTTTCAAGTTGGTTTTTTTTGCATATTTTTTTGAAATTCAGACAAGTTGTTCATAAAAATAATTTTTGTAAAACAGACGTACTTTCAATTTGGGACACCTGAAAAGGTGTCCCGCTTTTGAAAAATTATGCATATTTTACAACAACAGGCAAGTTGCTGTAGCATAAAAATACGTAAAAACATCCAACTCAAAACCCCCTATTTTGAAGGGTTATGCAATTCTGTTGTCAAATTTGGGAGTAAAAACAATCAAGATTCATGAGTTTTTCTATGCATTGTCACGGGTTATGCACCTGCGCGGGTATGCATCTGCATGGGGTTGACTGTACCACTTTACTCATTCTGATGATTTTTTTCTTTTATGTATTTACATGAGTTCATCTTCTCTACCAGGTTCAGAAGGTTCATTATGCATATTAGAAACTTGTCAAGGACAGCATCCATCAGACCAATGTTGGTTAACTGAAATTCAAACAGTGCAAAATGTACCTGAATCTTTATCATTTTATGAATCAGAACAATTAACCAGTTTGTTCATCTTCATTTAGAATTTGAATTTATTATTCTTTCCATTCCACTGATACCTTGAGTTTGATATTCTTTAGGTCATCCTGCTACTTTTGCTTTACCAGCTGGACCTGATAATCTCTTTGCCTAATTTTGATACCAATGACAATGAAGATGATATTGGAAGTGGTAAAAATACTTGTCATTCCTCTTGATTCAAAATCCCTTCTTCATCTCTTGTTTTGTTTTTCTCTTGTTATAGACTGCTCAAGCATCATCAGCTTTTATGATTCTAAATTGTCTTTTTCACTTTGCAAGGTGGTTTAATTAAGTACCTGTTATGATTTTTTTGATCCCATTGCAACTTGATAAATCCTTCTGCTCAAAATTTGAATGATCAGACTCTGAATGATCATCTGCGCCAATGTAATGATTCCTTTTTTTCCAACAATATTTATGATGTTGACCAATTATTCATTCTTAAGTATTATAAGACACTGATTTCAGACTTTGAGGAACTCCAATCACTTAGTTATTGATCAATCAAGGATTCTAGTGATTCTTCAAGTCTGAACTATCAATTCTCACAGGATGAATCTGATCCATGTGAGCTTGATCCTTAATGCTTTCAAACAGAAGAACCAAATATGATTTGACAATATATTCAATTTCAAACCATCTTCTCTTGACATTGCTCCTTTTATCATAGGACCTGCTTGGACTTCATTTAGGAAAACTGATGCCTCAAAATCCTATCATCAATAGTCACTGCCATGGGAATAAGTTGCTTGACTGGCTATAATGATTGAAATTTGAACTCATATGATTTGTAGGGAGTTTTTGCGCCAGCCCAGGTGTCAGGGTGATCCTCAAAAACACTAAGGCCTCACCGCCTCACACCAAAAATACAACTTCAGGGGTAAGTTATGGTGGCCATGGACAGACAAATTGGACAAAACAACAAATACACAAAAATCTTGATAAAACATCTCCTGAAAGCCCCATTAAGCTGCAAGCATATCCCAAGCTCACTACACTCTGAACTGCCTATACACATTGAACAATCCCAATAACATAAAATAAAACAATATAACAAAAGAAATCAAAGGATGAATGCTGTGAGTAAGATACAAAAAAAGGAAAATCAAAAAGATTTTTTTTACATTTTGTGCACATGGGATTCAGATATATATATATTGATAGATGATATCTCATTCTTGAAAGTAATGATACATTAAATGAAAGCTTTGATTGAGATCCATGTATTGTTAAGAGATTGGTGAAACAATTGATTGGTTAATGAATGACATTGAGATGAGTCAGGAATAGGAAACTAATGATATTAATAGATTGAAACAATTGATAATGTCAAAGATATATATGATCAATTTGAAATTTGTGATGTAGACATAGTCAATTGGTAGCTTCTGCACCACTAATCTTGTTTTGATTACTGTTGGACATTTTTGAGGTGATTGAAGATGTAAGAAGTGATTGTTGAGAGGTGATTGAAGACATGAGAGAGTGATCAAAGGGGAAATGGTGGAGTAGGGTGGAGTCCATCGGTTATGGTTTCTATAGATGATTTTGATGGGGTTTGATGGGTTTTGTATAGTGGCCTATGGTAGACAAGGACTTGTCCAAAGTCAGACAGAATAGAAATTGAAAAAAAATTGCTATTATTGAATTGTAGAAATCAACTTAAAAAGCAATTTTTATGAGCATTAGCCGCATTCAAACCTAACCCGGTTGAGACAAAAACCCGGTTACCCAGTTGCTTTTCTGGTGGTAACTTTGTGTATCCATTGACAGTTCTTGACAGCTTCCCACCAAAAAGTCCACCTGGTCAAATGGGTTTTTTGAAACCGGGTCAGGTTTGAACGCGGCTATTCTGTACATTACAGACTGCTTGTAAATAAGAAAACAAACACATTTCACAGAATGCAATTTCTACTCTTTGTAGAGTGCAACTTTTGGTCAGAAAGCGCTTAAGTGAATGTGCTCTAATAGACACTTTAAATTTTGCAGACTATGATTTCTTACCAGAAATTGCTCAAGTGAACACGCTCTAAGGGCGTGTTCACTTAAAGAATTTCTGATCACAAATCACATTCTGTAAATTTTTTGATGCAAAAATGAAACATGCACCACCAAATAGACACTTTAAATTTTGCAGAATGTGATTTCTCACCAGAAATTGCTTAAGTGAACACGCCCTAAGAGTCTCAAGTCTGACAATAACCCTTCAAAAACTTGTCCATACTATAAAAACTTGAACCAAATCTCTTATATATAAATATTTTGATTGATTACTTTTCATGTTTTTCAAATTTCTTTTTAATATTTTATAACCCTTTGAAATCCATCTTCTTCTTCTTCTTCCACACACACATCTAAAACCATTAGAAATTCCAAAATCAAAACATCAAAAATTGCGTACCACAAACTATAAAAATGCACATGAGAAAATCAACAAGATTTTACAAAAAAAAAATCCAATCAATCAATCAATGAAATCCCCCCCTCCACAAAGTTTTTTTTCCAAAAAGTTTTCAAATTAAATAAACCATACCTCTTTCAATCCAACAAACCAAACCAAACCAAACCAACCAACCAGAATGCTCAAACCCTCCTTAAGTAAATAAACTTTCCTTCTAAACCTCCAAACCAATTCAAATCAAATCAGGTTTCTGCAAAAAACCATCTTTCCAAAACTTGTTTTTAAATTCAAACTTTTCACAATCCAATCCTCCATTTGATTTTTGTACCAAATTTCAAGTTTCAATCCAAACCTAATCTAATCCGATCACGACGTTCTTTTATCCATTTACAACCAATCCATTCATCAACATCTCCCAAAACATGTTGTTTACTTTTTTATCCAAACCAAAAAAAAACCAAAAAAAAACCAATTAATCATCAAATCATTCCAATCAAAAGTGTATGTAAAGAAACTTACAGATAAAATAACATCATATCACCAAAAACTATGATTTTTTCCAAAAATCAAAAAAAGACAGTAGGTGTTATAAAATAATCCAAGAATCAGGATTTAATCTATCAAAAAAAATCATCAAAACTCTCTCTCAAAAAAAACACTCAACTATACTGAGCAGAACCAATTCCATAATGCTAATCCCACCCAAACCAAACCAAAAAATCATAAGTTTCCATCCAAATCCTTAAGAAATTTAACCAAATCAAAGTGAAAAAGTAAAAGAAACACGTACGATTGGAGGATCCGTAAGTTGTCTATCAAGTCCGACCGTCATCTTACCCCAATCCAGAACCTTAATCTTCATTTCCTTAACCAAAGCCAAATTAGAAGAATCAATCTGTTTAACTCTTGTAGGAGAAAACGCATTGCGATCAGTCGCATTACCAAGTTGCATAGATCTATACATATATCGAATAGATTTAGATTGATTTAAATCCTTTTGAAGTTCATCTAATGATGATTTTAATGAGTTTATAAATGATTTAAATCTAGATCGATGAACAGATAATTCATTTAAACTTAATGGATTCCCATCACCTAAATCATTTTCCGTATCTTTAGGTTCGTTTTCCAAAGTTTTGGAAATACTTGAAATCGGTAATGGATATTGAACAGCACGAGATCTAGCTAAATAATCTAAATCCCAAAACCCACTATTAAAGATTACTAGATCAGGTAAAGGTAAAACCTTTTTCGAAATCAAAGGTAAATAAAATCGATTTAATTTAGATTGATAATCTTGAGGTAAATCTTCACGTGGATGAAAGAATGGAACTTCTTCTTGAACCATACAACCCATTAAAAACCAATTATAGACTGTAAAATTCAATTCAGGTAAATATGAAATTCCAATCTGATGTGATTCTAATTTAGTGACCGGTACATTGATTTGATCTGAAGCTTTCCAAAACTGATGAAAACCTTTGGTACCTTTCAAAGCACGTCGAGCAAAATGAATGACCAAGTTTCGATCAATCGAATCACCAATCAAAAGGATTGATTTATTTTTCAACCAATCTACTTGATCGAATCTGTTTTGATGTAACTGATGAGAGTAAGAAGGAACCATCCAATCTGATTGATTGATTTGATGGTTTGATAAAGTAGATTGAAGATGATCATTATAGATTATATAACGAGATTGATGTAAGTTGGATGAACTGTAAAGTGAACCTGGTTCAGAGTATGGATCACATTCAAAATCTTGATGTGAATCGATGATCGGATGATGTTCATTTCGATTTGGATTTCTAGTGATTCTTTGATTTAATCTCCAATTCGTTCTTATAAAGAAAGATCACATGAGATTAGTAAGATCTTCAAGTACTGATGTAAGCCAATCTTCAACTTCAACTTCACTCAACTCAATCTTAATTTGATTTGATTTAAACTTACTAATCAAATAATAACCTAATCCAATCAATCCGATTCCAACTTGAACAAACTTGAAAAGACCATTAGATCTAATCATTTCTAACTACTAACTACCAACGATTTATAATTAAAGATATCAATTCGAGTTCTTCATAAAGTGCATTTATGTAAATCAGTCAGTTGAACGATATCAAAGGTAAAAGTAACAAATCGATTCAACTAAAGTTCTACATTCTTCCAATCAATTCATTCCTGTGAACTGTCACTATGTAAATATCAGATTGTACATATTCATAATCAGGTCTTCGAAGTTCGGGGCCGGGAAACTCAAAACAAACACAATCACCTTGACCCAGTGTGTCTCTGGGTTAATAAAGAAAATGCTCAAGAAACAGAAAACCTATGATGAATACACAGATCATGATCCACATGATAAAAGTGCAACATCCTTCATCCTGATCCATTGTTCAATTCAATCACCCATGATATGACTTTCATCCTCATGACTTTCAACTTTTTAATGAAGCAAACAATCATCAATCAAAATACCATTACAACACCTTTTACTAATTCTTATAAACCCAAACAAACTCATCCAAGTTTACATAATCATGAATTCACTCTATAAACTTCATCAACCAACTTGACGGTAAGTTCAAATCACATGAAAATCCAATCAAACTTCTCAAAAAAAAAAACTCCAATATAAATCAAAATATAAATCAAAATGAACTTCTCATTCTCATTCTCATTCTCATTGACAAACCCCCATCAAGAGTCCATCTTCAATTAACAATCCATCCTGAATCCATTTCATCATACTCAACCCTCTCTGTTTATTTTCAATCTTAATATTCCTACGTTCCAAACCAATAATCTCTTTCAAAAAGACTTCATAACTCAATCTACGATAAAACCTAGACCAATCCTCTAAATCCTCTCCTCCAAGTCCTCCAACGACTCCTCGATGTCCATTCCTACCTAAATCTCCACTCAATAAAGATGCTTCTTCCAAGATTCTCAATCGATTCAAACATCCTAAAACGATATCTCTTTCTAATTCAGCTTCTTCAATCACTTCATGAACTCCAATCCGTTGACCCCATTCCATCAAGACTTCTTCTAAAACAGGTCCTACCAATCCAGGTCTTTCTCCATACTTCAGATACCCTTTGATTCGATGATGATGAGGATCATCAGTCCTGTTATTAGATGGACTCTCATCCTGAACACATGTTTTTCTCATCAATGGATCAATCAAATGAACTCCAATCTGTTCAAACGGCCATGTAAAAATATCAACTCCCAACTTAATCGATCTTTCAATCAATTCATAATCTTTAATAGACCACATCTTTCCAATCCTAATTCGATTTCTTTCTTTTCGATCTGCATCACCAAACTGATCATAAAGTGGTAATTTGATTTCTTCTCCTTTCTTTAAAATCAAACAAATCCCCGAAATCACAATCCTAACAAACTTGGCAATCGAAACTGATTTTAAGATATATGGTAATAAAGACCAAAGTGGAATCGTCGAATTCGTTTTATGTCCCATCAAAGCTGGTAAGGGTTTGTTCGGATGGTTTTGATGATACGGATGATCATCTAAATCTAACATCTCATCTGTAATCGCCATCTTCAATGCCACATTCAAAGCTTCTTCCCATCCCATTCCAATCCCATAAGTCACCAATAAATCGGTATTATAAAAATTAAAGGTTAGATAACCGGTAGGGGCTACCAGATCGGTTGATGGAAACGCCATCAGTTTCTCTTCGATTCGTTCGATATCTAATTTCACAGATCTTGCAAGATCAGGTGCAGGTTGATCTCCTTCTTCAATAGGCACTGGACTTTCTGGAACTGAGGTTTGCACTGCAAGAAAATACGCATTAAAAGAACGTAGTAATCTGAGTGATTTTGCTGCTACCAAACTAATCGCAGTAGGTGTAATCGCATCAGATAAAAGGATAGCTTGAAGAATATCAAGTAAAGCTGTCGGATATGATGTAGCGCTCATAGCCCTGGTTCGCAAATCCAAACAATCACAATCTTCGCTCAGTTCATTCAAATTCTATCATATGACATACTCTCCAGAACGAAATTGTTCACTTACCCAGCACGGCTCAACTCATTCACCAACCAACCCACCACACCAACTGCACAACCGGCCACCAGAAGCTCTTGTTCAAAATAACTCAATCCTTCCCTAAACGTTTCCAAATCGATTAACCCAGTTCTTAAAGCATCAAAGGATTGTTTAAAGATACTAGCACTAATCATAAAAAATATCCGTGGATCCGTTTTCGTCAACAGATCGTCCGAGATACCAGAAGAACCATATAAGGCTCCAATCCAAGAAGCTAAAGTAGTAGAATGACTAGTAGGTAAAGAAGCTAATGGAGAAGCTGTTGATGGATTCGAAAGATAATGGATTGTAAAACCAGAAGAAGAACCTAAATGGATTGATAAATGTGACATTAGTCCAAATCGACCTGCTACACCTTGTACCCATCCTACTAATCCACCAAACTTTTCAAACCCATTACTTCCATCACTTTCATCTACTGTACCTTGTTTCTTGGATTGACTTCTAGCATTCTCCCATCCATCTAATACATCTTTGACCGGTTTCAGAAGATCTTTAGGTTCGAGCCATAAAAATAAGGTACATAATGTATCTAGACCTGTTAAGGCTTTGGTGAGATTAGTTAAAGTGGTAAGATCAAATGACCATGCTGCATTCATGAGAGCCTTTTGGAAATTCAAGAAAAACAAATCATCGAGATCAATTCAACCAGATCATGTTCATCTACAAGAAACGAAAATCTTTGGATGATTCACTTACATCCTTGGTTGTAGTAGCGATCTCAGCAATAGGAGTTTCCTTGGTGATTCCCAAGACTTCAACAAGGTTATCTAAGCCAAGTTCAAGTTCACCATAATGATGTTCACGAGGGCACATATCAGGATCCATGATCTCAGTCATCTCTCCTGAATCCATTGTATCCATCCGATCCGTAGCTTGTGATGCAACAAGTTGATGAGCATGAAGACTTGAAAGAAACGAATTCCATAGTTGTACTCGATGAAGAAATCGTCGTGGAGGCTCATCATGAACCCCATGGTTAGATTTTTCGACAGGAGAAGCATGAGGTGTGTCCTTACCGATCATGTTTTGTCTCAAGAGTGAAAGATCAGATGAACCAAGTAAATCTTCATCCGGACAGATCTCAGGAGCCGTCATGATAGCAAATCGAATCAATTCACCAAGTCTACCTCCACCAAGTAGGGCTTTCCATGAAACCTTATCATCTTCTGTATTTGATTCATCATTCACTTGAGTTTCACTTAAAGCTTCAAAATCTAAAACTACTGATGAATTAATATTTCCAATCCTGATAGCAGCAAGTAAGAGATCAAATAACCATGTTCGACAATGAGTCGGTAAACATAAGATCCCGCTTCGATCCTCTGGATTCCGCTTGATGTAAGTAAGAGCAAATCCAATAATTCTGATGATCAATGGTGTTGGTACATGTCGTCCGTCACCATTCAACTGCATTGCTGCCGCACCCGGTGTTAGGAGAATATGGGCGATGATCGCACTTGAGGTAGTAGAAGTCACTGGAAGATTATAGTCAAGTGGTGAGGACTGGGGAAGCTTAGGGCTAAGGGTTGAATATACCAATTCTTTACAAACTGAAGGTGATAGATGACGTAAGATCGAAGGAAAGTAAAGGATATTGGCCTGAGAATCTTTTGGTCCTTGATCAAGTATCGAGAGTCGAGATGATAGCTTGGTGAGAAGAGGCGATAGAAGATCAGGATGTTGTAGAAAATCACGTCGAGAGATTGATAGGATGCATGATGATAAAGAAGCTAATAAACAATCAGCTAGTTGATGAGCAGGTACATTTAATTTACGTTCAGCTCTAGTTGATTGTGAAGTAGGACGACAACATTCGAAAAGGTCTAATAAGCAACTCAAGTATCGAAGACATTCAGCTGGTTCATACGTCACGATCGAAGGTGAAAATTTCAGCAAAGGTTTGGCAAGTAAATTAAGGGTTTCAAGACGAGTGACTCGATTAAAGACTGAATGAGAACTTTGTAAAGATTCGTCTTGATTTAAATCCATCTCTGAAATCCAGATGAGGATTCGAGTCGAAACTTGAGAAGCCGAAATCCATGGACCAAGTTGATCATCCAATGAAGCCCAATCTGGTCCGGAATGTAAAGCTGCTTGGTAATAAGATAAAAGTCGATTCGAAGGTGGACTAGTAGCCGTAATGAGACGAATGAGGATATCTAAAGTTTGAACAACAATCAATTCAAGATCTTGTCAATCTATCTGTTTGGGGGAATCTTTTGTCTTGAGACGAAAAAAAGTAAAAGAATCGTAAGACTTGACTGACAACTGACCACAAACGGCGTCTGAAAAAGAGTTGGACGAGTAACCTTCAATTCCACGAGATTGAAAATGATGAGATGATAAGAATCCAATCCATTGATCAGCAGACATGGCTCTTGACCAGCTAGCTCGAGTGATGGAGGCCACTTTCTCGATTTGTTCGTTCATCTTTTTGATTCAAAATCTTTGAATAGTACTTTCTTCTTCGGTGATTGAATCTGAGCTCCAATGTTCTCTTAGAATCGACTTCTGGGTTAAGATTTTCCTCGAGATTTCAGAATGTGGAGAAGCAAAGTCGATTGAACAACGATCGGTTGGTCTGGTGACGCGCGATATTGTTTCGGGGCGCACTTCTGACCGCACCTCGGGAAAACATCTTGCATGCATCGTGTTGAAGCACCTCACTTTTATCGTTCATAAGGCTCAGCGGCAAAAGTTGACATGATCTCATCTCCAGCGCTGGAATGACCAAAAGGGTAGCCGCACAAAGCGAGCTATCACTATGGTGAGAAGTAACCCATAAAGAGTACATTGAATAAGTGCTCAATGGGCTGAGTAAAAGCTGTCATCCTGGTAGGCTGCTGCACCTACATACACACGAAAGACGACAAAATTGAAAGCGTGGCAATGAAAAGGTGCTAGCTTGAACAAGCCCCACCAACCGCAGAGACTTCCAGCGGAGCCCAGGCTCCAGAGGATGTTTGAGGAGGGACTTCAATTACGTTAGGGAAAGGTGCAATTGGAGAGACAATCTCATGGCCATTGTGTGATGGGGAACCTTGTATCCTTGATACAGGTCTGGTCTTAGTAACTAGGGTCTGGTCTGGTCTTAAGTGAAAGTCTTTTCTAAAAAGAGAGGATAATAATAATATTTTCGATAAAGAAAAAGAGAACAAGAAAAGAGACATAACAACTCTATATAAGATAAGATGACAAATATCAGGAACACAGATAAACGTTTACATGACGTGACACATTAGATTTGTGAAAAAGGAACTAAAAGAAAAACTACTAAAATAGAAAACAGAAGTTTTCAGGACGAGCCCTTAATAACCAGGCACCGATGAAAAACCCTAACCAAACATCTATGACAAAATATGCTCTAACTTGTAACAGAATTAATAAATCAAAGCACGCGCCGACCAAACTTCATCCGGAGGTCCTGGACCGCAGGAAGGTGATAACAAATGAAATTTCTTCAGCCAAGGATCCAAAGCAGTCGAAATCTGAGTTAAAGGTGTCCAGACATCGTCCAAGCCCGTGGTGTCCCCACCGCGCAAAAGATATTCAAACACCCCCAAAGCCGTTTTTCGGTAATCAATAACAAACGCCGCCACCCCTGCCATCTGATCATCATCATCCAATACCGCAGAATCAGCAGGCTGAGCAAAAAATTCCCCTACAAAAGGCGAAAGCAAGGACACATTGAAAACCGGATGTAACCGTCGCAAGGAAAGAGGTAAAGATAACTCAGCAGCATTTTTCCCAACCATCCGTTTTACTGGAAACGGACCAATCCTGCGAACATCCAGCTTGTTTGAGGGGCGCAAAGTTCTCAAATGCCGCCTAGCCAACCAAACCAAATCCCCAGGAGAATACGTAGTTGAAACCCGGCGTGACCCATTGTAAAATTTCGCCTGTGCCAATTTCGCTTTCTCTAAATTTTCCCGTAAAGAATGATGAATTGCCTGCATGTGAGCAACAAAATCGTCAGCCCGCGGGACACCTGAACTAGCAACCAAAGAATTAAAACGGGGGTGACAGCCGGTGTAAGCAAAGAAAGGCGAGAACCCCGTTGATGCTGAAGGTGAGTTATTATAAGCAAACTCCGCGATCGGCAACCAACGTCCCCAATCTGACTGATCCTCAGCAACAAAATGCCGCAAGAAATCCTCGACCAAGGCATTAATCCTTTCTACCTGTCCATCAGTTTGCGGATGAAAGGCGGTAGAAGGCGACAGAGAAATATTCAGTAACCGTAAAACAGCTGTCCAAAACCGAGAAACAAAGGTAGTGCCTCTATCAGAAACAATGATGTCTGGCAAACCATGATGCTTAAAAATATTCGAAATAAAAGACTCAGCTAATTGCTCAGCGTTCCAGGACTCCTTCGCAGGGATGAAATGAGCGCCCTTCCCCATATGGTCGACGACCACCATTATGGAATCAAACCCGTTCGACAAAGGTAATTTTACAATAAAATCAACCCCAATAGTCGACCAAGGTCGTTCCGGGACCGGCAAAGGCACCAATTCACCCTGAGGAGCTCTTCTATCCACCTTTACACGCTGACAACTGATACAAGTTTTCAAAAAGATTAGCAAATCATCACGAATATTTGGCCACGAAAAGGTTCGAGATAACAAATCCAATGTCTTCATGCTACCCCAATGACCCGCTGACGGAGCTTCATGCATTTCACGCATGACCTTAGTTCGAGCTTCCAAAGGAACATAAACCCGATCACGCCACCACCATAAATTAGACTGGTAGGTGAGATGTCGTGGTCGTTGACCTTGGATTAGAGCATCAGAGGCATATAAACCATGAAACCAACGTTGAGTCTCCAGGGAAGCTGGCAAGAAGTTGGAAGGATCTGAACGTCCGATGATGAGATCCTTTTGCAAGGAAACAACCGAAACCGCCAAATCACCGACATCTTGTCTGCCTAACAATACAACCTTATCAGAAGAAAACTTTCCGTCAGTTAAATCAGAACGGCGAGAAGCAGGATCAGCGGGATTTAACTTCCCGGGAGTATGCAAAATTTCAAAATCAAATTGGCCCAAAAAGGAAGCCCAACGAGCCTGCCTCGGAGTGAGATCCTGCGCCGTCATGAAATAGCGAAGATTAGCATGATCCGATAGCACTGCCACTGCTTCGCTTGACCCCAGCAACCAGGCACGCCATTCCTGAAAACAAGCAATAATGGCGCCAAGTTCCTGATCATGGACTTGCCAGTTCCGTTCCGCTGGAGTCAACTTCTTTGAATAGTAAGCTACAGGTCTCAATTCTCCAGACTCCGAGTACTGTGACAAAATACCGGAGAAAGCAAATCCCGAAGAATCAACTTGCAAGACCCTCTTCTTTTTAAAATCAAAATGTAACAAAAAGGGGGACTCAGCAAAAAGTCGCCTTAATAAATTAAATGCCGCCTTTACACCTGGCTTAAGCAAACCCCGCTTAACGTCCGCCGATGCTACAGTAAGATCAGTCAAAGGTGAGACAATTTGTGAAAAAGCTGGCAGAAACCTTTGATAAAAATTTGAAAAGCCCAGAAATCTTCGAAGATCAGCTAAATCAGCTGGGTATGGCCACTCAGCCAAAGTACTGAGCTTCTTCGGATCCATCTTAAGCCCTTCAGTTGAAATAACAAATCCTAAAAACACGACTTCAGTAATGAAAAACTTGCATTTCGCCGGAGAAGCTGTCAACTGATGATCTGATAACTTAGCTAGAATCTGTTCAATGTGCAAGGCATGCTCTTCCTCAGTTTTCGAAAAGATAAGGATATCATCTATAAAAACAAAACAAGAAACATCAAGAAACTCCCGGAGAACCCATTGTATAAACCGTTGAAAAATAGCCGGCGCATTCGCCAAACCAAAAGGCATGACCGTGAATTCAAAAAGACCCCACGGTGTACGGAAGGCGGTTTTCCATTTGTCTCCGTCTTTAATCCTGATCAGATTAAAGGCAGATTTCAAGTCAATTTTAGCAAACACTTTGCAACCTTTTAATTGGTTCAATAACCAAGACATGACTGGGATAGGATAACTATCTCTCTTAGTGATCTTGTTCAAACCCCTATAATCAACGCATGGTCGATTCTTTTTACCTGGGACTTTAACAAAAAAAATCGGAGCAGCTGCTGGAGAAGAAGATGGTCTAATGAAACCCTTTGTCAGCATCTCATCAAGGTATTCTCTCAGCTCAAGTTGTTTGGACTGGGCCAAATTATAAAGACCTCCAAAAGGGGGATCACAATCGGGCTTTAGATCAATTGCACAATCAAAACGACGATGAGGAGGAAGTACAAAATCCTGCGGAAAGAAAACATGTGAGTATTTCAAACAACTCTTCGGAAGATTAACAGGAAGGGACTTGTTAGGAAGAGGATTTAGAGAAACGTTGACATCGGAGATGGAAATAGATATCGAAGGGGATCTTAAACTTGCTGGGATGTCGTCTGTAGCTGTGAGGGAAGAAACAGGAAAAGAAAGTGCAACAGATCCCGACTCACAAGAAACTACAGATAACTCAGACGAAGTCATCGAGGCAACCACAACACCATCGATAGCAAGATAAACTCCATCCAAATGACAAATCGCACTAGCACCAACACTCTTCATCCAGGGAAGTCCTAAAATAACATCTTGACCGTGAATTGCCGTGACACCTAATCTAGCCGACAATTTCACCTGAGACATAGAGCTTGACGTAGCCGATAACACTCCCACCCATTCCTTATCCACCACACCACCTGAACTTGCTGAACCATCAAACCCAAAGCAACGCATAGGCGTCCTAGAAGTAGTCGCGATTTGATGTTTGTTGACCAAATCTTGACTAATCAAATTTGCCATAGCACCAGTATCAATCAAAGCCATCACAACAATGGGGGAACCTTTATTTAGAAGAGTGAATGGAACGATAAACTTTCCATTAGCAGCTTGACACGTATCAATTCTAACCGAATTGATATCAAACTGTACCTCTTGTTGCAACCCCTCTGGATAAATCATTTCATTCATCGCTGAAAAATAATCAGCCATAAAATCATTAACCGCTAATGATTGTTCTTGAGAAGTATTGACAAAGGCGACTGAGTTGATGTTAAATTCTTCAGAACAACCTTCCATAACTTGCTCATCTTCTCTAAATTGAACTTGCGAGACCGATTTGATGTTTAAAAATTGCAACTTCTCCTGTAAAGTTTTGTTCTGATTTGGACAAACACCCTTCAAATGGGAACCCTGTAAATCGTAATCTTTCAAACATTTAGCACAAATTTTTCTTTCACGACAAGCATTCATAATTTGAAAGAAAATTGAAGGCTTCTTGCTTGAGGATCCTAAATTAATCGCATCGACATCCATTGGTACTGCTTGATCCTGACGATGAACTTGAACCGTAGTTGGCCGGTATTGATGAACATGTTGAGCGTCAGGCTTGTGAACTTTCTTGATGTATGAAGCATGATTCGGCGGTAGTTCCGACAACTCTTGAACAATTTCTGAAGCTTGAACCGCCAATAACATCTTCTCTTGCAGCATCCTACTACCAATCCAACCCGATAATCTTACCGCTTCAGCATAAATATCCGGATCAAGACCTTTGACGTATTTGAGGATTGCGTCTTCCGGTGAGATACTGACATGAATAGCAAGAGAACAAAATCGAGAATTATAATCGACAATAGTATTTGATCCTTGTTGACAATTGTCCAGATTCTTCCTATTCGTTCTATCTTCATTCTTGTCAGCAAAGGTGATACACAATTCATGTAAGAACAAAGGAAATGATGATAACGGAGCTAATTTGTATTCCAACGCCTTCAAATCGTCAAAGCCATCAAACTGTCCAAATTCAGCAGCATTCAATTCTAACAATGAGTTAAACCAATAACTAGCAGTCGAACATGGTTCAAATAAAGTCAACAACCAGTTTATCTTGAATTTATCGTCCTTTGTTGAAAAGAATGATTCATTATCTCTAAGTTCTTGATAAAAATCCTGGAAAAACGACTTCAAATGAGCAGCCGTTCCACTGAAACAAATGTTATTCCTGAATCTCGGAGTTTGAACACTTTGAGCTGAATTCGAAAAGGCACTTGGTGGTTGACTTGGTGGTTGATACGGAGTTCGAAATGCTGGATGTGGGGGTCTATTCGCATATTGAGCTACCGGAGGAGTGTGTTGACGAGGTTCATATTGAGGTCTTGGATGAAAATGTTGTCCTTGTTGTTGAACATTCACAGGATGAATATTTACTGAAGGAACAAATTGAGGATGTGGCATCTGATTTTGAGGAAATCCTTGAAAATGCTCATGCGAAAAATGAGGAGTATTACGAAGATGTTCGAAACTTGCTGATGGAACATTCTGATGAACAAAAGGAGGGACTTGTTGATTCATATCCTGAAATTGAGGAAATTGAGGATGAAAATTCGGAACTTGTTGATTAAATTGCGGGACTTGTAAATTAGGATTTTGATGAGGCGGAATATCTCTTTGAATATTTAAAACATGAATTCCTTGAGCCAAATCATCTACCGAAGGTTGATTAGGAACCTCATTCGATCTTTGATTCTGATCAATCAAAGATTGCATTTGAGCATTCGACAACTGAATCTGCAATTGGTGAACTTCATCTTGTAGTCGTTGAACTTCTGATCTTGATTGAGGTCTAGGATCCGGACGCACACTTTCCATATCAAACAAAGATGAGACATCCGAAATTCCGGTTCTTGGATTCCAAGGGTCCATGCTTTCAATCTTCTGAAAATATTGAAGTGTTCGGTGAATTTCCTTCAGAATACGAACGTGAAAGATGAAAAGATTCGATAAATTCAATACAAAGCCAATTAACTTCTATATGTGAAGTCTCGGATTCGTAAAGTTGGTCAGTAAAAGGATGAAATTCAGGAAAATTATAAAAAGGTAATTGATTAAAAGTTTCGATAAGATCACAAATTGAAATAGAAGTAGGATGAATGTAAATTTGTCTGTATGCGTGAGATATATCAATTGTATATAAACTCATACAGTCAAAATAAGATGAAAAATTAAGTTATAATAAATTTGAAAATGAAAAGGAAAAAATTTTGTTTTTGAAGATCGAAAATAAAATGTGATGGGGAACCTTATCCTTGATACAGGTCTGGTCTTAGTAACTAGGGTCTGGTCTGGTCTTAAGTGAAAGTCTTTTCTAAAAAGAGAGGATAATAATAATATTTTCAATAAAGAAAAAGAGAACAAGAAAAGAGACATAACAACTCTATATAAGATAAGATGACAAATATCAGGAACACAGATAAACGTTTACATGACGTGACACATTAGATTTGTGAAAAAGGAACTAAAAGAAAAACTACTAAAATAGAAAACAGAAGTTTTCAGGACGAGCCCTTAATAACCAGGCACCGATGAAAAACCCTAACCAAACATCTATGACACATTGTCATTTCAGGGTAGGCGTGGCCAAATCTTCACCTGGTATTCTCGTATTCTGAAAACTGAGCATGTCGAGTTGAGGTATAAAAGTAAGGTGCTCCATACCTATTGATAAATTCCTCATTCTCTCAGACCATCAGCATACATTCACTCTTCTTCTTCCAACACATTTTTCAAAGTCCTTTCTCTCTGTGTTATTAGCTTGTATATACGTTTTATCAATTATCACTTCCCACTACCTTTAGTTGAGCTTTACCATACCCTTTCAAGAGATTAAGATGCGTATCAATTATAGTTTTGTTGTCAGCTCAATGGCCCTTTTGTTTGTCTTGGATTCTACCAATACGAACTCCGTCTCTGCAACTTCTGGAGTCGATGGATTTAGTATCAGAACAATTCTTCGCCGATCTTTGAATGCTAGATCATTGGCCTCCGATGAAGAAAACACCAATGATGAATCGGTAGAAGAACAGTAAGTCATAAATACAACACCTCCTTCAACTTAATAAAAACTAAACTATGCTTAATGATGATTACTCGTAGTCCTGTTCAAGAATCCGGTGTTCCTCACTTAGGACTTTCACCCGCGATGATGCAACGTATCTCATCCGGTCTAGTTAGTTCGATTGCCAAGTTTTCAGCTGACAAAGAAGCTGGAGTCGAATTTCCAACTCAACAAGAAATGACAGAAGCTGTTGATCAAGCGCTTTTAACATCAGATTTGACTAACTTTTCTAAAGTTGCTCAAGCCATTAAAAAATCAATTGATGCTCTTGCAGATCGAAAATTAGCTGAAGGTCAAACTGGAAAGACTCGGTAAGTCATCATCTCTCAATCATGACCAGAAAAAAAATCTCATAAATGTTTTTAACAAATTCAATTTTGGGTAATAAATAGCTCATCAAATGGTCCAAAACTCACTTCACCATCTGCTCAATCATCTGCTGAACAAATTGCAGTTGCTTTATTGGATACTATCGAAATGTTTTGTCAAGAGAAAGCTGCAGGTGGTCAACTACCAACTGCAACTGAAGTCAACAAAGCATTAACCCCAGCCTTACAACAAATTGACTTTAGCAATGTTAAAAGAGGTGCAGAAGCTGTGAAGTCTGGATTAGATCATATGGTTCCTAACACGAATTCCATTCCTGTCGAAAGTCGACAATCTGACAATGCTGAATCCGAATCCGATCAAGTTGAAGTTGAACCATCGACAACACCGTAAGTTATATATCAAACAAACCTCCATTAACTCAAACAATCAACTAATATGTGCTCAATCATACTTTTTAGTTATGCTTCATCATCTGGTGTTCCTCAATTAGGACTTTCTGCCTCAATGATGCAACGTATCTCAGCCGGTCTAGTCAGTTCGATTGCCAAGTTTTCAGCTGACAAAGAAGCTGGAGTCGAATTTCCAACTCAACAAGAAATGTCACAAGCTGTTGATCAAGCACTTTCAACATCAGATTATACAAATTTTGTCAAAGTTTCTCAAGCTATTAAAAATTCGATTGATGCACTTGCATATCGAAAACTCGCTGAAGGTAAAACTGGCAAGAGTCGGTAAGTTATCATCTTTCAATTACTCGAAAAAACCTCATATCTGTTTTCTAATAATCAATTCAATAATAGTGCAACCAAGGTTCCAAAACTCAGTTCGGAATATGCTCAATCATCTGCCGATCAGATTGCGGCTGCATTGTTAGAAACCATCCATATTTTCTGCGAAGATAAAACTGCAGGTGGTCAACTACCAACTGCAACTGAAGTTAACAAAGCATTAACCCCAGCCTTACAAAGAATCGATTTCAGTGATGTAAAGAAAGGCGCAGAGGCTGTAAAGCTTGGGTTAGATCAGATGGGTCCTAACAAGAGCTCTATAGTTCGAGGACTTCCTCTTCCTGCTTAAACTCATCAAGCCGTATCACAAGCTTAGATTTGAGTCACTATTTGTTTCAGTCGATGAATTGGTCATCGTTGGTACCTCGATTACTTCTGCGAAGTGTAATTTTTCTTTGTCATTATTTTTCTATCTCACATATAACACATGTATCTACAAAATTTCCTACCTATGCAGGATAAATAAAAAAACAGTCTTTTATCAATTACATATATGCTTGCAATAACTTCCAGTCTCCCAGTAGCTTTGCACGAGGAAAAAATCACAATCTAAGCAGTATGTGGTTCCCAAAGCCTGTCATCATTTGGCTCATGAATACTTCAACGTGAGTTAAATGTAACCTGATTCCCCATATATCATCTTTGTAAGAACTTTTTGGATTGGTTCCCTTTTGTATTTCCGACTGCGAATCTCACTAGATGATTCAAACCTCTATAAACTGTGCTCATAACCTGAAGACGTAAGCCCATGTTCCGAGGCAATGGGAAAACATATCCTTGAGAAACAGACAGACTTGTTAGCGGTACTCTCCTAGGATGGTCACCCTAGATTGCCCAGGACTCCAATAACATTGTAGCCAAAGGACAACCTTTAACTCATTTTCTTATCTTGAACAACCTGAATACAAATTTTCCACGCTCAATCTTTTCAACATTACTTTTCAGGCCTCTACCTTACCAACATAAATTTAATTTCCCTTGTCCACAAAGATCAAACATACTAATTTGGATGATTTGATTGCAATAGTGAGTGCCACAGTGTCTTCAAATTGCCAGTCCGTGGCTCGACAGATCCATCATCAGTATTTTTTTCTGATCTTAGTCCCTTTTATATTTCGATCAGTGATGCAAAAGGTCGAGAGGAGGTCGAGTGCATCAGTCATTGTGAAGGTCTTGTATCCCCTACCGATCTCACCAGCGTGACTTGGGGTGCACAGGCAAACAAGATGTGTCCCATTGAAGTCGGGTCCAGTTCCAAAGCATGATCCTGAACCTCTACAAAGCGATCTTTTCCCTACAAGGAGGCTGCAGTATCTGTACACTTTAATTTCATGTTATACTCCCAGTGCTGTTCCTTGTTCCCAAACATCGAAAGTAGAATACCTTAGCCAGACATTCGATTTCACCTCTCTACAAATTACAAATGAACAATAAAAGAAAAGACACTAGAAAAATCCATAACAAAATACTTTAAAAAAAATCCAAACCAAAAAAAAACCCTAATGTTGTAGTTCCGATCATCCAACCTCATCAATCTTTACTTCTGGTATTGCTCCACTTATTCCATTTCCCAAAACTGACTGATCTTGGGTCCCACTCTGTTGCTGATTCCCATTTTGACTCAATCCCATTCGGAAATCCCCACTAAGTGTCAAAAAGATCGTCCCATCTTCACCCTTACGCTGATCAATCACCACAATCCCATCATCCCCACCTACTTTTTTCTTCTTAACCGGTAAGTTATTTGCAGTAAGATTAGTAGCTATCCTACGTTTGATAGGAATTTTACCTGAAGGTGGTACTTTAGGTCGAATCACTTTGGGCGCTCTTCCAATCACTTGATCATCATCTCTTAATTCAAATTCTTTGGATTCCATTCTTGCTCGATACACTTCGTGCAATAAACCGATTTGTAAATCAATGGATTCTCGATCTAGTTCTACAAATGCCATCGGTTTAACAAATCGTGGTTCAGGTTTTGTAACCACTCTGTTATCATCAAATCAGAAATATAGTCAGTATCTCAACTTCTTTCATTTAGATTTTTATCCTAGCATGTAAGAGGAAAGCAGATAACGCAACTCAGGCTTGTTAGTTGCCAATTCACTGCCATCCGATGGTTGACCATGAAACAATCGACTTGGAATCCTCAGTGCACTCATTCCTAATTCAGCATCAAGTCCAAGTTCTCTCAATCCAAAAAAGTCTTCGCCTAATTCATTTGTGAATTCTCCTCTGAATACGCGGAAAAGCAGTAGAACAAACAGACGTCAAGATAAGGATCAGTTTGACTTGCTAGTAGGATTCTAATGGTTGGAGCAAACTACTCACGTCACAAGTGCTTCTCCATCTCGTGCAAACAAATCATCATCTCCAAAAGCTTTCCCAGCCAAACCAGCAGGACCATAACCAGCCTCAACTTTCCTAAAAAGTTCCTTCAATTTATTTCCATATTTCCCAACATCATCTCTAACATAAGCTTCTAATAAATCAAGTCCATTAATCCCATTTGCTCTAAGTGTTTGTTGAATCATTTCACTTGCTGATAAGGTTGCTGAAGCTCGATCGGCAAAGAAATGAAGTGTCCGTCCTATGTTACTTAGGTACTGAATTGCTATTTCAGTTAAACAATTTAATGCGCCACTATGGGTTGCTGGATATAGGTACCGCGATCGATCGAGATAAGAAAAAAAGATCAAAACCTATCAAAGATCAGTGAGATGAATATTTTGACCACTTGACAGAACTTCAAGGTGAGGCGGTGGAAAGAGAGGGTGGAAACTGGATATCCTAAGCATGCGGAGATGACGAACCATCAAACCCAGCATGAGTCACTAACAACGTCACAAGCTGCTTCATTGCTTGATAGCCTGCTTCACCTGCCAGACAAGTTGAGTATACCTCAGCAGGTATATGTTGATTGACTTTAACAATCCCTTCAGTGTAAAGTTTTTCATCCTCTTCAGCCTCTTCATCCTCATCCTCATCCAACGCTGTTCCCTCATTCTCGTCTGTCTCCGGGTAAAATCCTGGCTAGCAAATATAATCAGGGCGTAAATCCAGGTGAAATGAAGCGACTCGATCAGTAAGATGAAAAATGACATCAGGCGAGCAGAAGTTGAGGTGAGCTCTAGGTTGATCCGGCTCTTTCTCAAACTATCTGATGATCAGTGAAAGAATGAGGGATTGTAGTTGAAACTCAACCTGAAATTGCTGGCCGCTCATCAAGGAAGAAATCTTTCGGTGCACTTTCTTGATGTCCCATAAGGTCTTGATATTGGTCGCGATCGGTTCAAGCAAACCAACGGGTTGTCCGAATTTTAACTCTCGATCTTTTGCCTTCTTCCGCGTGTTGATCGACGCGGGTGCCCCAAATGGCAATTCTGGCAGTTGACATGTGGTCAGAGACCGGTCCATGACTTCTATCCAATCATCCAGGATGTCTTGATCAGGCATGGGCAAGTCAGATTGAAGTGAGCATCGTGTGGAGTCATCTTTTAACTCCTGCCAGGGTCCTGGCTTGTCCCAATCTGTGAATCGGTACATATGATCGCGTCGTCGCACCAATGCTGGCCGTTCTTCCCATCGTGCTAATACTTTTGGCTCTTTGTTATCTTCCAGAGATCCACGAGAAGACAAAGGAGCGCTCAAGAGAGGTTCCATATCCTGATCTTCGACCGCGACAGACTCGCTCGGACGACCACGTTGACTTGCTGTCCAGCGACGTTCAGCAATGGCTATTCCAGTCGATACTGTTTGACCTTGTCGCAATAAATGTGTAGCAAGAGGGCGCGTTGGAAGGCGTGTTGATTTAGAATTCGCCTGAGTAGTCGCGCAAGGTTCGCTCACAAACTTTAACAGATTGTTGGCTTTGGTTTTCAATGACTCGGCAGCCGTACGCAGAGGATGTGACTATATGAAGATGACTCAGTCTCTTTGTTGATGACCCTAGCAAGGGGATTTAAAGGAAAGTGACACTGACTACGAATGAGTTGTATTGAAAACAATTTGACCAAATCAACTCTAGATCTTCAATAAACTGCCCCTTAGCCTTGTACTGTCCTGACTTGACTTTTTTAAGAACCGTTCCAAGGTCCATGGGTTTCTTGATGACTAAAAAAGTTCGATTTCAGCTGATTACCCCATTGGAAAGAAGATGATCAACCACTGACTGTCATAGTAATCAGGCGCGTCGGCTTTTTTAACTCGACTGAGAAATGCCTGCGCGTTAGGCTGTACCATACGAATCAAATTTGTATAAGATCAGAACCAGATTAAACATGAGAGGCTGAATTAAGGCGCATACATCTTGACGAAGTTCATTAGTGATTCGTTCGAGAGTATCCAAAAATTCGTGAACCGTTGCTTTCTCATCCTATATAGGTGGGTATCAAGAGGCATAACCATGAGATGGGGATTTGATTCGTGATGTATTGAAATATGTAAGATATGATGATGAAGAATTGAAAAGTAAATCACGAAACTCGTAAACCACTATCGCGAGCTTCAGAAGTGAGTGTAATGAGTTCTTCTGATCGAGTTGATTTAGAACGAATGAGTTCATGTAAGAACTATTGATAGATTGAAGATGTTAGTTTTGTGATTAGATAGTATAGTTAGTGTGAATGACTGACCTTCAATGACATTCTGATGATTCAAGCCTTTTCAACTAAATCGATCCTCAACTTCGATCCTCTCTCCAATCAATCTCCATCAGCCCGATCACTTCCTTCTTACACCCCGGGGATCCTGGGCGGACTATCGGGTCAAGCCTCGGTTTGCAACGAACGGCCCCGAGGTTTAGCTTTGCTGATTTGAGAAAAGGCCTTGTGCGCCTGCTAATTATTCTACACACATGAATGTAGCTCACTTCTTCTCTAATTCATCTATTGCAGAGTTATGAAAGGGCAGAGTTTCCAAGACCACCACAACTCCTGAGAAAGCTGTCCTACGTGTCAAAACCTCACACCAGACGAGGTGGGTTGTTAGACAAACCCCAAATTTCTAAGTCTGGTTTCTAGCACTTTCTTGAACCTAAGAGAGAAATTTGAAAGACCCAAAAGATGTAGGTTGGGCAGGTGCACAAAGCCATGCTTGATTCCAGAGAATGTTTATTTGCAGAGGATGAAGATCTTGAGGGTTGAAGAAGTCCCCAACCAATTTGTTTTTGCTCACCTGTCAAAGATGATGTACCCGCCATGAGTCCATCTCTTCAATCTTGACTACTTGATTGTCCAAGAGGAAGTTACTTAGGTTAGGGTCCAAAGCATCATGGAGTGGTAAAAATATGTTGGCCAAACCAATTCATAAAGAACAGTGTGATGTGATCAGGAATTCATTGTATGAAACACTCAAACTCTTGATCAGGATGGTAATGGCCTTTCATGCCTCAAAAATTACAACAGAATGGGTTTTGGGTATAGATATTGGATTATGTATTTTGAGGACTGACCAGATATGTTCAATCAAACTGGGATCTGGTGATTGAGGTTTACAGATTCAATTGGCAATGTCTCTTTGATCATATAAAGATGTTGGAAACTTAGACCAATGTACAGGTGCATTATCCTCCATGAGGTCCAAAATGAGACCATGTGTGCCTGGTGAATCCTTGAATGAGTGCACAATGACAGATTCTATCCTGGATTGATGTATGATTCATACTTCATTCTCCCAGAGTTCAAGTTGACATGATCAAGCCTGATGACTGCATAAAATCTACCCCATATCATCACACTAAAACAACCTGACATATGAGAAAAAACTGAACATTCAGTTTGATGCTTTTCTCAGCTTACAATCTCAAATGTTGAGCCATTGGTCCAGATATCTAATTTGGAGTCATCTACAGTCCAAGCTTGATTGTCAGCCCTGAGCCCTGATTACATGACCACAGGCTAACAGTAACACATGTAATATTATATTATATGTAAATCTAAAAGTACATCTCAAGGCTCGGTGTCAAGAGCCACATAAACACATGTACATAATGTATTAAATACATACCAAACCTAACCCAAGCGCCAACCACAAGTGAGACAAGAATCACATGCCAACCACAAGTTGACGCTTGACCTGTGAATATATAAACCCCCCTTCTTCCCTTGATCCATCCCACATCTTTTTAGCACATCACAACATCAGAATCACATTATACTTGAAATTAGGGCTGTGACCCGGCCCTGAGAGTTCGTGGCCGGCCCCGGGGCCAAGCCCGACCCTGGGTAGACCCGAGGTCCCCTGGAAACTTCTCAGGGCCGACCAGGGCCTGCCCGAATCTCAGGCCTTGGGTGTCCAGGCAGGGCCGGGCCCAGATTTACGAGTAAAAAACCCTTGGAAAGGGGAAATTTTTATGTTATTTTTGGCGAAAACAGGATCGGGCAGTCGGCCGGGCTGGGCGCCCGGGGCGCCCGCAGGGCTTTGCACCCTATTCTGATTAGGTTTCAGAGCCCCGAGGCCGGGACCGCCAGCGTTGAAAATATCGCCGGGCACCCTCGGCCGGGCAGGGCCGGGACCGGGTCACAGCCCTACTTGAAATCCTATAGAGATGATCCTCAAGTATGTGATTAGTTGTGTAGTCTAAAGACCAAACTTGAGCATCACGGGTTCTATTGCTGAGCACCCCGGTATTGATTTCTACAAGCCTTGGGCCATCATATCCTCTAGAAATAAACCGTAAAGGAGCAAAGCCTCCTCCCTTATATGGAGTCTAAAGTAGCCTTCAGGATCTTTGGTTCACCAAAGTATAAAACCTGCCCCTTGCAGTCTCACGAGGTTAGAGCGTACTAGCTCTTTACTGCCCTTAATCCCTTTCTCTCTTCCTCAAATCCTCTTCTTAGAGTTCAACTAGCTGTAGTCTTCACTTGGGTGTACCACATGAATACCACACTTTACCTTTCTCATCACATTCTTAGTGAAGAGTACGCCTAACAGACACGCACTCCTCACATTGATGATGCTTTGGAGGCTAAATTAGGAGGAGGAATTACAGTCTACTCTCTCTAATGGCATACAGTTTGGCGGGCAGTTTTCTTATGCATTTAGAGGACTATGCCTTTACAAATCTTATTTTGGCTGGCAAATCCCATTTTGACAGGAAAAAACCCCGTAAAAACCTATACATTTAGAGGGATTATGCCCATAAAAGGTATGCCTTTATGGAGAGTTGACTGTAGCAGCTTGGGAGAGAATGTGGAGGACCCATTGAGATTATATAGTCAAAAAACATATCTCACATTGAAAAAAATAAAACACACACTGATTGTTCAAGAATTCCTTGACCATAGACTTACCCAAGATTCTTCAAAGAACATTGTATGTCACTGTGAGACTTGCTGAAAGCCATAGCTGAAGTGGTAGTAAGCTTCTTGGTAGTTGACCTTGATTACCAAGTGATATGCTGGATTAGATGTCAATAGTCAAGATCAGTCAATATTTTGGGTTGACCTTGTGGGTTTTCCCTTCAACTGAGCCTGATTGTCAAATCTGCCATGTGTTCCAATATAATATGTCTTTAGATATGATAGTGGGGTCAATTGACTGTCTCAATGAAAACCATAGTTCTTTGCACAAAGCAAGTCCTTCAAAGTGATCAATGGTGTTTCCCCAACTTGAAGATTTTTACTAATAGTCTATGCTTATTCTATTCAATGGGCTGATTCTAGTCAGTATCTTAGCTTGGTCACTTTTTAGCTGAGACTAATTGAAATTATGATGATTTCTGTCTGATAGACCTTCACTGTGAATTTGTGAATTGGTATAAAACTTCTGTTTGTGGAGGAAAAATTCTTTCCTTATGAGAGGAGTTACAAGCTTATCAAAAATGTTGCTACATGTGACTTCAGAGCTTTGAATAAGATAGAGAAAGATACAGAGACAACAAACATTGAAATTATTCTCCCCATATCTCTAAATGACAAAAATATTGGCTGTAAAGGAATAGTGACTTTATATGTTGTTTGGATTCAAAACAAATAAGTGGTGGTATTGTGATGATGTTTATTTTATTATTTTTATCATTATTGAACTGCTGTGTGTACATAAGAAGTATGTGTAATGAATCATACTATGAGGTAAAAACTCAAAATGGTTATCAAGGTGACAGAGGAGCATCTTGCAATACCAGTGAGTGATTCAAGATTGATGGATGAGGAAGACTTAGCAGAGCCAGTATGGGTGTGCAGTCTGTTTCCACCAACAACAATACCTTTTTGGCTGGTTCCAATTGCAACTGTGGGGGCAACAGCCACAGGAGTAGGCAGCTCCGTATAAATGGCAGCATATGCGTGTGTTGTGCATTTGGAGGTGGCAGGGACCACAGTTATGTATGACACACTCCTGTTGTTAAGGGAGGGACTTGTGTAAGTGATCTGTAGATTCAATGAAAATGGACAAAAAGACTGGCATGATTGGACCGAGTGACTCAGGTGGTTGGACCCACATCTTATTGTCCCCACCATCAATGTAATTCCCAACACTAAGAAGCTGATCATTGCCCTTGAGGACTGGAAAGTCCTGTTGATGGAAGCATAGTTAGCTGGTGCATTGTATTTGCATCCAATTTGGTTGTAGACATCTGTGGATCCAAGTTATTGTTGACGTTCATTGTAAACTTCAGCCTATCAAGACTACATATGTTTGTAAAGCTCTGCAGTGTTGAGTCTGGCTAGGTTTCAAGCCTTGAAAAAAAAGGTTACCTTTCCAAAAAAGTAGTTCCATTTGATGACTTGTGTGTATTCAGGTCCGCCAGGTGTGTTGTGTTGCGGTCAATGTGGCCTGAGCAGATGAGCTAGGCCTTCCTCAGGCTTTATCTCTTCAGGCTTTATCTCTTGGCCAAGAAGCCTGAGGGAGGACTAGCTCATCTGCTCATGTCATCTCACGCCCTCCAATACTCAGCTTGCACAGTCAAGTGGCCAAGACTGATTGAGCGGTGAGGGATCCAATCAAATGCTGGATGAAAAACATACTGGGAAACATCCCTGATTGACACCCCAGGACATGACATCTGGCCATGACTCAGGTACCAAGTCTGAGTCTGGATGTCCAAAAATTACCTGTTGAATACCCATTGAAATCACAGGATTTCCAAATCAAAAATGTATGGGTCTTTGATTATTTGCTTTGTGGTTTATGAATCACCAAAGAAGAACAAGCAGGCATCTCCAATTCCAACCCAACACCTTCAAGTTGTGTTTCTGAATTGTATTTAATTGCACCCTAAACCCAAGCGTCATCTCAGCTCCCATCTTCACTGCCACCATCATGTCTTATCAACTTTCCAGTTGATTTATCAATTTCATTCTGTTTTTCAACTCCTCTAACAGCATCCTTTGCAGGAGCAAAAGGACCTACCTTCCCACTTCCCTTGGCCATCTCAGGGTCCACTATCACACCAACAGGATTTTAAAGTGGGAGGGAGTTCCTTCTGAACAAACCCAAACACTTGTTAGTTCCTGAATGGGATGAGAAAGCCACAAAATTAAGAAATCAGGCAAAAAAAGAAGGTATGGATGAACTAGACATACTGGTATCTTTGCCATCTTGTGCCAGATGTCAGAGCTGAGCTTGACCGTATTTGTTTTGGGGTTCCGACCATTTTTCTTCAATAAATCTGATACATCCTTGTACCTTTTGTCAGATCAATTTGAAAGGGAAAGATAATTAAGATAGAGTCAAAGGAAAGAAGAGAAAAAAGATCAAAAGACTTACCACATTATAATGAGTGTGCACCATTTCACCTGTCTTGGGTTTACTTGCTCCTTTGGCATGTCTTGCACAGAATTTGCATGGAACTTGTATAAATTTTTGCATAGGTTTGAGTACCATAAGTGTAGGTATAATGGGCATGTCATTTGAAGATCAGAAAAAGTCAACACCATTTTGGATCTCTGCAGGGATCCAAATTTTTTCATTTGGTTTAACTACGTTTAGTAACTCTTCATCTAAGATTACTCACCCTGGTGGAATTTTAACATCATAAGGTTTAAATCATTCATTATTCCCTGTAGAAGTAAATTATGTACAAGTTACCAAGAAAGATTATTGGAAAGTCTCACTTGATCATATTGCTGTCAATGGTATCAAGATTGAAGACTCGGTCAATAATCCAGCTTTCTTGGATACTTGCGTGAGCGTTATTCTTGCACCTACTGGTGTTGAAAAGGCAGTGTATTCATCTATTCCTGGAGTGGGTGGTGAAGGTAATGTTTTATCAGTATTATCTATTCTAAAAGTGAAGCTAATAGGTATCTGACTAATGAGGATTAATTCATCCAAAAACTTTTTACATTCCATGTTCTACCAAGATAAAATTTGGAATGAACTGTGGAGGACAAACTAATTATGCAATTCAACCAGATGACTTCGTTTTACAGTCTATTAGAGATGATGTTGAAAACAACTTCTTGGAGCAGTATCAGGAACAATTCTTGGGTAGTAGGTGATGTTTTCTTGAAAGATCTTTATACTGTCTTCAACTCGAGTGAGCCTGCAATAGTTGGGTTTGCAAAACCGGTCAAGCATTATCAATCTGTACCTGGTGGTTATTCTTTGAATTGAATGATCTGCTTCCTACATATGTAGAAACTCTTGATTTGAAAGCTTGTAGAGTTCAGCGTTTTGCACTTGTGTCTATCTCTTTTGTAAAGTATTAAGGGGGCTCAAGTCAAAATATTTGCAACCTTTTCTTAAAAATTTGGGAAAGTTTTTTACGGTACCGTGCTGTAAAAACTTTTCCCAATTCGTAAAAAAGGACCGTAAAAATTTCTTCCGGATCTCCTTCTGAGCAGTAAATTTACGCAAATTTGCTGCTTAAAAAAAATTGGGATGTTGTATAACATTTTGCTCAAATTTTATGAAATTGGGAAAAGTTTTTTACGATAAAAGTAGTAATTTTTTTTGACTTGAGCCCCCCTATTATAGACTCTCATCTTCAATAATGGTGATGAAATCCATTGAGTTGTTTCGCTATAACATGTTCACCTTATCTCTTGGATTTCAAGGTTCGCCTCAAAGCTCCAGAGTTGACAGGGTGAAGCAGAAGTAAAATTGAGTGAGTTGCAATTTTGCCATGAAAACAATGAATCATTTGTTATACTCATCAAACTCTTGTAACGATACCTTATCGTTATCTTACTGGAAATACTTTAATCGAGAGAAACAAAAAGTGGAAGATATATTCATGACTGGGAATCTCAATTGTCAAAGCCATTGAAAATTTCCAACTTGGAATGACTGCATATCAAATCAGAATCTTGTATCAAAGATATGTGTCATGAATCTGAGGGAGCAACAAGAAGCAGATATGATGGAAGCAAATCTGTGTCTGTGCGATAAATTTATATGTGTCTTGAGCTTCACTGTCTTGCCCTCTCATTTCAATATCTGCCGAGCTGTATTGTGGATATTCAATGTGAGAATTTCTGTCAAGATTCATCCATATTACTCCAGGTTGAGGAGAGACAAACAGGAAATTTTGAAACCCGCCTTGAACTTGTTAGGCATCCTCACTCTACAGCTTCTTGCTGTGGGTGAATTCATCAACAGCAAGTCTCGGCAGTCGGTTTCAGTTGACTTGGAAAATGATTGATTTCCGAATTGCAAGAGGAGAAATTTTTTCACTTCACTTTCTTTCCTTATTAGAGGCCAACCTTCATGGGTTTGATATCTTTTTGGCCTCATCAAACTCCTCAATTTGTCCGATTGAAACTAGACCTCTCTTCTGATACCTCCGAAAAGTTGCAACTTAATTTCTGTTCAATCTTACAAGATGGCTATTGGCTCTAAGACGTTGTTGTACAATCTCAGTATATACAACTTATTTACTTGCTACCTTTCTTATACCCTTTCCTCCAAGGAAATTTATTCTGTGACCTTGTATGTCTGGCAAGTCCTTCCGTCTGATCAAGAGCAAGGTCAGAGTAAATCGCAACGGATCAGGCGGCAAGTAGGTAGGCTGTGATGAGAGGCTGAAGACAAAAGCTATCCCTTAAAGTTACTGATCTATTTATTCTCTGTAATGTATCTACATATAGCGCTCGAAAATGTTGACAACATGGAATGCTATGGTGTGGTTGAGATTGGAACCCCTAAACAAAAGCTCCCCGTCCTTCTTGACACGGGCTCTGATACATTCTGGGTCTCTGGAGTGTCCACAACACTTCCTGATGGATCTCCTTTATCAAATGTCTCAACTAGAGGGCCTTTATTTGATCCTTCCAGCTCTTTGTCTTATAAACCGGGCTCAAAATATTTTGAGCAATCATACGGAGATAATTCTGTGGCAACAGGAGTAGAAGTAAGAGATTCCGTCACACTTGGATCCTATTGTTCCAAAAAACAACCCTTTGGCCTTGTGAATAACACTACTCCGAGGATCTTCTCAGGAGACACGTCAGGTTGAGTGCTTCAGGTTACTCATAGCGCTGTTATGAGATTGAATGAATCTGATTGTTTGATAATTCGAAATAAATCTCTATTCTGATTTGGGACAAAACAGGTGTGATGGGAATGGCATTTAAGCGGCCTGATAAGTCATCACCCTTTTGGTCAACAGCGGGAATCAAGATTTTTGCTTTTGGTCTGGCTTGATTCAGTAGCTCTTCACCTGACCGTACTCAACCAGGTGGTATCTTAACACTAGGAGGTCTTAATAGTTTATTAATTTCTGGAGAGGTGAATTACATAAATGTTACCAAGAAAGATTATTGGCAGATTACTGTTGATCATGTCACAGTTAACGGGGTTCGTATCAGAAAGTCTATTGTTAACCAAGGTTTTATAGACACCGGTCATCCCCTAATACAGGCTCCAAAGGCCGTCGTGGAGGCCGTATATGCTCGCATCTCTGGAGCAGAAAATGTGGAAGGTGAGACCTCATTGATATATATTCCTCAAGGTCGGGCTGTTAGCTATGTGACTGATGGAGACAACGAAAATTGTTTGCTGTAGGATGGTTTTACATACCATGCGATTCAAACGTATCCTTTGGGATGAATTTGGGTGGACAGTCTTACGAAATCCCTCCGGCTGACTTCATCACACAGGAGGACAGTAACAAACGTAACGGTCTATGCCGTGGGCAAGTAGTAGGGTCAGATAATTACCCTACTTGGATAATGGGCTCATTATTTATTCGAAACTTCTATACGGTCTTCAACGCTAGCAAGCCTGCAAGGGTTGGGTTCGCAAAACCGGCCAATAACTACCAATCTTTGCTAGGAGGCTCTCCTATGTGACTTTTCCCAATAGAAGGCACTGATCTTGTGCTTTTCCCAGCTTGAACTATGTACAATGTGCTAGAAAGGATAATTCACTTTCTCTTTGTTTTTGTCTGCTTCATGTCTTGTTGTCCGCTCATAGCCAGCGCAATCAATTCTCGCAGGGTAGTCTTTACCGGTGATGTGGAATGGTGAACTCCAGTTTGAGAATTTGAGCAAAGCCCAAACTAGCACAAGCTTTGTGAACAACTCAACTTGAATTTACATAGATATCAGTTGACACAGAATTTGTAGTGCTCCTTGAAGTTCACAGGCACATTATTGTACAAAAATCACAAAGTTCTTGACAGGACAGCCCCCCCTGGCTCAAGAAATGTTGAGCACCTGCTGGCTTTCACAGGGCAGGACAAGGTCTGAGTTGCCAGCATATATCCTGCAATGGGCGCTGTTGGGCTTGAGAGGAAGGTGAAATTAATGGTTGCACTGGTCAATGATGGGTTATCATGTTGGCTGACAGGCTAGCAAGTGTGATCACATTGGCCAAAAGTGTCAAGTTGAAGACACAATTTTTCTGATTATTGATATTGAATAGGACTGCATAACTTTGGATGCTTGGACTTTGTATGCTTGTTTTTGTCTTGGAAATGCTGGTGGTGGTGGGCTCTTGAGCCGTGGCTAAGCTTGCGCAGCCAACAAGGAAACTGATGTATTTATCTAAACTTTGTGGTTTTTGTTTTCAGAGCTTTCTAACGCAAAGCAATCTCAAGGAAGTTGTTCCAAGAGGAGCAAAGATTGACATTAATCTGCACTGTTTCACCCTGATTGTCTCCCCAGACAAAATTTTCACCTGGAAAAAGCTTGAGGACCTCCAATCAAACCTGTCTATCCCTTCCATGATGTTCCCCAGGTAAGCATCTTTCTTTATAGAACCACACCTTTTGTACTCTCATACAAACCCAAAGGTTTAATAAGAGCAAGTGCTTCTCGCAGTGGGTGCCAAAACGTTTGCACCTGTATTTAACAATAATTCAAGCCTGAAAATGTTTCTGGGCTACCAAGTTGAATTGAACATGTTGGTGGGTTTATCCTCAGACAGGTGTGGTTTTGCAATTGATTGCAAATGCTCAACAGCATATTGACCCATCTGTGGACAACCAGGCAGCTCAGCCAATACCGGAACCGCTCCGCAACTTATAGTGTTTGCGGTGCGGTTGCGGTGCGGTTCTTGGCCCCGCAATATATAGCGGAGCCAGCGCAGCGCAATCCGGGGCCAAAAAAGTGGGTTCTCAGAAACCCGCAACACAATTTTGGTTCACTCCGATATATTCGATATATTGCGGAGTCAGAGGAGCAACAGGAAAGTCCACCAACCAATAATGAACCTGCTTCGACCCACCTCGACGAATTCGACATATTTGGAGTTGCAGACGCAGTTAATTATAAGGCCAATACTGAGCTTGAAGATTATCTCAATGGGAAATGCCCGATCAATAAGGGCCAAACCCCTTTGGGTTGGTGGAAGGTTAGTATCTCTTTTTCTAGTACTACCTTTTCACTGCCACATTCTAATTTATTTCGTTTTTGACAGGAACATCAACACAAATTCACCATTCTTGCTCATCTCGCACGTGATTATCTGTCGGTTTTGGCCACGTCGTGTGCCTGCGAACGGACATTTTCGGCAGCGGCTGATATCTGCACCCCTTCACGAGGTGGGATGCTCCCTAAGACGATGGAGCGGCTCGTCGGAGCTCAGGCTTGGCTAAAGGAGGGAGTAGTACCGGACGGGGATTTTGCAGAAGCGACAAAATCACTTCAACTCTATATTGACAGTGTAGCCAAAAAGAAAAGAAAATAATATCTTTTGTAGTCCTTCATTTCATTTGTTGGAATAAGCTACAACATGTTTTTACTTTGTTATTTCCCAAATTTCAATACAAGTAGTATCCACGAGAAAGTCTTTAGCACAATATTGAGCTCTATATTGCGAAATTGACCTCAATCTCGCAATATTGCTCTCTGCGCAATAATGCGTCAATATTGCGAAAATATTGTGCCTCATCCGCACCACAACATCAAGAGGAAAAATTTCATGTACCGTTGCGGTACATTTCGCAGTGTAATATTGCGCCAAAAGCGCAACACAATGGGATTTGGTCATATTTCGTTGTGTTGCGCAGCGGTTTCGGTATTGGCTCAGCTCACACATGATTCATAGAATCCAATTGATGCGTCTTTAATTCAACACTAAAGACATCCAGAACAATGGGAAGCACATCAGAAGGAAAGCAGAAGACAGAAAGAACCCCCAAAATAGTAAGAGGAACTAGGTCAGAAAAACATATCCTACCTAGACTACTCCATCAGAACTGCCACTTCAGTTCACATAGAGCACCTGCTAAAAAACACCCTCACATATTTGTTTTCTGAAGCCTAAAGAGTTGTATATTGCTTAATCCACTGAATGGCAAATTTGCAAAGATATGATGATGCAAGGACATGGAAGCAATCTGCAGGGTAAATCAGATCCCCAGTTGACAAGCAAGATTATGAGTATATAACCTGAAATACGGATCAGCATAAATCAAACTTGGTACACCAAGAGGTATTGTCGGTGAAGAGGCACTTCAAGTATATAACCTGAAATACGGATCAGCATAAATCAAACTTGGTACACCAGGAGGTATTGTCGGTGAAGAGGCACTTCAGAGGCTGATGGGAACTTTTGCGTATTAAATCTTGCAGCATGGGAATCCCGATCAAGAGTCTACCGCAGGGCTGCAGCAGTGAGTCTGAGTATACTCAACTCATACTCACATGCCACCAAGATCCGCCCCGGACCGGAGTACCTGTACTCCCGCAGCGAGCTGTATGAGTAGTACTCCACCTCGGAGTACTCACTTGTATGTGTAAATAGATTACACATACAGCCGATCCAAGAAAGGTTGCAATTTTTTTTGAAGAAAAATCGCCGCCGCAGCAGCTAATACCTGGGCAAAGGGGCAAAAACCAAGTCAAAAGACTTTTCAATATGATCATGGATCTTTTGATTTGCATGGATCTTTCGACAAATCAAAAGATCCCAGATCTCCATCTTGCTTTCATCAAAGCCACCTTGCAATGTAGGGACCCAAACAATTCAAGCGCCACCAGATCCTATATACCAGCTCTGACCGATGTTCAGAAAGGGTTCCTACAAGGCTACCCTTGAGATTCCCTCCGGCCAGCTACCCTCAATTCTTTCTTCCTCTAGGATTTCAATTTCCAATAGTTCTACAACCAGTATCACAATCTTTCTTTTCACTAAAATTCTCATCCTATCAAATCAAAATCCTCATATCTTTCTCTATACAAGTCATGTCTACAGAAGTCAATAATATGCAAGGGTGGATGAATGGTAGTGAGTGTTTTATCTTTGCTCTGGCTCATTAGTTGTACTGATTTCCCCATCTCTCAGTCTTTGAAGACCCCCCTGTCTTACGAAATGGACATGATGCGCCAGCTCGTCAGGCTGGCAATAACTTGCTGGAACGTCCGGGAACTGCAGGCCGTGCTCGATTTGACCTAGCGCATGAAGTGACTGTACGGATCGCTTTCAAGATCAGTTTTGAGGAAACCAAAGAGCAGCCATGTGTCCGTATAGGGGGGACAAAGAAGGCTCCGAAAAAGACGATCAAGACAGTCGATTCCCGACACTTTCACAATGGATCGGGACGTTCCATCAAGACCTGCTTATTTGGCAAGAGCTTAAATGACTTCAAGGCTCTGTGTGGTGACGCAGTCAATGAAATCAAGACTGGAATGAAAGAAGTGGTACTGAACGGTCACCTCGCCCAAGGCTTGATATGGAAGGCAACCATTGGCAAGAAAAAACTACCCCTCGATTCGTTTGAGGATTGGCAGGAGTTTGTGCTTTGCCTCGATCGCTCGAAATCACGCACTGGCGAATTAGATATCTGTAGCCCAAACGAAGCCCAAAAAAAGAAACAAGTTGATAATGTGAGCCGATATTTTCACTCACCTATCAAAACTATATTCATACTAAATTTCCTCACAACTGATCCAGGATGAGGCGGCCGATGGGCTTATTGCAAAGGACACGGCGGGAAACAAAACATCTCACAATCAAGAATTGATCAAGGAGAACTTGGTGAGGGTACTTGGTTTCATATGTTTTAGCTCACCCCTCTGATCTCTTTGGTTTCCATCATTAGGAACAAAAGAAGATGTTGGCCCGTTATACGGCCTCAAACAAATTAGTTGAACGTTATGGGCAGACCGGCACTGCTGGCGGAGATGGAGCAGTTTTGACATCCCCCTGGGACCCGAACTTCAAATATCGATTCTCTTTTGAAGCGTGCTCTGTATGGGCCAAAGAAATTGTAAGTATTTTACTTTATTCTTGAGTCTGATTCGACTTTTAACATTTCTTACTGTTCCTCATAGGCTGAAGGCCGAGCAACACTTGACATGCCACCCGACTGTCCTGATTACCGCCGATCAATGAAACGCACCAGATTTGATAAGAACACAAGTTCAGCTAAAAGATATCAGATTCATTCGGCTGAATTTCAGCGTCAACGTGAAGCCACTGAAGAATCCCCTTCAACTCGTGGGAAAAAGACCAACTTGGATATGCGATTACCAGCTTTGACCAAAACTCCCGACTCAAAATCACAAATAAAGTTGGCCCCAGGTGAGTTCCTTTGATTTATCATCGAGCAAACTCCTTACTATGCTAATCACAAATGCTATTTACACATCAGGCCGCGAGCATCATCAATCACATATTGACCCGTCATTTTCCAAAAAGAATTTCATTGACCTAGCTGCATCCTCAGATATCGAGGATGAAACCAAAGTGTCTGATGTCCACACTTCCGATGATATCTGGAGCTCAGAGGATATCGAGATCATTACGGGCAGGCCAACACCCTTTGACAAGTTTTTGGCTTCCGCCGGTATCAAACAACCTGTTGATGAAATCAGGAATGTACTTTTTAACGCAGGAATCAAAACCTGGACTGATCTATTACCCTCAATCTCAGTGACCGAATCGTCTGTGATGGCTTTGGGAATTGACAAAATTGCTGCTGGAATGCTACTTGCAGCAGCAAGTGCGCGTCAAGCAAGCATATTGGGTAAGTTGTTTCCCTTATGGCTTAAAATCATTTCGTTGGTGAAAAATATCGGACTGACCATCTCCCACTGATGTTTTCAGCGCGCTTTCAAAAGTCAGTAAAAAAACAATCCTAATTACTTGATGCTATCAAACCCTTTGTGCTGGATAGAGTTCAATTATCTCAAAAATATACAAAACTTGTTTAAATTGGCTCTTTTCGTAGTCCCCTAAAAAGATATCGTAATATCCTACCTTTGAAATCAGAAAAATGTTGGTATTCTTCCCCATCAAAGCCATTGAGCCCAGTCTTGAGAGATCCGTGAGCAAATTGATTAGATCAAGTGAGAAACAATATCCTGAAAACCTAAAACAACTATCGTTCTTTGATTGTTCTCCAAGAACGATAGTCAATCGTTGTTCTTTATTATCAAAATCTTTGAATCTTTGACACGACTATCGTTCTTTGAGAACAATCAAAGAACGATAGTCGATAGTCGTTCACTATTATCGATATATTTGAATGTTGTCAAACTGTGCGTTCTCTTACATAGTTGTTCATTATTATCGATATCTTTGAATCTTTTCAAACTGTGTCTTCTCTTGCATAGTTGTTCATCATTATCGATGTCTTTAAATCTTTGACACGACTATCGTTCTTTGAGAACAATCAAAAATACCGATTAGATTATTTGAATTAATAGAATCACAACTAGGGATTCAAATCAAATGGATGTCATATTTCTTAAAACGAACACCGAAAACAAAATTGAAACCTCTAAGTTGTTCTTCTTTGATGAAGGATCTTTATCATTCTGTAAAGTGGCTCAAGTTGTCTCATTTTAGGCAAGTGTTCAGTGAGGAAGAAATTGGATGAATTGACACAAATAAATTGTAAGATAATTGCTGAATCTTGTTTGTTTGTATTTCAAAACCAGTTCTACTTGATAAACACTCAGCTCACATTGGAATAGAAAGACTTAGACAAATGAAAACCAAGTTAAGAAAAATTCTAAATATAACCACACCCACGGAAAAGAGAGCAAGTGAGTTGTTCAGTAAAATTATTGATGCAGGCCTCCCATATGCAAGCCTGCTCCTCGTCCCTAGTCAAATCCTGATGTAAGACCCCTAACCGTCGCAATCGTGCTTTCAAAGGTGAGAACCCCTTCTCGATGGGGTTGAAGTCAGGACTGTAAGCCGGAAGATAGATAAGTCGGACGCCACGTGCGGCACAGAGTTCAGCAATCCGACCACCGTGATGGATTGGTGCGTTGTCCATCACAAGGACCGAATCACGTGCTGGCCATGCGTTCATGAAAGGTAACTTGACAAGATGAAATAGGAAATCAGTTTACTAGTTGCGGAAAGGCAAAAAAACTAAGCCACAAGCGTACCAAGTGGAATTCCAAATAATCTTCAAATCGGACCCGATTGAAACCACCCTCAATCACTTGGAGTGCAACCAGTCCTGACATTGAGATAGCTGGTAAGATTGTCCAGCGACGAGCTTGAGTGGCACGAGGGAGACGGCGGGTACGCTCGCCAACGGGGGCCCTGGCAAATTCTCGATACAGACGGCGCTTTGAAAGACTACTTTCATCTGCAGCACAAAAGATTTGATTAGCTCGTTGAACCATGGAAAGATTGATGGCAGCTCTTTAACTTACCTGCAAATACTAGACATTGGGGATCTATCCCAAAGATGTTATCAATGTACTCTCCACGAGCAATGGGGCTCTGATTTGGATGTACAGTGCGTGCCTTTTTGCGGGTAAGGCGAAGTCTGGAGTTGAGCTCGGTGCAAAGGGTTTGATTGCAGACATCAAATTGGAATGTTTCGAGAAGTCTTGCCTTCAACTCGTCTAAGTAGAGAGTAGGATCGTGTTCAAGAGATTCAAGGATGAATTGACGCTGAGCATTGTCGAGTCGAGTAGGAGCACCTTGCTCCATCCAGAGATTGGGGTCAGTGACAACTGAGTGTGTTGTCCGGTAGAGTTCGTACCATCTTCGAACGGAAGCGATAGATACCGTGATGCCCAACGTGCGGCAAATTTCGTCGTGTTGCATTCCGCGCAAGACCATGCGGACAATGACCACTTTAAGATCAGGGCTGTAAAGGGGCATTGGAGTGAGATTGTGATGATGAGTGTGATGATTGAAATGGCGGAAAGGGGAGAAAAACGAGGGGGATTGGGGGAGAGAGAAATCAGAAGCTTGCTCGAAGTTGACGGAATCTCTTCAGTACAATGAGATTGTGAAGATGGTGTGCCGCGTAGGGCTTGCAGTAGGGCTTGCAGGGCAGCAGAGCGAAAAACCACACAAAGAAAAAAAAAAGGAAAAATCCGGTCAGAAATAAAAACTATTAGTTTTGCACCTGCGACGACTTTTCAGAAAAAAAAATCATTCTTTGTTGGATCAGCTGTACTCATCCACGCCCGCGATCCGCGCCCAAGACTCACTAACTCTCGCCAACCCTTCCACCTCGTTTGGATGAGTATACACTCACCATATACTCATCCAAACAAGGCCTCCACCATCCACACAATCTTCGAATTCGTCACCGTTATTTAGTTTATCTATCTCTATCAAGATTGGATAATCGATATCGATATCGATTTCGAATTATCGCCGTTCACGGAAACCGCCTCTCACCATAATACCGCCACAATATTTGATATAAATTGAATATCAAACCGATCATCTTTCTGGTCCACATCCAGACCCACAACTTACAGATTCCCTTTTCACAATACTCACCTCACGCCTTCATCTGAATCCATCGTTTCGTTTGCTCAATCGTACTCACTCTGGATGAGTGGCTTGTCCTTCTAGACTACATCGAACCGCCATTGTTTTGTGATTAGCTCAATTTAGGATCTATTTCAATCAATCAATTTATGGCAGTCAAACGAACGATCAATATAGAGCCTGGTGGCAAGATTCAAGTTGTGTGGCCGGCGTTGGCATGGGTAAATGGCCATTTCGAGGCGCTTGGCGATTTGGATTGGTCGTATGACCAAAGGTGAGTCATATCTCTACATAACTCACATATTCACAGTCCCTTCCCTTCCCACGAACTCCTCCTGACGTTCTTCCTCGTGTGTGCTTTCTGGCTCAAGTCTCGCATCCTCACACCCTGTCTTACTCTTCTTGTTTCATTCCCATATCTCCTCTCTTTTATTTAGACCTGTTGATTATCTAGCCACCATGCCTCGCAATTTGGCCAAATCGCCTCCCCCTCCAAAAGTTTCTCCCTATGCTCGACGTGTTACCCCAGGATCTTCGGCGACACGTGTCATCTCAGGGTCTCGCGTGACTTCGGCCTCTCGTGTTGGTTTGGCTCCTTGGCTTTCCACCTCTTCGAATCGCATCGAGAATACTCCCCCATCTTGTGCTAAGTCTTTTATAGTGCAAGATACCTCAGAGGTAGACGGAGAGGTCTCCATGTTGAGATCCCACCGACATCGATCTGACGTTTACCTATATTTCGATGTGAGTCAATTTCACATTATAAGAAGTCTGTGCATTATCCACAGACTGACGTAAAAAGGCAATTTTTGCATTAGGACCCCTTCCCCTCCTCAGACGAGACCAAGTCTGATGATGCGAGGTCCTACCCGTGTCTTCACTGCCCGTAAGTGAACTATTTCAGACTGCCCAACGATTCCTTTGGAGAAAATGAACGCTGATGGTATCTTTGTTCACATACAGGGTTATCCTTTCGATAAGCGGTCGTCCAAACTTGAATTTGCACAAACATCAACGCAAGTGCCCCGGCTTGCCACTTGCATGGTACAACCATGCTCCTGGTAGCATTGAGCCGGAAAGCAATCCGATCGTCGCCGCTGATCGCAAGAAAGAATTGCGAACCCTCCTCATTGGGGCCGTCATCAGCAAGAACTTGCCGTTTTCTATTTTCGAGGGCGTCTTGATGCAGAAAGCCCTCCGAGCGATTGCTCCCTCTTTTTATTGGCCGGCTCGGATGGCTCTCAAAACGGACTCAGAGGCCCTTTATTTGGACCTTGAACAGAAACTCCTGGACGAGGTGGCTTCCGTAACCGGTTCGATCTCGACGGCCACGGACTGTTGGACCAGCGCCAACTTCTCGCATACGTACATGGCTATAAATGGATTTTTCTTCAACCCCGAAGGAAAGTTTTGTCGAAGACTCCTCGCGTTCAAAGTAAGTCACCTTGTGGATTAGTAAGGTTAAGTCTTTTGGGAATTCTGCCTAACAAACGCTCTACCTGCAGAAACTCGAGGGAAAGCACACCGGGGAGAACCTGGCCAAGGTTTATTGGAAGGCGCTGGAACATGTTGGCGCCCTCCGTAATCACTACTCTATTACTGGCGACAATGCGTCCTCGAATCGTGCGATGGCTAAGCTCCTAGGCGACCGTTATTCCTCCATTGGGATCCACTGGCCCTTCGAGTCGAGGTTCCATGGCTGCATGTGCCACGTGATAAATCTGGTTGCGAAAGACTTTTTGGACGGCATGGGCCAGCTCACGGACGAAGATATTGCCGCGTATGAAGCCTCTGGCATGGCCGAACCGCGCCATACTTTTGAACCCGACGAATTACCTTGCACGGGAGACTACAACGTCACTGTACCTGATCACTTGGCTCAACACCCTGAATCACTTTCTCAGGCCTCCCTTGAGGTACACGGTCCAACTCAAACCCAAGACACGGACGTAGACCTATTGCACCTGTCTAACAGCAAGAACATCGAGGCAGAAGTTTCCAATTTAGAAGACTCGCCCACGGTCAACCTGACTTCCCGCAAGAAAAAATCAACCATCGTCACTCGCATACGAGCTTTGGATACTCACATTCGAAAGAGTCCTCAGGAACTCGAGGCTTTCATCAAAATCCGGGATGATGTTCAAGACCCCCAACTTCTGCCTCTCAGCTGCCCGCCTACTCGCTGGAACTATTTCTATTATGTTGTAAGTCAAGTTTTTCTTAATTTTTAATTGGTGCCGTTCTGACTTTGTTTTCCAAATCAGGTTCAACGCACACTCAACCTCAGAAACTCCCTTGAAATCTACACTGCCGACCCGAAAAGGACCCACCTAGCCATCTCAAAGTCGGACTGGGCAACTATCGAGTACATGCAGCCTGTTCTAGAGATGTTCGAAACGGCGACTCAAATTTTTCAATCTAACGATGCAACTAAGCAGTTAGTTCTTCCTGTACTCTGGGCGCTTCAAACCGTTTTGCAGAAACACCAGCGGGTTCCGGGGGCTTGGGGGCGAGCTTGCAAAAAAGCTGAAGACAAGCTAGTCAAGTACCTTGACCTCGAAGAGGGAAACCTGCAGACCTTGGTTGCCACGCTCCTCGATCCTGTTCAGCGAGACTCGATCTTTCGAAATCATGTAGCGGTTGAAGTCCAGGCCAAGCGGTGCCTTCGAGACGAGTACGACTTGTGGAAGCCCAGCCCGACTGAAAGTGGGCGCGAAACTCCTCCTCCTGTCCCTGCGGCTCCGAAAAAGGGCACCCACAAGAAACTTCAAGAAATCTACTCGCTCTTGGGCACCTCGGCGATTCCACCTTCGAGTAGTTCCGAGGAATATGACGAGGTGACGCGATACTTACAACGGCTGGATCCTGTGCTCCCCAATGAAAGCATTGGGGAGTTTTGGGTGGTAAGTCGCCCTCATCACGATTCGAAGGTGCAGAAGAAAGCTGACCAACGTTCTCGTCATTTCCCAGCGCATGTCCAAACCTTCGGGTCTCCCGGTCTTGGCCCAGATTGCCTTGCAACACCTCACGATTGCGGCAGCCGGCGCCTCGGTGGAGAGAGTGTTTTCAATCTCAGGCAACATAGCTGTGCCTTCCCGAGGTCGCCTGGACCCAGAGACCATTTGCCACCTGGTACTGGTTCGACACTGGCTCTCAAACTGGGAGGCAACTGTTAATGTGGAGGAGGTTGCGTAAAAATGGATCTTTTGTTTCTTATTTTGTTTGGTAGAATTTCAATATAAAGGTTTTCAACAAGCCCCTCCCTCCCGTTTGGTTCTCCTTGCGTTTCCTTTGAACATGTGTTTACCAACTCCCCTTTTGTTACCTACTTGTGTTTCCTATGAACCGTGCTTGACCAAATGATCATCCCCACTCTGACTGACCACACTTGTCTAAGAAATGGCCAAGACTGGCCTATTTATTGTCCCTTCCCCAGTCCTTTCCGTCCGAGTGTACTCAGTCGGAATGAGTACACTCGCTCTGATTTAAACTGAGTATACTCATAGTGAGTAGACTGTCACGTGAGTCTACTCACTCTGTGAGTCTTATTACAACCGTAGTACTTACATGCGGGGGAGGGCTGAGTCTCGAACTCATGCCGGACTCTACATCAATCGAGGAATGGAGTCCGGCACTCTCTCTATAACTCACATGAGTCGGTACTCAATGGGAGTACCGACGATGCTCGCGCGGGAAGTGAGTCGAAGTAGACTCACTGCTGCACGCCGGTAGACTCTACCGGCGTGCCTCGGGCCCGGGCTGTCCCGTCTGGCGATTGCCAGTCCACGACGCGTGCTCCGCCCCGAAACTGGAGTGTATGCGTTCCGCAAGTCGAACGCGTTGCCAATTATCACTTCTCATCACCACAATTGGCTTGAAGGAACTTTTTTTTACTTTACCATAATGCATATCCTCGAATTGATTCTGGATGGGTTCAAGTAAGCAATTCAATTATCTATATCCAAATTTTTTCTTACGGGCGATTGACTCGATGTCTAAACTGACTATAAACTTTCTCGCGTGTACGATAGGTCTTACCCAGTTCGGTAAGTGTTTTACCTTCCAATTGATCAGAGAACTGAGACTCATACCAACACAATCCGAGTAGGACGACAATCAGTGGATTCGATCCTTCATTCAATGCAGTCACTGGATTAAACGGTTCAGGAAAATCCAATATCCTCGATGCAATTTGCTTCGTATTAGGAATCACAAACTTATCAGCTGTTCGTGCTACAAATCTACAAGATTTGATTTATAAACGTGGTCAAGCTGGAGTCACAAAAGCTAGTGTTACGGTTGTGTTCGATAATCGAGATAAGACGAAGGCACCCGTTGGATTTGAGCAATATGCAGAAGTCACGGTCACTCGGCAGGTTAAGCATCCATATCATGAGCTTTTCTTAGTATGAATTTTGTTCTGTAATTGATGTTACCCTCTATTTTTTCTCCGCCTCTGATAGATATTGATGGGAGGCGCTACCAAATACCTCATCAATGGTCATCGCTCGACTCAAAATTCCGTTCAAAACCTATTCCAATCTGTTCAATTGAATATCAACAATCCCAACTTTCTCATCATGCAGGGTCTGTCTTGTCCCTTTTTCAAAATTTAACTCTAGGACTTGCATCATTGAAGCAGAGCGATGCTTTGATTATAGGTAAAATTACAAAAGTATTGAATATGAAACCTCAGGAAATCTTGGGTATGATTGAGGAAGCAGCTGGAACAAGTATGTTTGAAGAAAGGAAAGATAAGGCTGTAAAGACAATGGCAAAGAAAGACAAGAAGATGGAAGAGATTCAGGAGGTCTGTACAAGTGTTTCATCCTGTCCCTTTTCCTGAAAAGAAGAACACTCGCGAGACCGTTTAACTGATCGAAATTCAGGATCTTTCGTGATCATAGTTATTGAGAGAGGAAATCGAACCAAAATTGAATCGTTTACGTGAAGAGAAGAGAACCTACCTGGCTTTCCAACAGAACGAAGCTGAACTTGAAATTTTGACCAGATTATGTATTGCTTGGGATCATTCTCAGGCCACGAGAAGACTGAAAGATATTGTAACTCAGATGGATGCCAAAACGGATGAAATCCAGACCATCGAAGAGTCTCGTACACAGTATCATCAGGAAATCAAGACGATGGAAGACGAATCAACTCGGATCAAACGTCGAATGGAGGCAGAGTCAAAGAAAGGCGGCAAAGTTGAGAAGATGGAAAATCGTTTGAAAGAGATTGCGACCGATCTTGCTCGTCTCAAGACTCAAGTTGAACTCAGTCAAAACACACTTAAGGACGAACAAGGAAAGCTGAAAGACCTAACTAAGGCTGAACGCGATCTCACAATACAATTGGACGAAAAAAAGACAGCTGGAACCGAAATCAAAAGCAAATTTGCGGATCTGAAGTCTGAGTTCGATCTTTCCTCGGCTGATCTCAAGAAGGCAGAGGAATTGCTACAAACACTGGTCACTGGCTTGACCACCGATGAATCTGAAGGTGCGAATGCCGGCGGATATATGGGTCAACTAGCTGAAGCTCGCCAACAGTCTGCTGACCTGGCCTCCGAAGCTGAACAAGCTAAAGCCAAAATCGGCCGTTTGAACATTGAACTGAAGGAAAAAGAACCAAGAGTAAGAAACTCGAAAAGGAAGGTGGAGGAGCGGTCGTCGAGCTAGAGAATGCCAAAGCCCAGAAGGCCAAACTCGAAATGGCAATGGAAAAGATGGGTTGGGATGAGAATATTGAAGTTCAGTTACGTACACGGCGTTCGACCGAGCTAGATCACGTTCGCCAGCTTTCAGAGCAGGTGCGGCAGATCAGGGGAAGACTTTCTCAGCTAGACTTTACATATTCCGATCCGGTCAAAAACTTTGACCGCCGCAAGGTCAAGGGGTTGGTAGCACAATTGATTACCGTCGACCCATCGAGTTTCACTCATTCAACTGCTCTCGAAGTTTGTGCTGGTGGTCGCCTTTACAACGTCGTTGTTGAAGACAACGTGACTGCATCTCAGATTCTTGATGGAGGTCGCCTGGCTCGCAAAGTAACGATGATACCTTTAAACCAGATCCGAGCCTTCGTCGCATCTGCAGCCCAACTGACGGCAGCATCTACTGCTTCGAATGGCTCTGCCCAGCTGGCGCTCAACCTGATTGGCTATGACGACGATGTCTCTAAAGCGATGGAATTCGTTTTTGGCAATACGCTCATCTGCCCTGATGCTGATACAGCCAAAACAGTCACCTTTAATCGAAACGTCAAGATGAAGAGCGTCACACTCGATGGTGATATTTACGATCCGTCAGGTACACTATCCGGTGGCTCGAAGCCTTCGACTTCCGGAATCCTAGTGAAAGTACAAGAGCTGAAAAAGGTTGAAGACGCACTGAAACACCATCAAGCCAATCTTGATGCCATTGAAACAGAATGGCACGCTGCGAAGACCAAGATGGCGACATTCAATCAGACAAAGAAAGACTTGGACTTGAAAACACACGAAATCACTCTTCTTGAGGAACGGGTCAAGGAAAGCAATGCCACACGAGTAAGTGAGTACGCCTCCTCTAAATGATGGTGGAGGTTGACCTCTTGATAAACAACTTTTCAGATCATATCGGAGGTGACAGAAATCAAAAGCACCTTGGCAGAGTTGAACAAAACTATTGTGACCTGTAAAGAGAAGCAGAAAGCCTCTGATGCTGAGTGCAAACGGCTCCAAAAGGAAATGGACGATTTCAAGAACAATCGAGATTCCAAGTTGAAGGAAATCAAGGTTCAAGCGCCACTGTTCATTCTTTTCTAGTATTCATACTAACTGCTAAAATTTCAACAGGCTGATATTACTCGAAAGAAAGCCAACGTTAGCAAAACTGCAAGTACTGTAAAAGCTATGCAGCGTGATGTGCAAGGAATTGACGCGGAACTGGGTAGCTCATCTTGTCATTAACATCACATCACTACCATTCAACTGATAGAGATATTGTAACTGATAGATCAGATGCAGATCGACATAAATGCCGCTAAGAAAGATGCAGAGGAAGCCAGTGTGGCGGTAGAGACTGTCAAACAGGAGTTAGAAGAACTCAAGATAAAACTCAAAAAGACTAAAGTATGTGGTTTTAGAACATCATTCATTTTCATTCTGAACCAACTTTGAATCCACTCATTGTGATCATCTGCAGGAAGAACACGTTCAGGCCGATGCTGAGTACAAACAAGAGACTCAGAGACTAGATGGGTTTAGAAAAGAATTGGCAGCGATGGAAAAGGCTAAAGAAGAGATATCGAAAGCGGTTGGACGAGTGGACTCAGATATTGCAGCCGTACAACACAAGTTGGATTTATTGGCACGGGAACGTAAAGGGGCGCAAGATGTAATTGACCGGATTGAACACACGCACGAGTGGGTTGAGGGTGCCAAAAAGTGAATACTGATAAGGATCTGATGATATCCGCATTTTCAGGATGCTTGTTCATCCTAATGTCTGGTATTGATGATGCGCTTTTTGACACAGATTGTTTGGAGAAGCTGGAGGCGAATTTGATTTTTCTGTTCACCGAATGAAAGAGAAAAAGGTACAACTTGAACGATTAGAAGCTGATCAACACAAACTTAAGAAAAAAGTTAATCCGAAGGTCTTACATATGATTGATAGGTGTGTTCATCAGGATCGGACTCTTCGATAGGAGAATACTTACGTGATCTGTGATGAAATTTTGATAGTGTTGAAAAGAGAGAGAAAGATCTTAAAACGATGCATACGACTGTTATAAAAGATAAGGGGAAAATTGAAGAAACAATAGCTCGTCTAGATGAATATAAACTTGAAGCTTTAACAAAAGCATGGCAAATCGTCAATGGGTCCGTGATAAACCCCTTTCTCCTCTTAGCCAAACCAATCCACTCATTTCTGCAAGGGTTTGATATTGTAGTGAATTTGGACAAATCTTTGACACACTCTTACCGGGTAATTGGTGTGAGCTTCAACCGACAGAAGGAAAGACTATTTCACAAGGTTTAGAAGTACGAGTTAGGTTGGGCTCGACATGGAAGTCGAGCTTGACTGAGTTGAGTGGTGGTCAAAGGTCAGATTCCTCAAAGTTGAAATCAGAGACACACAAAACCATATTTACACTTCCAATCATGTAGATCTTTGATAGCGCTTTCTCTCATTATGAGCCTTTTGAAGACACATCCTTCGCCGATCTATGTACTCGACGGTGAGCACGGACATCCGCATACACCAACCCCTGTAAACAAAAGAGCTGATAATCCACTTTGTTGAATACGCAGAGGTCGACGCTGCTTTGGATCTACAGCATACTCAGAACCTTGGTCTCCTATTCAAACATCGGTAAGCCAGGCTTTCCCCAAAAGACTAAAAATACGTAGACGTCTTTTGATATTTCTTGTTTGGTTCGATTCGTAGTTTCAAAGGCAGTCAATTTATTGTTGTCTCTTTGAAAGAAGGCCTATTCACAAATGCGAATGTACTCTTCCGCACACGGTTCAGGTTAGTCAAATATTGAAGACCTTATCTTTTGTTTTCATCTGGCATGAAGGCTAATTATTACATTGGGTATATAATTTGATGTAGGGATGGTACATCTGTTGTTGAGCGAACCGTTTCTCGATCTGCATCTGCATTGTATGCCAATGATAAAGAGAATGTGAATGGTTCGGGTGACAAGAGTCGCAGGAGATAGATAACATCTACTAAAGCATAAGTATTTGTATATGGTTTTTTTGGTTACTTGCTTGTTTCTATAATCTCACTACATATTTCAAAATTGAAGCATATTGAAGTGCTCTCTGGGATTTTCTTTTCTTAATTGTAGTTTCAAAATTGGTTGAGTGATTGTGATTAAGGAACGTTTTTAATCGGTAAATACATTGTAATTCTAACTTGATATATTGTTTCGATTATCAGCAATTCTACTGATAAGATGTTTTGTAGGACAGCTGTGCATACCACTTTTCAACATTTATTCTTATATACCCTGTCTTCTACGTTGTTTTGTAATATGGATTTTTTTATACTGAGTGCTTGTTGAGTATTAGTACGCCATCTGATCTATCAGGCGCTAGTAATCAGCTTGAAGGTGGAAATGTCAAATTGACCCTATCAACCATGCAGAACATGAATGTTGACAATGATAGGATGAACGTTAAAGGGGAAGTTTGGTCTAGATAGATTTTTCTGGCTTCTTCTGATAGTGTCTTGTCCTCAAGTCTGGGCCCGTGCAATCTTCCTCTACATCTCATCTTTGAAAAGCTCATTGGAAGTAATTTTGAAGGATTTCTGTGACACCCAGATTCTCAGCAAGTGTTTGTAGAGCTTCTTAAACTTGAATGTGCATGTATAGAAAGGTCCTCCCAACAACTCAACTATGTAGCATTTTCCTTCTAATAAAAGGACCAAATCCTTGTCCTTCTATATCAGACTGAGATACATCGTCATTCTTTTGAAATATCAATGCTACGAGTGTATACAAAAAGATAAATTTATCGCAATCGAGTATTGTTCCTAGCAATGTTGAAAGCGGGGTGTGCCCTATGCTCACAACAACTCTAACGCCAATAATCCCTTGCCACAACTGTTGTCTTTCAACAATCTCATTTCGATATATAATCAAGCAATAAGAACCAGTACAACAGAACGTTGTCTTTGATATAGACTTATCAGAGAATCCATCTCTGTTCTCTGTTCTGTTCTTTGTTCTCTTCTCCCATCTTTCCATTTCAAGAAAAAAAACCTTTGGTAAAATTCCCACACCATTTCCTCATCACAACATAATACAATTCACAACGTCTTCTTTTAAGCAAAAAAAATAAACACGATTTAAAACTTTTTCTATTCTTTCTTTTGTTCAGTTGGTTCTTTTTATTTATGCATAGATAAATGAAAATCTTGATAAGATATGAGGAATAGCAGCTAATTGAGGACCATACCTATAATAAGAATAAATAAACAAAAAAGAAGATCAATTACATATGAATTGAAACCCAAGTTTAAATGATTAAGAAGAGGATACTTACCGCTGAGGGTTATCATACAACTCAAAGAGTGGAATAGCCAATAATTTCATATTCTTTGGAACCGATAAAACCTCTATACAATCACGAGTAAATCTCAGTCAGATGATCGCGTTCGTACTGATTTTGAAGGATCGACTTACTCTTCTCTGGTAATTGAACCAGGTATAGCATTTTACATTCTTTGGGTTTGGTAATATGAGCCGGAACATAAGGATACTGAATAAAGAATCAATAAGGGAAAGGGAAGTAAATAAGTGAATCAGAACGCGTTCAGTGATTAAAACTTAAATTCACGCACCATAAAGCTCTCGTCTATTTCAAAAAAGATCGATCGAACATGGATGAATAAAACAAGTTAATCAATCAACACGAGAAAGAGAAAGAAAAACAACACTCACAATTTGGTCTCCACCATTGTGAAAGACAATCACCAATTTCCCAATCTTTTTGACCTTGAGCACTAGTAAGTCCAGCCCCAAACTGACCAGGAGGAGGAGCCAATCTTTCATCTAATCTTTCTTTTAAACCTTCAATATCATCTTCACCTGGTCTTAAATAATCACCCGGTCTATTCCAATCCCCCAAAAAGCTCTATCACTTCAGGATATACCAGCGAAGAATGACTAGAAATCGAAAAAGAAACTCACAATTTGAAAAAAGCATTAGCGATTTGAAGCATAAGCACATGAGGATGACCATGCTCGTGTACTACTAGGATTCCTTCTACTGTACGTCTCATCCCGAAATCTTCATAATTGTTTTGTAATCTTTGTAATCTAGAAGTCACAGATGGATCTTCTTCTGGTTGTGCTTCTTTTGTTGAAAAGGTATAATTCGAAAGTGGGTATCTGAGATGAAATTGTTTAGATCAAGTTAAAATAAAAGGAAGTCATTAGTATCACTTTATGATCTGATGGTTTAGGGTCTTGAGGTTGGGTTTTTGAAAGTGAGGAAATTCACATGAGGTTTGTGAGTTTCGAAGACTGACAAGGTGACAGTTGAGGTCATCGTTTTTGAAGTTTCTTGAAAAGCTTTTCCTTTGAGATAAGTCGAGGTTTGTAGTTTGAAGTTGATGGATGTTAGTCGAATGGTTCAACAGATGAGATGGTGAAGTGATCGTGATGATGATGAGAAGGATGGACAAATGCTAATAGATAGATCATGGGATTATGAGGGGATATGCTTAGTTCGAGATGAATTGATAGGCCTATAAGAGTATGCTTATAACCTACTAGTTATGAACTGTCAACAATTGATCAGATGAGAAGAAATTTAAATACTCTATCCGATTCCCGGCGACATGAACTCAATTTCTACTTCTCATTCTCATTCTCACCACAACCACCACCACCACAACAACAACCACCTTCAAATCAAACCAAAAGAACAGAAACTTACCAGTCAAACCATCTAATCACTAACATCCTCAAATAATACCATGAAGAAAAAAGGAAGCTCTTCTCGTTTCCCAGTGGTTGAGTGATTTGATTTATATCATACCACTCCAATCGATGAATACTAATTCAAAGAAACCTTTAAAAAATCCAATAGGCACGAATCAAAAAGATTATGCAAGCAGATGAAGATGTAGGAAAAGTAGCCCAAGCCACTCCATTATTAGTTTGTAAATCCATCTCTCTCGCTTCATCTATCTTTCTTTTCAACAAATCATTAATCATTTTTTTGGTTCTCTTGTTCTTAAATAGCAAAAGCAGTAGAAATGTTTATGGAATCACTTGTTAGAGCTTCGGTTTATCAAGCACAAAATCGAGGTTCAAGAAAAGTTCAAGCTTATCATCTGTTTGTTGATCTCTCTCGTTCTCTTCGCGTCCTTTTTTTGTGGAAAAGTCTGAAGGAGATACCAAGATAGATATCGGCTTTCTTTCCTGTGATATCCGAGAGGGTTTTGTTCAAAAATCAAAGTGACTGACCTCGAATGACTTTCTTTCCGCTTTGAATCTTTCAAACCTCACGTTCGTCCTACTATCCAACCTCAACGCGCCAATTTTAAAAGTAAACAAGCAGTAATGGTCACAGAGGCCTTTGATTTCCTCAAAGACATTGTCGAAAAAATTCCAGATCCGACCACAACAGCTGAAGAAGACATAAAACCACTCAAACCAAAACCGACGACTTCACGTGCCAAGAGGACAAAAAAACCAAAAAAAGACGAAGAAGAGAAAGAAGAAGAGGAAGATGCAGAAGAAGATGAAGATGAAGAAATGGATGTGGGTGGTAGTAATGCGGTTCCTAATCATGAATGTAGTGGTCCAATTGAGGAAGAAGAAGAAGAAGATGACGAAGAATATTATTAAACTTTCTTTCGAGAGGGTTCAATGATGATCTTTTTGGGGGTGTTGAGGTTCATCATTTACATTTTTTTAGTAATTATTTAACCTGTTGATTTGTGGATGATTAGGTAAGCTTGATGCTTTCACAATCCCACCCAACCTTTCATTTTTATTCATGGTGGACATTTACTAAGCTCTTGTGATTGATCCAAAATTGATTATAGATGCAATTATTTCGGAATCCGGAATGTGTGTATGTATGTAGACCTAGTAGATTATCTTTACCCATGGACTTGTATTGAAGGAATAAGATGAAACTACACATTCATGGTGAGACACCAACACAGTATCAAGATGGAATGTGGGTAGATGACATTTAAAATCTGAGATTGATTTGTTTATCTTAACCTGATTATCCATGTTGTACACTTTGAAGGTGTTACTTAAATCAGCTGTTCTGCAAACTTGACCAAGTCTTGGTGCGCTTAGGTGAAAACATAACAATTGATGTCTGAGGCATGAGTGACTTGCCCCTGACCCTCAACTTTTGGGGTGGTAGGTTGAGAAACTTGGAGGCAATAGATGAAGAACATCCGCTAGATCTTAGCTATGCGTTCAATCTCAAAATCTTTTAATTTCTCGAAATGTGGTTCAGCAAACTTACGAAGACACAGTATAAAAATACTGGAAAGGAAAAAACGCTGCAAGGTTTTTGGGCGAAATCCCAAGGCTAAGTGCCTAGGGTGATAAAATTGCTTGATAATAAATGAAATCTCCCTACGGGGTGGCTAGCGGACAAAATGAAACATAACCAACAAACTGAAAACGCAACTGCTAACACAACCAAATTCTCCTTCGTCCCCTCTCCTAAAAATAGAAAAAATCTTTTTAAAACTGGAAAAAAGAGAGAAAAAAGATTAAACACTAATAATCAAACAAAAAATATCAATACTAAAAATAAATGACCAATAATAAGATAACCACAATAACACTAATAAAATAATATGTCAATAAAACGAAACTAGACTTCAAATTTTCCAATAACAAAAACAACCTGGCATGAAAAGGAAACCAAAAATAAAAATAAAAAATAAAAAGACTACCAATGGGAATAAAAAAGGGTGGGTGGGTGCAACTTGAAAGTAAAGCACTATAACTGAAGAGTGATAATGAACTCGATGGAAAGAAATTCGGTGAAATGGATTGAGTGGTAAACAGCGTAATGACATCATTGCTGTAAAACGAAATGATAAAGGAAAACCGACCCGTCAGCAAATGTACCGGTGCATTTCTTACAAGTCCGAATTTCCCACATTCCCATCTGTTAATTACGAGTCACCAACAACTAATATTAACTTGTCCTCCACTGTTGCCTTATAGGTACATTATGTTACTTTGTTATCTTATATTGGTGTTTATTTCCTAATTGTTCTTTCTTATATTTTTTATTATGTCTTTAGGTTAGCTCTAAGGTCTGCATACCTAAGAGTCTGTGGAGTAGATTGCTAATGCTCAGCACTGTTTTAATAGGTTCATTTATCCGACATTCTTCTTTCTATCATTGACAAAAACATTCTTGTAGATGAATTGTGATGAATCATCATCAACCACAATTATATACAAATTTCAATTTTGTCCATCCACCCTAGTAGATCTGTTTCTTTCTTGGTCTTGTTGGGCTCCTGGGTCTTCCCTCAGGATACCTTGAATTTTTTCTTGTCTTCCATAGTATCTAGTTCATCTGCTTCATCATCTATCCTTGGCCTTTTGGCTGGCAAGGGTAAAGATCCAGATTTACTGGTATTGGGTTCCTGTGCTAGTCTAGATCCTTCTTTAATCATGTGATCTTCAATCACCGGAAGAACAGCAGGGCTGTTTTGGTGAATGCTTTGATCTTCCCACCAGAAAACGTGTTGACTAGTAGTTATTTCTGGTCCTATAGCTGTCCGACATACTGGACAGTTTGCATGTAATTTTGATTGATCTGTAGATGAGACTTTACCTGAAAATTCATTGGTCCATTTCTTTAGGATAGAAACAGAGAAAACAAAAGCAAAAAGTATTTAGCTTGGAAAATGATGAGAACTTCTTATACTGTGGTCACCTACCATTAAACATTTATGATGAAAGATGTGCTTAGGGTTACAATCTAATCTTAAGCAATGTTCACCAAGAACAAATTCATTTAAGCAAATTGAACATTCTAATCCTTCTTTGTTGTGGTTCTCTGTTTTGGAATTTTTCAATGGGATATATTGATGTATTCCATCTGTATAAAATAGGAAAACCAAAGATCTATATCAACAATGATCTTCCAACTTTAGCCAAGAATTGTAAAATTCAAATATTCTGGGAGTTTTGGAAACTCCCCTAGAGTTTATGGATTGGGAAAATAACAAAAGTGATTTAAAGATCAACTTACCTTTGATTTTCAGTCTTGATGCCAGGTATTGACGGGTATCTTGGATATAAGGACTGGCTTTCAGTAAAAGGTTGATAACAAATCTTCTAGCATAGAGAGATCTATGATAATATGAGATATTTAACCAATAGTCTTTCAATTGTGAAGGGTGGGTTTCCTTGTCTTGCGCTTCAAAACAATCAATGATGTACTTGTAGTGTCCCAAAGTGACTGGTAGTAAATCTTTGAAAGTTAATAAAAGGTTTGAGATAAATGGATCAGGATTTCCACTTGATAAATATCGTTCGATATCATTCTTGACCACTTCTTTATACTTCATTTGTTTACTCATTGACTTTCGGATTGTTTGAAGTTGAGGACTTCCTAAATTGGATTTCCAAGCCTCTCTGAGCTCCTCGCAAGATGAATAAAGATGATATAAAACTCTATAAGTCCATTTCACTTCTTCTGTAGAATCAGGACTCTTCATCATATGTCCCAAACATTCATTGGCTAATGACATCGATTTTTTCAATTCAATTGGACAATCAACTTGAAGCAGACTATCATTAATCATTTTGAATTTTCCGCTTGTCTCGACCTGGTGAGTTCTCTGAGACCATTTATTGATCCTCCTTAACAATTCAACTCGTTGTAAACCTTCGAGCAGAGCTGAAAGGTGAAAGTTTTTGTTCTGGTCATTTTTTTTGGAAATGTTATGTCTTGAAAAATTCAACTCACATGGATGGATAGCTTTGTCGACGTCGGAGATCCTCAAAGCCCTTTCTAATTGGGAGAACAAATCAAAACCTGATGGTTGTGCCAAAATATAACACGTACAAAGATCAGAGTCACGTCTTCTTCTACATCACCAAAGGTAATATGCAAAGTAAAAACCGTACTTTGGGTTAAGGAGAGCTCCAGTCCTGCACGACATAAAGGACCTTCCTGTATATGGTTACTCAAAAGAGGTTGTCTCGTTTCTAAAGAATAATCTCGAAGAACTTTAAGAGCACCTAAGACCCAAATCCTCTGGATGATATTCAACTCTTCTTTTTCCAATGACTCAGCAGCGTGATAGATGAACTTATTTTCACTATTTATAGGAGTCGTATTACTAGATATAATGACTTCAAGTAAAGCTCTTACATCACTGAAACTGAAAGTATCAGAGATATCATCTATTTGCCAAGAGATTTCACCCCAACGTTGAAGTATTGATAATTTCTTTCGTTTACGATCTTTCGGTCTCATTACTTTGGATGTACATTCCTCTTTCAATTTGACTTTGGATTCGATCATTGAGTTTATAGGTTCAAATGTTGGTAAGGTTTGAAGTTTTTTTGATAAGTGTTCTACTGTGAAATATGACTTTGATCTCATGAATCCTTGTCCAACACTTCGGCTTATTATGACGGCCATTAACCAGAGGCAAACAAATGTCTCCATAGTAAAAGAATATTAAAAATTCCTTATGAATTAAATGATCACGGATCAAAGGTGAAATTAGAACTGAGGAAGTTCCGCTTTTCCCCTTCATTGCCTGGCATGAATAGGTGTACATCACCAAAAGTTCTCTTGACGTACAGAGGATGAATCGGCTCGCGAAATATAGTAACTCTCATACATAACTGCTCTGGAGTAGTCCTCATTTATGTCATCATATGTCTTGCCGTCGTTTAAACATGTCCCAAGTGGCTTGAAACAGGCAGACCTTGCACAGATTGTGTGGTATAGTGTACTTCCATTGCAACACCTAGAAATATTGATGACACGATAGGCAGCACACCACGTTTCAGTGAACTTCACCAAGTCCCTCACCGTCGCCTCACAAGGACTGACGGTGAAGGACTTGCTCAGTTTGACATGTTGGAAATGGATGAAAGATAAACGTTTTCTCCTCATGAAACCGCAGCATGGACTTGGATTTTGGCATATCCCATGGGCGTCGGTAACAACCGACGCCCAAGATATAAAAAAGAACATCAATAGATGTGCTTGCAACCAGGTTCAGAGTTCAGTGGCAGACATTGTATCCAATCAGATTCTCTTTCCACAAATCTCTAGCCTTGGAGGCATATTTCTTTGCCAACATTGGTCATCTTTCGGGAGGTGGTGCCGTTACTGACACTTTATCTCATCAGATCATGACCCAGTCTTCTGAGACATTGCACGAACTACGTTTCCGTAAGATCGTTTGTGACTCACTGCATGAGAGGTTCAGAGAAAAGAATCAAATACATATGCAAGCACTTCAATGAAAAAATCTCATAAACAGCGGTGATAGGTGCTTTTGCGAGTCTTGCTGATGTGATCTACTCACAATCTTTGGGGCGAGAATGAGCAGGAAGTAACTTGATGAATCCATTTCCTTGGGAGATGCGAGCTGCTTATATATGCGAGCGTCTACAAGTGAGGTACGAATAAGGAAATAGAGAGATACAATATGAGGCAAGGGATTGCCTAGGGATGAAGTACAACGATCGGTAAGAATGGCCGGATCCGGTATAGCTGGATCCGAGCTACAATTGGTAACAATAGTGATCGGGACGGATCTATGCGAGATCCGTCTTCTTGGAAAAGCAATATAGAAAAGAAAACAAAAGAAAGAAAAGAAAATAGAAAAGAGAAAGCACTGAAAAGCGCGTCTAGAGAGAACCAAAGGAATTAGGCGGACAAAGAGAGAAATCGGGAATCACATCATCCCCTCTGTAAGACTGTAAACTTCCTAGTTTACTTGTTTGCCTTTTCCTTTCAGTTGGTAGCGTCTGCCTTTTTCTTGTAAAATAAGGTATTTCAAAGATTGTAATTTGGTGAATAATTTGTCAAGAGTTTCTGGTGCAATATCTTCGTTGATGATGTTGAAAAGGCTACTGGATAGATCAAGGTGTTTGACGAGATCGTCTTCTAGCTCGCTGGTCTCGATCGTGTAATCGTTGAGATGCGAAGTAGAACTCATCCGTTGTGCCTTTAAATTTTTTAAGTCGAGAGCCATTAACTTTAGCATTGAGTACATGACCGTTTGAGGTCATTAGTTCAAACGTACCATTTGGGAATGCATCTTTGATAATAAAGGGTCCATCCCACTTGGGATGCAATTTTGATGGTCTACCTTCAAAACATCGGAGGACTCGGTCTCCTGGTCTGAGGTTTCGTTCTGTGTAAGATTGTTCTGTTTGAGCGTATCGTTCTCCAGCTCTATCATTGAGAAGCTTAATGAGGTCTTCTCGTGTATTTCTGAGTTTATGAACTTTGATATTCCGTTGCCTGTGGATTAGTTCGAGATTTTCTAAGGAACTATCAAATGTGAGACTTACAGCTTCGGATTGTAGCCGGGCTTCTTCTCCATAAGCCATGAAGTAAGGGGAGGCTTTCATTGAATGGGAGTAAGAAGCGCGGTAAGCGAAGAGACAAGAATTTAAGTAGTCATCCCATCGATCTTGATTATAGGGACTACAACACTTACGAACGCTGTTCATGAGGGTGCCGTGGAATCTCTCAATCAAGCCGTTGGCTTGCGGGTGATAGGGTGATGTTCGTACATGTTTTATGTCGAGACTTTTGAGAAATTCTTGGAATGGTTTTGAAATGAATTCGGAACCGTTGTCCGTGACAATTTCATCCGGGACTCCATGGTTGAGTACCATTTCTTTGATGAGCTTGATTGCTGCGTCCCCTGAAGTCGTCGTCAGTGGCTTTGCGTACGCCCAACCTGTTCCATAGTCGATAGCTGTGACAAGGTATTGGTTGTTGTTAGCAGTTTTCACAAGCGGTCCAACAAAATCCATGCCCCACTTACGGAAGGGTTTACCTCGGGGAATGACTTGTAAGGGTAAAGCTTGCTGTTGGTTGGGTGCCGAGTGAACTTGGCAGGCGGCGCACAAGCTGATGGCCTCTTTTACGATTCTCGAGATGGAGGGAAACCAATAACGCTTTCGTACGGCGTCGATGACGTCTTTCTCATTCCTGTGTCCAAGATCTTCATGGATCTGAAAACAGATGGCCTCGGCTTCTCTTAAGCTGGTAGGTACAGTTAGTTGGTCAGCGCTGAGGTCATCAAGATTAATTTTTACCAATCTCTTTCCATCAATCATAAAATCTCCGGTTCCAATAGTGTTCGGATCGACTCCAGCTTCAAGTTTTAATTTAAATTCGATCAATTGATGAAAGGGGTCTTCTTGATCATTGATGTTGAAGAGAGGGTCAGCTGTTTCGGGAGGATCGGCGTCGGAGGAAGTATTAGGTTTTCTTGATAAAGAATCGGCCGCCAATTGTTCTTTTCCTGGGCGGTAGATGATATGAGCGTCAAAGAATTCTATTTCATCTACGAAACGGGCTAATCTTCTGTTAACATGTTTTTGAGTTTTGAAATATTTCAAAGATTCGTGGTCGGTGCGGACTAGGACGGGCGAACCTTCTACGAAACCACGGAAGTGTTTCAAACCGTGAATAATCGCGAGGAGTTCGCGTTCTTGAGCACTGTAGTTTTGTTCAGTTTTTGATAGCTTGCGTGATTCGAAAGCAATAGGGCGGAGGTTACTGTTTTTAAGTTGTTTTTGGTAGTTGTTATAGTCGAAGTTGCCTACTTTAGGGACTTCGAAACTTGAATCTTGTTGCAACACGGCACCGATGTTCGTTCCAGAAGCATCGGTATCCAGCACGAATGGTTTGAATGGTGTTGGGTGTTGGAGAGGTACTGTTTCTGACAGTAACTTTTTGAGTTGGTTGAAGGCGTTTTCTTCTTCCTTCCCCCACTTAATCGCAGTTCCCGGCTTGGGAGATCCTTCAGTGAGCTTGTAAAGCGGGGATGCAATTGAAGAAAATTTGAGAATAAAACGTTTATAATAAGTACAGAGATTTAGGAATCCTCGTACTTGGGAGATGTTGGAAGGGGACGGCCACTCAACTATCTTAGCGATTTTTTCGGGGTTTGTCCTGATGCCGTTGCCGTCCACAATGTGTCCGAGAAAGAGTAAGGATGGTTTACCCCACTGACATTTTCTAACTGATACAACCAAACCTTCTTTTTGGAGGATCTCAAAGACAGTCTTGATGTGTTCAATATGATCTTGTTCATTTTTCGAGTAAATAATGATGTCATCTAAATAAACCAAGGCAAATTTGTCAATTACGTCTTTCAATACATCATTCATCATTTCTTGGAAGGTGGCTGGCGCATTACATAAACCGAATGGCATTACTTTCCACTGAAAGTGTCCTTGTCGACAGGTGAATCCTGTTTTTTCTTTATCTTCTGGGGCCATGGGAATCTGCCAAAATCCGGATTTCAGGTCGATTGTGGAAAAGACGTTTGAGCCAGACAAAAATTGATAAGCATCGTCGATACGAGGAAGTGGATAGGCATTCTTTCTTGTTACCTTGTTGAGTGCCCGGTAGTCAACACAGACTCTTGTCGAGCCATCGGCTTTCTTAACAAGCAATAAGGGTGAGCTCCAGGGAGAATCGGTGCGTTCGATGATGCCTTGTTCCAATCCTTCTTTAACAAATTGATTGATAATTTCGTGTTCTGCTGGAGTGTGTGGGCGACCGTGAGTCTTAATAGGTTTACTATCTCCAGTATCAATGTAATGCTTCTGCTTACGATCTTTGATAACCAATTCGTCCGAGAAACAGTCGGGAGCGATGACTTTTGCTTCTCGTTCTAAACCTTGGCCAAAATTGTTATTGTCAATTGTAAATAATTTTGGTTCGCCTTCTTTAGGTTGGATGTCAAAGATACCTGAGAATTTCTTGACAGTATAAGTTCCAGTATCGAAATCAATCAAAGGCTTGTGTTCTCGGTGCCAGGGTAATCCTAAAATAAGGGCGATATTAGGAAGAGGAAGTATATAAGCTGAAACGGAGAATTCGAAGGTTTCAAGGGTATCCCTATGATACATTTCGGCTTGAAAAGTGGCAACTTTGGAGACAGTTTCTTGGTTGCCGTTAGCCAGGCGTACTCCTTGAGCTATAACATCTTCGATTTTGATTTTCCTTGGATTCAATTCTAACATAGTTTCGACTTGATCTGAGGAGATGTAATTACCGGCAGCTCCAGTATCCATAATTGCGTCTAAAGGCATGTTACGCCAGTGGCACGGGTAGATTGGCAGTGATGTTTTGCCAGGCCCTTGGTGCGCGGCGAGTTCCACCATACTCAAGTCAATAGGAGTTGGTGGGTTGTCGATAGCTCGGGCTTTGAGTTCTTCATAGTTCGTCATATCAGACGTGATCTCAAATTCGATTTCGGAGGGGTGTTCAATGGCCTTGACACTTGAATCTTCATCATCCGGGGTACAGACTGAGTCGAAATCGTCGTCTGCGGCTCGGCTCGTGTAGGTGGAGCTTAAGATTCTGTTCCAGCCTTCCACACATTCGAGTTCCTTTTCACCTAGGGCCAGTCGGTCAATTTCAGCAATAGGGGAATTGAAGGGTACCCGAGTATGTTGATAACCATCAATTAGGGAGCGATCTAGTTTGAATTTCTTCTTACTTGGATCCTTGTTGATGAGTTCTTTGATATTGGCATAGTAGATATCGTGTTTTCCATCTGGGTCGTGTGCAGGGAGGCGCTCTGATTCGGTTTCTTCATTGGTGGATAGGGATCTCTTGAGATCGGCTTGGTCGATGCGAAGTCCATCTAAAGAAAAGTAATCGATTCCTTTAGAAACAGTAGGGGGGCTATCTTCGTTACCATAGGCTCGACAGGACTTACAGCATCGGAATCCACTCTTGAGTTCATCCTCCATTAATTTACCAACTGCTTCACGAGCTTCTTGCATTTCCAACAAGGCCTTGGAATCTAACCTTTCTAACTTCTCTAAATAAGTCTTCTGGTAGTCAGCTAGTGATTCACGACCGTCTTCAGTAGGTCCGTCAAGGCTTTCTGAAGATTCTCTTGAGGCGCCTAGCATACGTCCTTCAGAATCAAAGAAAGGCGTGGTGAATTCAGCTTGTTCTTGTAATTCAAAATCTTGAAAGGGCGGAATGAACGAATCAAGAGAGTGGGAAGTGGATGGAATAGGAAAAGTAGGATCATGATCGATCAGTAATAAGTTTGGCTTGCGTCTATCTCCTGAGAAGTTGTGTCGTTGTTTTTGCGAGTTAGGCGACTTGTTTTTATTGCGAGGGCAGGCGTTCGCGCGATGTCCCTTGCCGTGACAGGAGTAACACTCGACATTGGCGAGATCGGCCAAGTCTAGGTCCATCGGACCAGAGCTGTTTGTGACAGCATGAGGTTTGCCAAAGCTAGACGAAGGTCGGTAATGGTGACTGTGGCGATGAGAAGGGTTAAATTGAGGTTTCTTCTCGTGATTCTTTGAAGTCGAGGGAGCCTTATCATCCCAATTCTTGTAGCTGCGATGGTTGATCTTCGCACTTCGCTCTGCTTCTCTTGCAGCAGCGTACACAAGCTCCATGTCTTGCTTCTTGCGTAGTTCTTCTTTGTTGTTAATTTTGTCTCGGTAATATTCAGGGAGCTTGTCGAGGAAAAAGAACTTGCGCTGTTTGAAGTTCATTTCATCCTCAGGCATATGAGCCATGATCTTACGGAACCGTAAAATATAATCGTGGATGTTGTTGTTCTTGAAATAACAGACCTTCAATTTTTCTAAGTTTTCTTCAATCATGAGGTCGAAGTTGTAATGTTCAAGGAATTGAGTTCTAAAGTCTTGATAATCGGTGATTGATCCACCTTGCTTGGTTCTGATACCGTGCCAAAACATGTGGGTTTCTTCATCTAAGTATGAACCCAACATTTCACCCCAGGCCGACTCTGGGTATCTATGCATCTTAAAATTGGATTCCAATTCCGAGATCCATAAATTCGCGTTATCGCCAGGGCCGGTGAACTTTCTAGGTTCGGCTCGAAAGGGATCAGGTTTGTTCGGGTCGCTAGCACGGTTGGTATGTTGGTGTTGATTGGCTTCTAGTTGGTGGATCTGATTAGATTGCTGTTGGTAAATCAAGTGATGTTGATTGCGAAGTTCAGCAATTTCGCGAGCATGATTTTGAGCGTTGTTTTGAGTGTCGATGTTGACTTGCTCAAGTTGAGCTCGGATAAGACGCAGGTCTTCAGCTGGGATCGAGACAAATCCCAAGTTTTCTTCCATGGTTGAATGAGATTCTGTTCGTAAAGAATCGGAAGGGATTATTAAAAATTATTCTTTAAATAAGACTTGATCAGAGTCTAAGGGTACGTACGTTAATTCTTCAAAAAGAATGTTCAATGATTCAAAAATCGAGATATAAAGGGTTGGTAAAAAGCTTTTGGTTTAACGGTGTTAATAGTAGGTTTTCTGTGTGTAAGGGATAGGAAAGATTTCTTTTAATGAGTTCTAACTAATCAAGGAAAGTGTCGAGAGGAAATAAAATAACTAGCTAGGGAATTTTAAGGCTTACAACGAGTTGTTAATCTGGGTGTGAGGGTTTGTTGCTTCTGGGTAAGGTTTCCGGTGAGGATATCTGTGAACGGAGAACGAAGGAACACAGAGTTTGGAGAAAAACAGAACACAGATTAATAACTAAGCTTTCTTTGATATCAGGTATGGCGATGATTTAAAGTTAGAGAGAAAAAGAAATAAAGAACACACAAATATATATTTGTGATCTACTCACAATCTTTGGGGCGAGAATGAGCAGGAAGTAACTTGATGAATCCATTTCCTTGGGAGATGCGAGCTGCTTATATATGCGAGCGTCTACAAGTGAGGTACGAATAAGGAAATAGAGAGATACAATATGAGGCAAGGGATTGCCTAGGGATGAAGTACAACGATCGGTAAGAATGGCCGGATCCGGTATAGCTGGATCCGAGCTACAATTGGTAACAATAGTGATCGGGACGGATCTATGCGAGATCCGTCTTCTTGGAAAAGCAATATAGAAAAGAAAACAAAAGAAAGAAAAGAAAATAGAAAAGAGAAAGCACTGAAAAGCGCGTCTAGAGAGAACCAAAGGAATTAGGCGGACAAAGAGAGAAATCGGGAATCACACTGAGCTGTTGTCATGTATGTGATCAGAAGCGACTCGCATTGCTAAAAAAACCTCTGACTACTGTGGTTCGAATGGACCTAAAGAGATACATATGCTAATCGTTTAACGTCAACTTAAATCAGCTTGGGTACAGATAGAACTAAATAGATTGATAAGGAGAAGAGACACAAGTTGTAGTCAGTTGTAGTCACTAGGGACGATAAGAATTACACAACAAAAGTAGTGCCACAAAAGATAAATCTCATCAGGAAGTTTTGTCAGGCTTCGAGAAATCGATCTTCACATCTGCGCAAGCCATGTCAGCGTCGTCTTGAGTATAAGCTCGAGCTTGGACGATGAATTTAGCAGGCGGGATTTCGCGGGGTAATTCGGCGGTGTAAATCATAGTGTGTTGACCAGGCTCGATAGGACATTGGAGGGTGGCGTTGGCATTCCGGCTACTCATTCAGAGACATCAGATGGAGTTAGATGAGTATGACGGTCTATAAACACGAAGTAATCGTTCACTATTGACTTACAGCTCTTCACAGACGTCAAATTGCTTGTGTAAGAGTTTGATCAGTCCGAGTTTCACCACCACGTCTGCATAAGCTCCCTCCTGGCAGAAGCATAGGCATAAGCATCGATTCAACGAGTATATTGATTTTGCCGGGATCAATGATGGCGTTGAAGAAATGCAAAGGGATGAATGTTAATGACTCGACGTTAGAAGACTAAAGCGTCCGATTCGTATCAAAATGCTAACCTGGATTCTTTCGTTGGCTGTGCCACTTGCGGTGATGATGAGCTTTTTACCGGGCTTTGGTGGATCAGGTGATACTTCAAACTTATCGATGGTGATAGCATCGGTTTCAAGACCTAGTTATTCACAGCGGAGAAGATATCAGACATCGATGCCAGTAACTGAGAGAAACGCCAATGAAGAAATTCCAATCCAACCGCAATTGTTAAAACTCCATATAGTTTGCGTTTGTGGATCACTGGAGCTCAAACGTTCTGAGAGCCTGGTAAGCATGTCTGATTGCAGCAAGTCAGACGTCCATCTCGCTTGAGCTCCACAAACAAGCAGAAGAGAATAGAAAACCGTGATAGAGAACATCTTGCTGTTGATGAAGTTTTAATGAGGAAATATAAATGATATAATTTGAAAGTTAGATTGTAATAGTATGATGAGACTGGATTGAATTGTTTGTGAGGATGGATGAGGATGAGAATGGCTATCTGAAGGAGTTTGATACTACCTTACATAGTCAATCTTCGATTTTTGACTTTCAATCTGATATGATTTGCGTGACTAGTGACTACTATAGAATCAGATAAAGCTGCAAAGCACCATGGTTTGGTAGTAGTAAGTACAAATCAATCTACTGATATTCCAGAAGTGAAGTGGCCCAGTCATGCTTTTGAGGTTGGATGTATGTTGAGACAATAAAACTCCTGCATTCGCACGAGCACTGAAATCAATCCTTCATCAGTCTACATGGTGAGTGGTGTGTACATAACCATGTATACAATGGATTACCTTCCTATTTATATAGGCGGTGTTGGAGGCAAATTTCTTTGCAAACCTTTGTCCTCTTTTTTGGGGGGTGATGTCGTCACTGGGACTTATTCAAGTTAAGGACAATGTCTCCACATGAACCCTACACATATAATGGACTTGAAAATTTTGCATCTAGTGCACAAATCAGCAAAGGTTTCTGAGCATTGAATAGAGTCAAGACAGTGACAGTTATGTGGCTCAGCGTGGTGATAGGTTCAACACAAGAAAAGAATACATCTCATATACCACTGCTATAAGTCTGATTACAGTGTCCATTGAAGAATTACAAGAGTCGAAAAATGACGAAAAGTCAAGATGGGATCTAGGATATCCTCAGCTTGCCTTCCGATAAGTTATTGATTCATTTTGAGACCTGATGATCGGATTCATCAACCTTATGGCATTGTTCTTGAGTGCCTACTCTGGCCAGGCTGTCGCGTAGCTGAGCAGCTAGCTCGATTCTAATCTTCACTCGGTCGGCTTCTTTGGCATCCCGAAACCGCTCTCGCAAGTCAATAAAAGGTGAGATTGGAGGTCCAATAAAGATTTTCAAAGATTGGAATGGCCGTGGCAAGAGAGTAAATGGCCATGATCGATTTTCGGGCATAACGTTTTCAAAACCTGATTTTATCAAAGTACACTGTGTAAGTGAAGAAATTCAATCATAGGATTTGATAAACAAATTGAACATACCTTTTAAATAGATAGGTAAGATGATAGGTGGTTGAGCTGCTTCTAGTACCAAACGAGAAACTCCCCATTTAAAACGAAGTAATTTTGTTGGGTCAACTCCTTCCTGATTGACCCTACCTTCTGGGAAGATATGAACCTGAATGTTTGATCAGTCCAACAAAATAGCGATCATCAAGGTACATTGAATGTTTATACACCATGTCAATATCGCTTCATATATAAAAATATGACAAAGATAGATGCTAACCCATTGAGCTTTGTTGAGCTTATAGATAGCAGTATCGACAGCAGGTTGATGAATACCTTGACCTCTGAACGTCTCAATCACCTGACCAGATTGAAAAAGAGGAGCAATTAAGCTATCAAGCAGGAGTCAAAATACTATGTAAAAAGATGAAATAGCATTTAAGGCGACGATCACTTGAGATATCAAAAATGAATTATATGACTCAAGGACTTACCGATTTGTAAATAAAATATCAGATGCACCTAACGTCCATCTAACTGAGTTTGTGTTAAAGAATGTACGATAAGGCATAATACCCCAAGCCATTGGGTCATCTAATCTGTGTAAAACAAATTCACGAGATCAGTTGAAGATCGATAAATTGGCGTTCAATGATTGCCTCATAAGACTTTCAATAACTCAGAGCAGATATCAAGAGGCCTTGTGGGGAGACTCACGTTGAAATGTGATTGGAAACTTTTGTTCAGTTCAATTGATGTGTGTTTTTAGAAATCAAGCGACCGACCAACATAGCAAAAAGTACAAAGATACACAGTCAGATGAATCCTCTCATGCGCGCCTCACCGAGTATCATAGATACTTCGAACACAAGGAGATACCACAAGAGTAAGTCGCAACTCACTTGTTAGCAAACCAGTGCCGGTAGAATGTCGCCGAGCGTGATTCTCGATGACCTCGAGTAAGATTGGAAGACCAGAGACATCGACGGATTTCATGCCATAATTAAGGAAAGGCTTGAAGATAGCCATCACGCTGGCCATATAAACCGACATTGTTACTTTTTTGTGACTCGCATGGAAAGAAAGTGATGTTGAAGCAAAGTTGAGGTTTATGTTGGACTCGTGCCCTGGGCTTTAGAAACGGTGCTCGGGTCGGAGCGTAGAGCTCCGATATCCGACTATACGTCACAGCATGACAGCACAGTCATGCAAATGATATCTTGTCTTATCTTGTGTTTGGCCCTGAGTGCTGAGCTACCAAATGGTACATATATCACTCCGTGATTTGTACTAATTTGCATTTGTTGAGTATCCGAATTGTACAACGTTTCCGTCTGTAAAAAATGAGCACTAGCCATTCATCAACAGCAACAATGGATGGTTTTGGAACGTTCCTTGAGTTGTTGAACTTGTCATGTGTGATCAGAAGTGCCTTGCATTACTAAACAAAATGTGACTAGCTTGGTGAAAAGAATCAAGGGATATGATGTTTGGTTACCAAGGAGTTAGGTCAGCATGAGTACAGATAGAGAGATATTGAAGTTGAACTATACAGAACAATGAGAAAAGAAACATTGAAATTACAATGTAGCTACTGGAAACAATAAAGAAAAAAAACATTAAGAGAATCTCATCACAGTGTCTCATCAGGCTTCATGAAATCAATCACTACATTTGCACAAGCCATGTCATCATCATATTGAGTATAAGCTCGAGCCTCGACAGTGAACTTGGCGCGAGGGATTTCACGAGGTAATTCGACGGTATGAATGATGTGGTGCTGACCAGGTTCAAGAGGACATTGGAGTGTGGCGTTGGCATTTCGGCTGTGCAGACAAGGTCATTTAATGAAGTTAGATCAATATGACGGTCCATAAAAATTGATAATGATCCACTCTTGACTTACAGCTCCTCACAAATGTCAAATTGCTTGTGTAAGATTTTAATAAATGAACCAAGTTTGACTACCACATCTGCATAAGCTCCTTCCTGAAGGCCGCGTGGACATCGATGTAAGGATGTACGATTAAATTGAATTTGAAGGAATCGATAATGGTTTTGATCATAGGAAGAGACATGATGATTAGTGAGTTGATTACTTGAAACTAATGCTGTTGGAGCTACAACAAAATTCTAACCTCGATTCTTTCGTTGGCTGTGCCGCTTGCAGTGATAGTGAGCTTTTTACCGGGCTGTGGTGGATCGGGTGATACTTCAAAGCTATCAATGGTGATAGCATCGGTTTCAAGACCTAGTCATTCAAAACGTAAAATAATCAGACATCGATTCCAGTAAGAAAAGCGCCAATGGAGAAATTCAAATCGAACCGCAATTGTCAAAACTCCAAATGGTTTGCGTTCGTGGATCACTGGTAGTCAAACGGTCTGAGAGCTTTGAGAGCATATCTGATTGGAGTAAGTCGGGTGTCCATCTCGCTTGAGCTGCGCATACAAGCAGAACAGAATAAAGAATCTTGATGGATAGCATGTTGATGTTAATGAGGTTTTGATGGGAAGATGGGTGATATGAGTTGAAAAGCTGGATGGTGTTGTATCTTGAACTTGAATTGGTGGATGAATGAGTTCTTTGATAGGTGAGTTGGTTCAAACTTCAGAGTTGGAATTGGATTGATTATCTACACCACAGAGGTGTCCGGCCGTCTACAGACGGGCTGCCCAGGCCGGCGGCAGACCGCCTGCCTTTGCAGAGGGGCAGGCCGGCTGCCGATGGGCCTCACGGCTGGCGACTAGCAGGCGCCAGCCGAGCTCGCCTGCTGGCGGCCTTGCGTACGCCTGCTGGCCATCTGCAAACCGCCATGAGACGGTCAGCTGGCTCATGACCGCCCGCGGGCGAGCTCAGCAGGCGCCTGCAGGTGAGCTGCAATCCGCCCTCAAAAGGTCAGCTGGGTCATGGCCCGATACACCTTGACGGGGTATTTGGCACTCGGGCTCACTGCTTCCCCGTCTCGGCCTGAATTACGGGTAGGTGCTCAGCTGGTCAACTGGTCAGCTCACCAGCTCACCAGCTCAGCTAACCACAACGCACAGCCCTCGAAGAAACAATGTTTCATTGAAGAAACATTGGTGCATTTCTTTTCTCACAAAAGAAATGCAAGCCTCAGATGAAATAAAAAGCAAGACGGGTTGAACTACCCATTTTATTGGATGAAAATTGCAAAAAAATAAGAATTGATTTCTAATACAATAATTAGATTAGATCTTTTAATTTCCTGGTGGATTGAGGTTTGATCCACCTGGAGCTCCATTGGCAGGACCTTCAGGCATTTGCGCCATGATAGCCTCCTCGGAAGGCAAGTCCAATGTCACTTTGGGTTCGCGCGCTTTCAAGGTTTTGAACCAAAGTTCACCGTCGAACAATTTGGCATCCTCGTCAAATATGACTTTGTAGAAGCTGCGTTGGCAAGGTACTCAGTAAGTAATACACTGAGTAATTACTCATATCGATATGCTTTGACTTACGCGGAAGTATAGTCATCGTTCCGCTTCAAACGCAACTGGGAAAGTTTTGCATCTACTACGGCCCAAATCGATTCACATCCTCGGCCGCCCTTTAGAACCAGGCGCGCGGCTTCTCGACGCTGTGGCAGCAAACGAAGAATGAGATAGTGTAGTACCCAAAAAGGAATAAATAAAAAGACTCACCAGATAGGCAATTCGCCCACGGGTGGGCAAATCAGTGGCAGCCCACACATCTTCGATTTGCGCGTTCTCACGTGCCATACCACACCTAACCGCAACCTGATGTTGACCAATGGCTAATTATTAATGGTGTACATGGATTAGGTAGAAGAATGATCAATGAACTTACTCGTTGAACCATGTCTTTGATGGTGGGGATGGCAAGATCGACGTTCTCTTTGGTTTTGGGATTGCATATGCCTACCAAGAGCTGCGGTGGGGTTTAGTGCTACATAAGGTGTTATCATCTAATGCAGGTCAGGATCAGGGCTGGCCAGCGCAATCCAGACTGAAATGTGGCGGCAACTTGGCCGCGATCATGCAGGCGGCCCACGGCGCGTCCTACTTGACCGCCCCATGGTCCAGCTCGACCATCCCCTCACGCTGGCCGCGGGTAGACCGTCAGCGATGGCCCCGGGTCAGACCGTGTGATAAGTTGCCCCCGGGGCGAGGCCCAATTTGTCCCAATTTTTATTTTGGCCAAGTTACCGATTCGCCAAACTCACTTGAGCGATACCACCACCACAAATCCAATGCCACCACAACTCCCTCGATGTCAGTCACCACATTCCGAAACCATTGACAATTCAAACATTGAGAATTTGGGAGCGTAACCGTATCAGTCTTTTTCTGAGACTAACTCGCTCTGAGACTATCCTGAGACAAACAAAAAAGTAAACCAGATGGTGGCTTTTTGTACACTGTCTGTACAGGCTGGTGGCAACTGGTACATATGTATGAAGACTTGAACAAATTCATCATTAAGACTTCAAAGAAGCTGTTAACACTTCGATAACCTCATCAAGAATCAAGAACCTTTGTCGAGTCATCCATGTGCACCTTATATCTATACCTTCAGACTCACTCCAATCCCCCTGAAACATTGTCAAGGGGGTTCTATCGCTACAACCACTTACATATCAAAGTATTGATAATGAAGCAACTTACAAAACAACAAAATGTTATTGGAACAAGCTACTTTGAATGAAAGTAGCAAGCAAAACCAATACAAGAAAAACAATGCATTGTCATCGGAGCGAGATACTTTGATGTAAGAGGTTTCTATCTGTTGTGTTGTCTTGATTTCTTCAAAAACGACTCAGTCGCCATCTTTTCAAACTGTCTCTTTGTATGTATAATCTTCACGAAAAGGACTCGATATCACTTCTTTTCAACCAACCTAAAATGCTTCCAACTTCTGCTTTTCAAGACATCTCATTTTGCATTTTATCAACTCGATCGTCTTTTGTATGTATTATTTTTGACCAATGAAATTGACCAATGGATGTCTAGATGTTCTGTAGTTGGTGGAAGGCTTATAAAGAGAAGGAAGCGCCATGCGAAAAAAAACGCGCCACACAGACCGGGATTGAACTATACCTGTATGTCTCACTGCTTCTCTCAGGTAGTCTCAGAGAAAGACTGATACCGCATCTCTCCCGAGAATTTGACTTACACGTTACGTTTTCAGGTATGACCTCACACCCCCAACGCCATGGGCCGATCAGATACCAATGCAGCGTTTGCAAAACTGGACACAGCATGAGGACATTGTACCCTCATGCGTCATCCAAGGCCCATCTGGACGCCGTCAAGGAATTCGATAATCAGCGAGCAATGGATCACGCATATCGGCAGCGATTTGAAGAGCCACGACCACGATCTCCAACACCACCGTTGGACCACGTAAACCGGCATTTTGACCATCCCGGTGACAATCCCGAACCTCCTTCGCCCCCTCCGTCGCCTCTCACACTCCTCCGTCGTCTTGATCTCGAACAAGACGACCCCTTTGACCTTGGGTTTGGCGCCGGGGGTTCAGACTCGGACGGTTCCGATGACGGAATGTCATTCGACCGGCTGCGCGTAGCTTTGGATGGCCTTGCGAATGAACTTGACGACGAAGAGGCAGATGACCGCTTGGACAACGAACGTTTAGAAGAAGAGATTGCCGAAGTCCATGTCGAAGACGCAGCAGAGTGGTATCCATTCAAAAAAGTCGAGGTGAGATCAACTTACACTTTGGCCACACTAACTGATAGTTCACTAACGACCATGGCTTAGCATGTCGTGGCGTTATTGATGATTGGCTCAACCAGAAACCTTCTTTCACGCACCCAATACCAACATATCCGATCGATACTCCGAGTCCTCGACATCAACCTTCCTGAATGGGGAACGTTGCGAGCCCTAGTCAAGCAAATGAAGAAGAACTTAGGATTGAACATACAAGAACGAACAAGCCCTTGCGGCAATCCGCTTTTTGGTTTAGATATCAAGAACGTCATCGTAAACGTGAGTAGCATATACATATAATGACTTATTTATGCCGTATGATTGATTAAAAATGACCAATTGTTCACAGGAATTGGCTAACCCCTTGGTCAGCCCCCATGTGGTCTTTCTCCCAGAGCTCACGATCAATGGGCCTATAAATAGGCTGTCACAGTCTAAAAAGTGGCGTGAGGAGTTATCACCTCAGCTCCGAGTCCCGATGATCTCCCAAAACGCACGACACTATTACATATACGAGCCCGTGCAACTGCGAACACAGCAACTCGTGGTCCCGGTGTTCTTTTACCAACAAGACCAGTGCCAGATGGCCAGGTGTCTACCTGCTCTGGTGATCCCCGATCCACATCACCTAGGACATTTGAAGATCTTGATACCTGAGGAACCCCGTTTTGATTCGGATGACATGTTCATCATCAAGTGCGAAGACTTTTCAAGAAGCCTAGCCGAAATTCAGCTCGACAACGGCCTCTTTCTGAAAGACGTTTGCGGTGATCATATGTATCGTCAGTGATTCACTCCCGTGCTTAGAATTATCTGACCGTTCTTTACTAGCAACTGACACCAATCAAACCTCAGATCCACACGATCTGTCTCATCCATCATATCCTGTGCTGAACCCTTGGAGAGTCAAGGCCGGGGGGAAAATAATTAGACACGTACCTGTAACATTATACTCGGATGACACATCAGGGAACGTCTCAAAAAAATGGAATAAACACATGTGTTTATACTTCACCCTGGCGGGGTTACCTCCGGCTTTATCTAATCAAGAATACAACGTTCATTTTCTGGCGACTTCGAATTGCGCTAGCGCGCTGGAATTATTTGACCAGGTCGTGGATGATCTAAAGTAAGTTTTCCCCCCACGTTGACTCTTACATGGTCCACGGTGAGAGTCAACGTAGTGCTTTTGTTACGCAGCGCGCACAGTGAAGCCGGCTTTGGCGCGTATGACCACACGCTGGGCACCGAGGTGTGGGTCATCCCCGTGGTTCTGTGCCACCTCGGGGACTCGCCAATGCATGCCGAGGTCACCAACACACTGAACCCTGCCAACACTTTGACACCATGTCGAATGTGCGACCTGTCCGCTTCAAAAATGGCAGAGAAAGCAACGGACGGATATGTCCGGGTATTTTTTGGGATTGACAAACACGGGAATAAGGTAAGTCCAATGCTTTGTATCTTTGGAATAAATTTAAGCTGATCAGTTGTTGTAGTCCCTGCTCCCGCGACGCGATTGGGATCTAACACGAGAGCGGACTAAGTATATCTGTGAGGTAGCTCAAAAGCGCAACAACAAGACGCGAGTGGACGCCTTAATTCGTGACTTTGGGGTTAAAGACACCCTCAATGACCATTTTGTTAAGTCTGTCAATGTGGCCCACGATGCTCTACCACCAGCAGAGGTTGATAACCTCTGCCAAGAGATGAATGATAAATATGGCGACCATATGTTTAATCCTTTTTTGAGGCTGCAAGGTGAGATTTCCTGACCCTCTCTCCAGCATTTCGTCATCACTGACCCCTTTACATGCCTGCGAAGGGTTCAATGGTCACACAGATACCCCGGTGGAGATTTTACACGTGGTTTTACTAGGTATCGCCAAATATTTGTTCGTATACTCCATGAAAGAGTTGGGAAACATCAAACCTGGGTCAAAAGTGTATAATGATATCTCAGGAAGATGGCGTTCGGTTAACACCCAAGGTTTGAAGGTACCGCCTATTCAACCAAATGTTTTCGTGACGTATTATCAAAGTTTAGTAGGGAAAGAGTTTCGAACGGTGTTGCAAACAGTACCTTTCGTCCTATTTGAATACCTATGCGAGAGGAAGAGGGCGATGTGGTCGTCACTATGTGCCCTGAGCTCATATATCTTTCAGACGGAAATAACCAACATGACGACTTACCTATCGGAACTCGACATTCATATCTCAAGGTTCCTCAACATTCTGGTAGCTCACAACGCGCGTTGGGTGAATAAACCCAAACTGCACATGCTCGTGCATCTTCAGGATTCCATTCGACGGTTCGGAACGGCGTCGCTTTTTGCCACAGAGAAATTCGAGTCCTTCAATGGAGTCGTTCGTCACGCATCGGTTCACTCGAATCACCACAGTCCGGGGCAAGACATAGCCAATACCTTCAACACTCGCCTGATGATGAGGTTGCTGGTTTCCGCCTGCTCATTTTACGACAGCGAGCTACAAACTCGAGTGTTTGGGGGTGCGAAATTGCGACACTTGTTGCTGACAGTGCCCGAATTGTATCATGCATTGGGCCTTGACCCAAAGCTGCATGAGGGATCAACCCTGGTCGTTGGACGTAAGTCAAAACTTCACATATTGAAAGGCCTTCAGCCCGCACTGACCCAGACTCTTAAGCCTTGAGTGAGGCACAGTCAGCACAACCTGAGGTGTTGTCCACCAATCAGTACTACCGGTCATTGAAGCAGCACCACAGTTTCTCAGTGACGCGCGGGCAAAAGGTGGCATGTAATACTTTCGTAATGGTGAGCGTAGCACACCGTCGAGATATCACATGTTTCCCCACGATCGATATCTTGCTCATGTTATCATCATAGCTGAAGACTTCGGGGGCTATCGCCAGAGTGCAAAGCATTTGGAAGCCGGAAGGGAAAAGCGATGGCCATGCGGAGGTGGTACTAAAAAAATGTGCTTTAGGAAGAATACTCAATTTTTATGGAATGCGGGAGCTGGTCGTGATGGACGAGATAATATCACAAAATGTCAAGGTGATTGTATTATCTCTGTGTTTAAGTTTCAAAGGCAAATGTTAACATCTGGGACGCGTTTCATTTTTACAGCAAATTGAATGTATCATCAACATTCAACACAACTGTCATGACGGTCAATGCCCGGTGGCCAAGAATCATCGTAAGCGTATTGAACGCCAATCTTCCTCCGTTTTGGCTTGGGCAGTTCAACACGTTGAGACGAACTCGTATGTTATCAACTGCGCTGCACAATACTCCAGCGAAAAGCACCGACGCGTTTCGGATTTGGCTTTTTATCCGGTTGAGCCTGTGAATTGGACTCGAGCAATTCTGGAGGGATTGAATGTTTGGCACCTTGAAAACGGAAGACAGAGTGGCCACACAGGAGAATACAAAATTTAGGAGGATGGTAGTGCCCGTGTGGGCATCGCCCATGGCACATTAACATTTTGCTCCTGTTCCCTTCCGGGGTGTTGTTCCAGCTAGGACGTGAAAGCCCAAGGGTGCTTATGCAATTTCATTTGTAATGAATAAGGACTGATCATGTCATTTTTGACATGGGTGACAAGGCCGCTAGGCACTTTCACGGTGTTTCATGACAGAATAACAATAATACAAGTCGGCATGAACAACTATTCAAACACAGATTCCTTCAGGTATTCCCCATTTCTGCAAACGTGTCACACTGATGTAATCTCGAAACAGGAACAAATCCCAATTTGTCACTTCCTTCTCTCGCAGCATGGGAATCACCAAGTTTATCTGATCAGAATCCAAACCAGCAAAATTCAGGTAGTCGTACATGGAATCCTTCCTGATTAGTCTGCGGAGAGTCCAATAATTGATTTTTTCGGGGTTCTCTTCTACAGTGAAATCGTATTCTGCTTAGGCAGTCTTGATCATCAGCGTCAGGACCTTGCCGCGAGGACCAAACGGAACCTTACGTACCAAGGGATTGAATGGGAGGATCAGCGGTTAAGCGTTCCTCTTCTGCCTCAAGCTTGACGTCTTGGCGAATCTCAGTTGACTCGGTATCGCCAGCCTCGGGCGTGTCGTTTCCACCGAGCTCGTCGGTAAAGTCCTCTTCTGCTGATTGACTCAACCTACCCACGTGAGTATGTCAGTGCTACGCCCACATTCTTATTGCGCTTAGAACAAATGTACTAACTTTCTTTTCCCAGCTTGGCAGGACTTTTGCACGTCGTTGAAGTGCTTGATCGCGTTGTTCACGGGGTCTGAACCTGGACGTCTGCGTGGGGGCACACGAATCTTGGGTGGCATGTTGGTGATGTGATAAGTGGCGACTGTGTTGTTCCGCGACCGGGTTCCCGAGTGCTCAAGGAACCATGTCCAGTGGGAGGGGCCGTCTCCTGACCTGAAACAGACCTAACACTATGACAACAGAAGTCACAGTTAGGTCTGTTTCAGATCAGGAGAGACGCGCTTTGAAAGTCGCGTCTTTGCTTTGTTTACCGCGTCATCATCCCCATCGAAAACAGTATTTGCTATCCACCATCCTTATGGTCAGTCATCATCCCTCGACGCTCTTACCTTTATTTTATTTGTTGATTTTATTTGCGATATTTTGGGTTAATGACGAGTGTCTGCTTCCTACCTTTAGAGCTTACTTCGTAAGCATGCAATCCGAGCAAAACTTCAGCAAGTCTCCTTTCCTTCGTTCAACGAGATGTTTCTCAAACATCTGTTTGAATCTTAATATTACTTGACCTCCCGTTTTTCGCCTTGCAGATAATTTCTTTGAGACTCCTTTTCGTGCGTCTCCAAGTCAAGGTGATGCTTTGCCCTCAGGTGGCATCTCTCTCTTTGGGTTGAATAACCACGGAAGCCTGAGAAACGGCTTAGGTGAGACACTTCTAAACCCACTCCTCTCAATCAACAGCTCATTACCCCTTCTGTAGGCTCCGGTTTTGAAGATTCCGGGCGAGGTTGTCAAGATCTCCACAGTGACCGTCGATCATTCAGTCAGGGGGGGGCGGTCAACCCAGGGACTTCCGAATCACGATTCGGAAGTCAGTCCAGAGGCCGAAACGACTGATCAGTGTCTCCACGCGGTGGCACGCCTCAAGCTGCTTCCAGGAGCTTTGCACCGCGCGGTTCTGTTCTTTCTCTGAATGGTGGGCTGGGTACAACCGGGCAACTCAACGACCTCGAAGGGTTCAATCGACACTTGGACCCTCCTACCGATAATGGTGTGTATGCCAACCCCCTTCCGGCGGCGACCCTCAGCAAGTTCGAGGCCATGGCGAAAGTGGCGGGTTTGGATTCGGCCTCGCAAGTGTTTGCCATGCAGCACGCTGAGGTGGGTGTTGTTGCTATTTATATCTAAGCACGCCGAATTCGAGTTAATGCATATCTGTTATTACTTCCTTTCCAAAGGTCTTTGGCAAGACGAACCGTCACTTGTCTCAAGCTGTCAAACAGGGGCAAATCCTGATGGAGGTGAGCAACTTGCGGTCGCAAGTGGCCAATCTGACCGAGCAGATCGCCGCGGTCACCGAACTCGTCGAGGCTCTTGTGAATGCACCATCCGCGGCTGCCATTGAGCCTGCCACTAGCGACACGTCGTCGCAAGATGCGTCAGCTTGGAGTGCCAGTCCCCAGCTCTTGGTATGTGTTTAATGTTTGTCACTTGGAGATGGGACACTAACACTTTCATCTGGAACAGGACCTGATGAACCCGCTGGCCTTGAGACTTCTTATGTCTCCACAGTTGAGCGCGTACACGGCACTCAAGAACCCTTTAGAGGGGTGTCTGCAACATTCCTTATTTAATGTCATAAGAGTAAGCTCATGTGTTTTCAGCCCAGATGCCAACAGGTCGCTGACTCTACTTACAGCTCACCATTGCCAAGGAAGGGTTGGGGTTCACTTCGAAACATCTTCCCGCCCAGCATCAAGGAGTCGAAGAGGCTTCTGCGACTAAAAGGTATTACAGTGCCATCAAAGACAGCGCCAAGCACGCTAGGGAGAAGGTTCATATTGTGGTTTGTGTATTTGTGGTCTGTCTGTTGGTTTACCAAATTAACCAATCCAATGTGTTTCTGCAGGTCTTGGTAGGTATCCATGATCCGAAAACTGGGGAGGCGGTCGACCTCGCGGTACCAAACATCAGGTCACTCGTTCAAAGGGTCAGTTTGCTTTTATCGTCATATGTTGTATAGGAGCTTGATGAGTTGTCTGTTATAGGTTGCTGTTTGATGTGCGACCGTGGGATCGAATGGCAACGTTGATGCTGTATGGGCAGCCACGGATCTAGCCACACGAGCACGTCTCGCTTATCTTGTATGTCACGCAGTGTCATTCACAAGAAGTCGTGTTATCCTTTGCATAGTTCGAGGCTGACTCTTATCTATCTATGTTTTTTATTGTGTTACGCCAGCGTCGTGAAGCGGCGCGTATCGTGCTCAAAGGCGGAAAAGGAAGTGAATCGATATGGGGATGTGTCTACAAGCAATTAGCCAATTTGCGCTTGAGAAACGACGAGAAGTACACTATCGCGTAAGTTTTCACAGTTCATACACCATGTGATCTCACGCATTGCTGATATATTTCCACTCTCAGTTTCTATCGAATTATATTCGATGAGGATTGCCAGTACTTTGATGGCACCACTTACTTTCAAGACCTCAAGGAGAGGAAGATCAATTTAGATTTACCGTCGGAGGAGGCGGTCATGGCCCGCGTGGCTCACAACGCAGCTCAAGCTCAAAGTGCTCCTCAACCAAACAACGTGGTATAGAGTCAGATGCGCACGGAATCACAAAAGTATATTTTATTTGCATTATAAATAGCTAGTAAATGTCATTACAAAAGAAATTGTACGCAGCAATATGAATGGGTACGGCAGTTTACGATTGGTGAAAGCAAAACCATCTCACGTTGTTTCCTCCTGAAATGTCCTCTCTTCATCATTGAAATTGATTGGCTACATGAACTGCAACGATCCCTGTCAACGTGCCATCATTGAGCTCATCCAAATCGCTCTGCCCTGTTTTGTCGTGGGGTGTGAATTTCGCTGCCCTGCCTGAGCGACCCGAGTTCATACCACTGGGCGGGTCAGTCCGAGAATGCTTACGGGCCTCTTGTTCTGCAGACGCCTGCAGCCGGTTTGAAAGTGTCTACGAGGCGCCCAGCTGGCGGCCTGCTTCTCTGTCGAGGCTTCGCCTGGCTGGCGAAAGCTCAGTGGGCGAGCTGAAGGCTGCCTATCAATGCAGATGAGTAGACCGCCTTCAGGCTGGCCCTCGTGACGGCCTCGAGGCGGTCGCGACCCTCCCGTGGTGTAGGTGCTCCTCTGCAAATGCGGCGCCTTCCTTCACCACCTTTTTCTACAGGGGAAATCATGGTGAGTGAAGATGGATTGGTTCCTTCGGAAAGAAGGGAAGAAAGGACTTACCTTCATAGTATTAAACAATGAATTCGGGAGATAGCCTTCGCGCCGAGTCTCGATAGCTGTATATCCTTCAATTAGGGGTGAAAACAGGAGTTTGAGCGCCAAGGGGTTAATGAGCTTCTGAAATATCAATCACAGTCGAGTAGTCAGCTAATCGACGTTACTTTCCACTTGATATAAAGGTGAGGGGGTTTTTAACCATTAGTTTGGGGCTTGCTACCCACTTGCCCCGCGCGGTCAATTCGCAAGGGGTGGCAGGCTGAACTGCTGCAGATGTGGAAGCTGGTGCTGGTCGGGAACCGGGCTGTTGGGTGAGCGCAATAACGGCCTCGGTGATGGTTGCCAATTGGCCGGTTAACGTGTCAATTTTGCCATTGACACGTACGATCTCCATCACTAGTTTGGCATTCGCTGTGGCCTGAGCCATATGGCGATTGTCTTCGCCATTGACCTTTGCCATGGAGGAAAGGTGACATTTAAAATCCCACCGAGTGAAAAAAGGGTGAGTCCAATAGGGTAATGAACATTTGGGTGATCACAGGGTAAATTACCTCCGCTTGATACATCGCGATCGCATGATAAGGGTCTTCCAATCCACATCGCGTCGACATTGCCTCGAAGGTCTGCATTGATTGGGCCGGTAAGGGGTTTGAAAACCTAGATGGTACGTCTCCAATGCCACTTTCGAACATATCGGTATGCGGTAGCTCCTTATCTTGTGAGTCTCGCAGGAAGCGCGGATCGGTGGTTCCACGCGAACCAAACTGAGGATCAGGCCGGGTTCCGGTTCTGCAATGAGAAGGGGAAATCAAACGCTCGTCTCGGTCTCGACGTGCAGGTGCATGTTCCATCCGGCCTTGGTTGGAAGATTGGATGGGAGTTTGGTGGTAATTGTCTCCACGAGCCATATCACCACCATCACTTCGGCCTCTAGGTGAGTCTAACGAGCCTGGAAAGGGAGGCATCAGCCAGCTGTTATGGGCTTCAGTAATTGCTGGTTATGGAAGCGCACCGTTAGAGTTATTCCTCAGTGAGGTGTGATTATTGAATGTGTGCATTACGCTGCCCTGAGCTTGCGATTGATGACCTTCGCCGAGACCATTGAAATGGGTATCTTGAAAAATGACAGTTAGTAAGGTGTTCAAACGGACAAGGGAATAAGGAAGGTAAGTCAAGGGTCTTACTGTTTCCGATCAGTGAGCCACCTTGAGAGGGTGAATTCATAACTTCGGGGTGGTCAAAAAGTGCTCGGCCATGGAGTTGCCCAGCAGCTGGAATTTGGTAACAGACCGATCACGTTGGTTTTCCATAAACCAACTTGAGATATGTGAATTTCTCCTTACTGAAACCGTTCAATGTGCCACCTTGACTTTGCAAATTGAGACCTTCGGTGACTTCCAGTGAACCTCGCCGATGGTATGGACCGCCTGCAATAAGCTCTGTCAGCTGCTGGTTGAGATATATTTGATCCACCTCGTACCGTAATTGTAGCCTGTTTCGGTGCTCATGGACAAATGGGTTTGAGGGTGGTACTTCTTGGATGCAAGTGGGAGGTTGCCAAAAAGAAAATATTTGCGAGCGAAATTGCAATGGGCGCCTATTTTTAAAAATTTTGCAAGGCTGCCCACGGGTTGACCACTTAACTTGTTCAAACTTCAAACTGGCTTCAAACCTCAAACAGGCCACCTTTCACAACAAAGCAGAAACTCAGTCTCCTCATCACCCTTCAATGTCCACATCAAAATATCACACCGGGCCTTCATCTAAGCGCCAGCGCCAATTTGATCTTGGTTTTGCTAAAGACTCGTGAGTCTGCAGCAAAAAGTTTCTTCCTAAATGATTCCCTTGAGCTGACCAAGTCTTCTTTGGGATTTCAGGGATTCGGAATCCACCGATTTTTTCGCTCCGATTAAACTTGAGCCTCCCGAAGGAATGAACCACGCAGCTTCAGCCAAACCAGCGGCTGAGGCAGATGAGCAACGCAATGGAGCTGATCCTCGAGTGGGTGACAATGAGGTGCCACCCACTACTGGTAATGCAGCAGTAGCTATACGTAAGCCGCACCTACTCCAACGCAATCAGTGGCTCATGTGCTGACTTTATGTCTGTGTAGAGTTACCGATAGAAGGTGGATATGTTTTATTTGGCCCTCTTCGTCGTATCATGGCCAGTACGACATTGGAGGATTATCTTTGTTTCGCCTGTTTAGAAGAAAACGAGATCGGCCTCGTACTCCCAATACTGATGGATCACGGGGTCAATCATTTCGATTTGTTCCTATTTGTCAATTACGTGAATCGAGAACAGTTGCGCAAATGGGGGATCTCAGTTGGCACCTGCGCGCGAATTATGGTTCATGCGTTGATGTTCTATCAATTCCACATACACAAGCGGGAAAGAGGCCTTTGAAAGGCATTGTGGTTGTTGTATCGAGTTTTCATACAAGTGAACGATATCTTGCATGATGATATTGTTCAATTTTGAAATAATACTTTCGACATTATCCAGTGCAATCCGAATATGATATATATGATATAGCTTCAAACAGTGTGCTTCCCGATATTATCGGAAAGGTGAGAGGGGGCAAGTGGAACTGGGTGTTCCAAAAGAGAAGATAAGACGATATTGGAAATGTATCTGAACAGGCTCCTCCATCCATCTGTCTGTTCCTTACAACCCATTCAGTTCATTCATCATTAGATACCATTGTGTCCATCTCCAAACCTCACATATCTATCAATTTTTTCCCATCCTATCAATATGAGGATGGTCCGCGTCAAAATCGACCCTCCTGTGATATCATCGCAGCTCACTGCGACTTTAGAACTACTATACAATCGTGGTCTTGACCTAAAGGAGTTAGATCACATGCTATCATATCTCAATCACTATAAAATGGAAGTATACGCTAGCGAGCTTCCTCGCTTGAAGCGCAATGGTTCGACTTACGAAACCTGGCTCTACGCGCTAAATCATATGTTTCGAAGGTTCACTGGGGAGATTCTTTACTTGTATAAACCTCCATCACCAATCAAATCGATTCGCGATTGGGTTGCGGACGAAGTCCTTTTGGCAATGATATGTGCCACCGTGCATCGAGATGTGCTTCCGGCGGTCCGAATGGCCACCTGCGCTCATGACGCTCTCAATTGGGTCAATTGGTATCACGACTGTCAAGGTGAGCTTCTCTCACCTCACCTTATTCATGCTACTTACTGATGGTGATGGTTTACTGATCATTGTCCAGTTCCCAATATTCCTGAAGGGTTTTACCTCCCGTGTTATACTATGCGCCGGCCAGGTCAATCATTTCATTAACATGACGTGAGTATATCATCTTCATACATCTGAATACAACTGTGATGATGGAAAAATTGATTGGTCTTGTCACATTACGCAGGAAAACGAGGAAAACGACACGAGTGGCCTCTTCGATTTGCCGAAACCTTGTCTGTGCCGCGTTCGCCATAGATTCTGATATGGACCACTTGTAGTAGATTATAAGATGTACCACTGGGTGATAAATATGTATCTCTTTATCTTTGCCCATGCGCTGTAACATCAATTGGCCTCTGCCTCCTGGTTTTTGCCTTTGGTTGATGCCCGCGTCTCTGATTCCCATTTTTTGAGTCCATCATTAATTGCCTTGGTCCATAGATCTGGTGACACAGAAGAGTGTTGAAAATCGGAAATATGACGATGAACAGTGCCATTGTAATGGGATGCAGCATTGAGGATGAATTGATTTGAATCCACATGTTGAACCCCCCAAAGGCCAATACTGGAAACCCTGCGCTCGATTTTCTTGAAGCGTGTCTTAGCCAATTTGCAATGTGAATCGTGGCAGTTGTGTTGGACATTGAGCAAGCAGAATATATCCTGGGAGCCATACCAGAATTACATTGGTCAACATGAACACCAATATGATCTGTGAGGAATACAAACTGACTTTCACATTGATCATTTGAATCTCTTCCGTGACTTTGACTTCCCGCATCCCATAGAACTTGTTGATGGGACCCTTGTCACATATTTTGATGATAAGATGTGTGTGGGTATTGGATACACCCTCGAGCTTCCATATAGATTGTACTTGTCCAACTGTCACCGGGGAGTCCAACTGAAATGCAAAAGGTTAAAGTTACTTCATGCAACACAAGGAAGCCCAAAGGTGATGACAAACCAGAACAAAGTCGTTTACTTGGGCCTTGTGCCGCCCAATTAACTTGATGCTTTGGTACTCTTTTAACCTTTGACGGTCAACACTTTGGGGTATGCAAGCGGGTGCAACAGATTGAGTCTCGCACAAAGCTTTGGAGGTCAAGTCTGTCAGTAACTCCATGGGATGCCAAACCTTGACAAATGTTAACTTACGGCCAATGGCGTATGTTGAAATCGCCCCCAAAGACGAGTCCAGACCCATTGCTTGAAATAACTCAGGTACTGAAGACAATAACGCTTGCAATTTTGTGCCACTATGCACTCGCGCTTTGAGATCATGGTCAAAAAAGGAAGAACCGGATACCAAAACCCGCAACATCACCTGGGTGTAGGAAGTGTTTGCTATGTCTTGTCCGGGACTTTGATGGTTTGAATGAATGGATTTGTGGCGAGTGATACTGTTGAAAGATTCAAGTTTTTCGGTTGCAAATAAACAAGCTGGTCCAAACCGACGAATTGAATCTTGTAGGTGAACAAGCATGTGAAACTTGGGCTTGTTGACCCAGCGAGCATTGAGGGCTACCAAATTTTTGAGAAATCTGGAGATGGCGATGTCCAGTTCGCCTAGATAGGTTTCCATGTTTGGTATCTCCGTTTGAAAAATATAAGATCCTAGAAGACAAAGAGATGTCCACATTTTGCGTTTCTGCTTGGTAAGGTGTTCAAACAGGACAAAGGGGACCGTCTGTAACACAGTTCAAAACTCCTTCCCCACTAGGCTTTGATAGTAAGTAATCATTGTGTTTGGTTGAATGGTTGGGATATTCAAACCACTCGTATCAAAAGCCCGCCAACGACCGGAAAGATCGTTGTAGTTCTTTGAGCCGGCCTTTATATTTCCTAGTTCTTTCATTGTGTCGCGGAAAAGATACTTTGTGGTGCCCAAAAGTGCCACATGGAGGACCTCGACTGGAGTATCTTTGTGACCGTCAAATCCTACAAAAATAGAAATAAGGCTCAGCTTCTTTCAACTGAAAGGGAAGTAAGAGATACACACCTTTGAGTCTCAACATCGGATTGAAGATATGTTCTCCATGTTGAGACTTGATGTCTTGACAGAGTTTCTCCACTTCAGAAGGAGGCAGAGAGTCGTGCGCTACTTGAACATTTTTCTGGAAAACTTCGTTCATAGGGTCTCGAATCCCAAAGTCACAGCTCATCTTTTCAACTCGAGTTTTAGTGTTGCGCTTTTGAGAGGTGTTCCAAATTTCCTTGGTCCACCGTCGAGTCTGGTCCCACTCGCGGCCAGGCAATAGGCACTATAGAGGTGAATCAGCTTGTGAATTGTGAGTATGTAAATTGGAGATTGGAAAAACACCTTCTGTCCATCCTCATCTAGCCCAAGGAAGTCTCTGACGAAGTTTTCCGTTTGTTTGTCGGCCTGCTTTCGTACGTGTAGATCACACATACGACACGGAGTCAGAGTGTTGGCTGGGTTGAGAGTATTTGATATCTCCGCGTGCATCGGGGAGTCGCCCAGGTGAAACAGATGGACCGCCCTTCCCATCACATCTGCACCAAGATGTGTGTCGTATGCAAAGAACCCATTGGTTCCATAATCACTACAGAAAGGAAGGACATGTTATACCCAGCTGGATCAAATTTGAACCAATGGGACCTCACTGTAAATCATCGACAACCTGATCGAATAGCTCTAAAGCGGTTGCACAATTTGACGTTGCCAGGAAGTGAATATTGAATTCCTGATTTGATAGACTGGATGGTAAGCCCGCCAGAGTGAAATAGATACTCATGTGCTTGTTCCACTTTTTGGATACGTTGCCAGATGTGTCGTCAGAATAAAGAGCCAGAGGGACGTGTCGGATCACTTTTCCTTGTGCCTTGGCTCTCCACGGGTTTTCCATTGGATTTGATGGATCTTTTGCTTCCAAAGATCCTGCAAGTAGAAGTAGACAAGGAGTCAGAATGTTAATTTAAGTTCCTTGAGATTGACAATCTGAATTTTGGGATTGGTCAGATGACACTTACGATACATGTGATTGCCACACATAGTCTTCAAAAGAACTCCATTCTTCACCTCAATATGCTGAAAAGTTCGCCAGAAGTCTTTGCAAGGAATGGTGAATAGCATTTCCGAGTCAAATGCACAATCTTCAGGGATAATGACTTTGAGATTAGACAAATGATAGGGATCATGTTTTACTACTGCAGGTAGACACTTTGCGAAAAGACAATCATTTTGCTGGAAGAAGAAAACAGGCACTACAAGCTGAAGAGTTTTGAGTTGCACTGGCTCGTAGATGTAGTAGTGGGAATTGTTGAAAGATATCATTTGAACACGTAGATCGGGAGGGTAATCTTCACGCCACTTTTCGCACTGGGATAGACGGTTGATTGGCCCGTCGATGGTGAATTCAGGCACATATACCAAATATGGGCTGACCAAGGGGTTCGCCAACTCCTGTGACACCCAATTTTTAGCTATGTCCAGGTAGTATCATTCAGTAAAGAAATCTCACATTACTTATGATGGTTTTGACATCCAAACCAAACAGTGGATTGCCACAAGGACTATTCCGTTCACGTATGATCAGACCCAGCTTTTTCTTCATTCTTTTGACAAGTGCTCTCAAAGTACCCCAATCTGGCAGAGTGACTCCCAGAAGACGGAGGAGGGACCTTATTCGCTGGTATTGGGTACGCGAGAGGAGGTTCCGGTTTGATCCAATCATGAGCAAAGCTACCACATGCTGTGACCGTTTAAACCAATCAATACTCACAATAAGGGTATAGTGATGCAATATAGATGAGCTACTTACACCTGTGTACACTGAAAAGCACCAAGTGTATTGGATGATACACATGTAGCTATCATCCTATGTACTTGGAATGCCCCCCTTTAGAATTTCTTAGCAAGATAGCTGGTCCTACGGTGACCTAGAAAGATCACTAAGTCACACTCCCATAACGCGGGGGCCTTGGCCCCCCACACGCACCAAGTACAAATCTCACTACATAAGCAAAAGATCTTACTACACAACTAACCATCTCACTACCAAACCACCACATCTTACTACACGAGTCATAATCTTACTACTCATGTAATAATGTTACTACCACACCATCAGATCCTACTACACAAGCAATAATGTTACTACCCAACCACCAGATCTTACTACACGTGTAAAAATCTTACTACCCAATCACCAGATCTTACTACACAGGTA